GGAGTTGTCAGTAAGGAGTTGTTAGTGAGTAAGGAGTTGTTAGTAAAGAGTTGTCAGTAAGTAAGGAGTTGGTAGTGAGTAAGGAGTTGTTAGTAAGGAGTTGTTAGTAAGTAAGGAGTTGTTAGTAAGGAGTTGTTAGTAACTAAGGAGTTAGTGAGTAAGGAGTTGTTAGTAAGTAAGGAGTTGTCAGTAAGGAGTTGTTAGTAAGGAGTTGTTTGTGAGTAAGGAGTTAGTAAGTAAGGAGTTGTTAGTAAGTAAGGAGTTGTTAGTAAGTAAGGAGTTGTTAGTAAGTAAGAAGTTGTTAGTGAGTAAGGAGTTGTCCCTTGCTTTTTACTCGACGCGTGTGCCAGTTATGGATTCAGACTATTGTCCTATCATCTCATCGTGTCCCTGGCCACGTAATAATCTGCTACACAGTGGCAGTGGGGTTCGCAAAATGCCGATTTATTACTAATAAACCCCAATGATCCGATCGAAATTAGGGATTTCGATCGGATCAATGCGGGGGGCACGTGCCCCCCCCCCCCTCCCCACACCAGCTCCGCCAGTGATTGCATTGCCCACTGCCCCTGACATAGGCAACCTGCCCCCTGGGCTTGACACCGCATCACATCGGCACTGACTCCGGTGTGTCTAACAAGGTCGTTATGAACCCCCGAGAGACACCACCCATGCCCAGGGCTTGAATTTGGAATAGCTACAGCGTGTCTACACCCCTGTGACACGCATCCATACCAAGAGCTTGAATTTAAGATCTCAGCTGTGCTGGCTACAGCGTCTCTACCACGGCCATCATGAATCCTGAGAGTTATAAACAGGGCTTGAACCCAGGATCTCAGCTGTGCTGGCTACAGTGTCTCTAACTTAGCCAAAATGAATCTCCTGAGAGTGACACTCAGGGCTTGAACCCAGGATCTCAGCTGTGCTGGCTACAGTGTCTCTTCCACGGCCATCATGAATCCTGAGAGTTATAAACAGGGCTTGAACCCAGGATCTCAGCTGTGCTGGCTACAGTGTCTCTTCCACGGCCATCATGAATCCTGAGAGTTATAAACAGGGCTTGAACCCAGGTTCTCAGCTGTGCTGGCTACAGTGTCTCTACCACAGCCATCATGAATCCTGAGAGTTATAACCAGGGCTTGAACCCAGGTTCTCAGCTGTGCTGGCTACAGTGTCTCTAACTTAGCCATCATGAATCCTCCTGAGAGTGACACTCAGGGCTTGAACCCAGGTTCTCAGCTGTGCTGGCTACAGTGTCTCTACCACGGCCATCATGAATCCTGAGAGTTATAACCAGGGCTTGAACCCAGGATCTCAGCTGTGCTGGCTGCAGCATCTCTACCACGGCCATCATGAATCCTCCTGAGAGTGACACTCAGGGCTTGAACCCAGGTTCTTAGCTGTGCTGGCTGCAGCGTCTCTACCACGCCATTATGAATCCTTAGAGTTATAACCAGGGCTTGAACCCAGGATCTCAGCTGTGCTGGCTGCAGTGTCTCTACCACGGCCATCATGAATCCTGAGAGTTATAACCAGGGCTTGAACCCAGGATCTCAGCTGTGCTGGCTGCAGCATCTCTACCACGGCCATCATGAATCCTCCTGAGAGTGACACTCAGGGCTTGAACCCAGGTTCTTAGCTGTGCTGGCTGCAGCGTCTCTACCACGCCATTATGAATCCTTAGAGTTATAACCAGGGCTTGAACCCAGGTTCTCAGCTGTGCTGGCTGCAGTGTCTCTACCACGGCCATCATGAATCCTGAGAGTTATAACCAGGGCTTGAACCCAGGATCTCAGCTGTGCTGGCTGCAGCATCTCTACCACGGCCATCATGAATCCTCCTGAGAGTGACACTCAGGGCTTGAACCCAGGTTCTTAGCTGTGCTGGCTGCAGCGTCTCTACCACGGCCATTATGAATCCTTAGAGTTATAACCAGGGCTTGAACCCAGGATCTCAGCTGTGCTGGCTGCAGCGTCTCTACCACGGCCATCATGAATCCTGAGAGTTATAACCAGGGCTTGAACCCAGGATCTCAGCTGTGCTGGCTGCAGCGTCTCTACCACGGCCATCATGAATCCTCCTGAGAGAGACACCCAAGCCCAGGGCTTGAACCCAGGGTCTTTTGTCTTCCTTCCCCCACACGTCCGATTATCCACGGTTTGCTACGTACAGCGCGAAATAAGTTCAACCTACGTGCACATACAGACTACCGCCACCTGTGAGAGACACCCGGGCACAGGGCTTGAACCCAGGGTCTCGGAAGGTGCTGGCTTATTAACTCGAATGCCAATGCTCGCCGCACGATGCATTGTGGTATTGTGGTGGTGGCGGTGGCCGTGGGGGGGGGGGGGGGTGAGGGGGGATGGAGGTTGCTGGGCCGTGTTTAAACAATGGGGTTGAGTGCTGGAACTGCGATTTACATGAAAAGAGACGCGTCGGTCCACGTGTACCTACCTGACTTTGACACGACAGTCGGCAGCGGGCACAAGGCTAATGTTTAACCACGTTCGGAGAGAGTTCAGCGAGGGAGCGATTGCGGCGAGCTGTGGCGGCGGCGGCGGCGGGGAGATTAGCGCGTTTGGCTACGTGCTGTGCGAAAGAAGTTCGACACTCGGCGCACACGTCGCGCGTAAAGGTCACAATCTCGCGATGATTACGATCCGCCCTTCGCTTGGGGCGGGAGGGGCGATTTTGCCGCCCGTTTCGGATGATTCTGCGGCGTGGGAGACCCGGTGGGACGTTTCCCCCCCCCCCCACCACCACCACCACCACCCCCCCTCCGGTTAACACCGCGGGCGAGTTAACCGCGGGCGAGTTAACGGCGCATGCCGCGACGCGCCGTCTGCTTGGCGGCGGGCGTGAGCTACGCCACGTCTCGTCGTCGACGTCGTGGTTTGTAAAGAGGAGGGTGGATCGTAATTGCAGCACGCTGACGAGCTTTCCCGCACGCGCATGTGTGAACTTCCTTGGCTCGCCGTGCGTCCCCAACCGTGCCGCGATGGCACAAGACGAAAGTGGTCACGGATGAGGACACGTTGCGTCTGCCCCGTGGATCGTGGTGATGGTGGTGATGGTGATGGTGGATCGAGGGGGCTAAGCGGGCACGGCACGGGCTAGAGAAGAGATGGAGTGATGTGGTACGGGAGGACGTGGAGCTGAGCGGACTTGCCGATGGCCGGTACCAGCGGTGTCAAGATCGGCCTCTGTGGAGGAGGAGGCTCGTGAAGGACGCTACTGGGCAGTTGGAGGCAGTCGCCCTCCAACAACAACAACGGAGGGCGGAGGAGCGACGCTCAGAACAACGAGCGGAGCGCCGGGTGGCTAAAGCACAGCGGGTTGGCACAGTAGGGGGCACAGGTGGTGCATCGGCCAGTCATCTCAGTCAGTCGACCCGTGGCACCTGGGTCTGCCCCGTGACCTCCTGGCAGCGGGCGTTCGACACTTCACGTGGCCTCCGGGTGCACGTAGCCTGGCACAAGCGTCGTGGTGACGTCACCGCCACTTAGTGGCGAATGGCGGTTGTTTTTGTTGTTGTTGATGGTGGTGGTGTGTGCGTGCGCACGCCGGCGTGACGCTGAGAAATGCCCCCCATTTTTTTTTGTTGAATTACTCCGCACATTACTTAATTGGGTGAAGCAGGCATAACAACGTCACCCACCCCCCCCCCCCCCCCCCAACTTGACTGCGAATCTGCTGCAGGAGTAGCGCCTCCCTTCTTGCGCTTACGATAAATAACCCGCGCGCGTTCAACACCGTTGCTAATGGGTCGCGGCTGTTTGAATTGTTTCCATGAGTGTGAATTCCATTGTGGCGTGCTGCCACTCTGTAGATTGAAACCCGGAGTTTTGAATATTTGGACAGGGAGATTGGTATCGGGAGCGGGTCCCAAGATGATAACAGGTAATGATAGAGACTGACAGACGGATCAGTGACGAGGTGTCTACATAATAACAGGTAATGAGAGAGACTGACAGAATGGGTCAGTGACGAGGTGTCTACATGATAACAGGTAATGAGAGAGACTGACAGACAGGTCAGTGACGAGGTGTCTACATGATAACAGGTAATGAGAGAGACTTGACAGACAGGTCAGTGACGAGGTCTCTACATGATAACAGGTAATGAGAGAGACTGACAGACAGGTCAGTGACGAGGTGTCTACATAATAACAGGTAATGAGAGAGACTGACAACGGGTCAGCGACGAGGTGTCTACATAATAACAGGTAATGAGAGAGACTGACAGACGGGTCAGGGACGAGGTGTCTACATAACAACAGGTAATGATAGAGACTGACCGGTCAGTGACGAGGTGTCTACATAATAACAGGTAATGAGAGAAACTGACAGACGGGTCAGTAACGAGGTCTCTACATAATAACAGGTAATGATAGAGACTTGACAGACGGGTCTCTTGATGGGTGTCTGCGGACACTAATCGACTGGTGTACCACCATTCTCTTTTGGGACCTTGGTGTGCCGGCAACTTAGCCGCGTAGCCGCGGGGGGCAACGTGATGATGATTTTGTCGTAGCGAGCGTGGACGGAATGTGATTGGGGAGCGCCGGTGTCGCGTGTGTTCGGGAAAAAAGACGGTTCAGTAACGCTCGCTCACGCTCACTCGCTGGTGTCATGTTCGTGGTCACATGCGCATGGTTGGCTCCTGTCCCGGTAGGTCAGAGGCGCTGGGAAGAATCTCGTCACGGATTGAGGGAGGTCCTAATCACGGCCAGTGCCGCTACCGTCGCTCCCAGCAACCACCACGACTCCTTCTCCTCCCTCCTCCACACCCCGCTCCCCCTCCCAAATATCAGGAACAACCAGGGCGGCCCGCCAGATTCGAACCACGAAACTCTCTCCAACATTCGTTCGGGGACATCTCCGCTGGGCTGCACTTGGCTCGAGTGCCGAATTCTCTTTTTTTACGTGTGCCCCCCCCCACCCCACCCCCACCCCCCCCCCACCCCAGGTGAAGGTACAATGAGCTGGCGGTGACATAAGATGTCATTTGGTTCGACAGCTGCGATTGTGGACATCTCCCAAGGTGCGTGCTTTGAATTCTGATGCAGCCCTCTCTGGAAGACTTAAACGATTCGTTCATGTGGCTATCCACATACACAAACACAGAGACAATTTCAACCGAGAAGATGGATTCTGGCTTAGCAATCATTGGAAGGATTTGATAAACCATTTCGGGTCTTAATTGATTGTTCACGCTTACGATGGCTTTCAGACCGCATCCATTATTTTCGTCTCCCCCCCTCCTCTTTTCCGAACATAGATGGACTCGTCCATCTGAACAAACTGTCAAATCGCTGCCCGTGGTGCTAACGTAAAAAAACGCCACTTTTTTCAAATGTTCTTGCTGTGGTTTTCACACCTGATGATGATTGCTTGTGTTGCAGTCGAAACGTCGTTTTATATTTTTTTTATTTTGTTGTTTCCCTTCTACGTGACTTTACCGAAAGAACCAAGAATATATATTCTGGTGTTATTTTGCCAGTGAGGCGAGGCCCCACTGAGCCGCTGGTGTGGCTCTTTTGTCAAAAGCCGACCTGGCCGTCGCAAATGGATAGCTCGACGAAGTGGGTCATCGCCGTCGTCGTCGCGGGGAAATTTTTAGCAGCAGCCAAATACTCTGAACGCGTGACGCTGATTCTAAATGTGGAGGGGGGAAAACCGGGAGGATCCAGGGAGAGAGAGAGACACCACCAACTTCTAATATACAGCAGGTGTCAGGGTCGGGATTGAACCCACGACCTCCTGCATACCAGGCGAGGTAGTTCACATCTCTTAGCCACTATGATGGTGATGAGAGAGAGACACCGCCAACTCCAAATATACAGCAGCAGGCGTCAGGGTCGGGATTGAACCCACGACCTCCTGCATACCAGGCGAGGTAGTTAACATCTCATAGCCACCGTGATGATGATGATGAGAGAGAGACACCGCCAACTCCAAATATACAGCAGCAGCAGGCGTCAGGGTCGGGATCGAACCCACGACCTCCTGCGTACCAGGCGAGGTAGTCAACATCTCCTAGTCACCATGATGATGAGAGAGAGAGACACCGCCAACTTCTAATATACAGCAGCATGCGTCAGGGTTGGGACCGAACCCACGACCTCCTGCGTACCAGGCGAGGTAGTCAACATCTCTCTGCGGCCACCACCAGACGGAGCTCTGGAGATCCCCTCCACAGGGTCTCTTGATTTTATGTTTCAATGGAGCGCCTGAGCTCGAGGTGCTCTCCCCAGTGAGACGCTCGGTTCTCTCCGTCTTCATCTACGTCGACCACCGCACGTGGGTTAACGTGCAATGAATAAGGGGGCCTCGTTGCCCGAAACTTTTTTTATATACATATATGGGGACCTTTTTCTGCCGGTTTCAAAACTGATGAAAAATAATAGTAGGTTTTATTATAGCCTTTGCCGGCATTAAGACAAGTGCCGCGTTAAGATGTTCGAAACAGCAAATGGATGAAAGCTTTTTTGCAGGGATGTCAAGTCTGCATTGAACACACGACAGTACTTGTGGCAAAAAAAACATGCAAACAAACATGCTCTTGACAATTATATATGCGTTGCCTTTGAAACTGATTGGCCTACACCGGAGAAAGCTTTCCCAATGGCCTTGTGTCACCGCTGGCGTTAGACCAGGGGGAACAACGCCGAAAGGCGAACAGCGCAAAGGACACTTTGCAACGTGGTGGTCGTCTTTTGCCGACCAAATATTATTCACAATAAAGGGTTTTTTTTTTTTTTGGGTTCGATTGCACAGAGACAATTTCAACCGAGAATATGGATTCTGGCTTAGCAATCATTGGAAGGATCTGATAAACCGTTTCGGGTCTTGATTGATTGTTCACGCTTACGGTGGCTTTCAGACGGCATACATTAATTTTTCGTCTCCCCCCCTCCTCTTTTCAGAACATAGATGGACTCGTCCTTCTAAACAAACTGCCAAATCGCTGCCCGTGGTGCAAACGGTTTTTTTTATAAATAAAAACACCGTTTAAAAATAAAATAATAAATGCAAACCGCCACTTCTTTCAAATGTTTCTTGCCGTTGGTTTTTCACACCTGATGATGACCGTTTGTGTTATGGTCGAAACGTCGTGAGAAATTTTATTGTTTTATATATTTTTTATTATTTTATTGTTTCCCTTCAACGTGACTTTACCGAATGAGCTAAGAATATGAATTACTGCAGTCACGAAAGCTTTAAATCAAAATATTAAATGTGTCGTTAAACCCGCCACCGCCGCCCGCCACAGCCGCCAACTCTGTCAGGTTTGTCACGTGAACAAAACGCGCCGGTCAGTTTACCACTTGGGGCAACGCCGTGTGTGGCGGTGGAGAGTAAATATCCACAACATTGACAAGTTTGAGTTTCACGACGTTTCGCCGGCAACCGCATCTAGCTTCATTGTGTGGCGGTTTCGGGGTTTTCGCGACCCATGTATATTGACGCGAACTAACCCAAAATATTATTTTGAGTACAAACGAAATGCAAGTACAGTAAAACCTCGGATTGCGAGTGACTTGGGTCTGCGAGTGTTTCGCAAGACGAGCAAACATTTGTAAATGAATATTAATTTGATAAACGAGCGAGGGTCTCGCAGTACGAGCAGTAGTACGTGTAGACGCTTTGTCTCGCCGAGCGTCACGTGACCACAACTGATATACGACGAGCGCTTTGATGCACGAGTGGTTTGGATTACAAACACGTTTCCGGAACGAATTATGCTCCTCGCAATCCAAGGTTTTACTGTCTTTGTTTTATTTAATTCTTCCTACCGCCGCACGCGGTGGCGACGTTAACGAGCTTGCCGAGAGTGAGCGATGCCCGGGGGGCGGTGGTGGCGGTGGTGGCGGTGGTGGCGAGAGACCGACGACCGACCGGGTTTTTTCATTGCCGACGCAGGGGATGGGCGGTTGGCGCCGGTCGGCATCGGCGCCGCCGAGAGCGGCGGAGAAGCGGCCGCGGGCGGCGGCGGAGGAGGCGGCAAGGATGGAGCGCAGAGGCAGCAGCAGCAGCAGCAGCAGCTGGAGCAGCTGGAGCAGCAGCAGCAGCAGGAGAGGGAGCGCCAGGAGGGGTTGCTGGCTGCCACCAGCCTCCTCAATACCATCCAGAGCCGCGTGCTCGACACCATCATGATGGAGATGCGCGACGACAGCGGTGGGTGTTGGCCCGCGCCACGCACGCACGTCACACGACAAAGGGCAAAGATCCCACCCCTCCCGTGTAGCCTTTAACAGACCCTAGGGGCAAGTGGTGTTGGCCCGGCGCCTTTGAAGGCCGGCGCGGCACACGCGCGCGCTCGCGAAGACGTGCGTATGTTTTCACTTCTTTCCCACCGCGCACGTTCTTGCAAGGCTAAGGGCCTCTATTGCGGACCACAGCACCCTCCCATAGGCCCCGGACTTCACTTTCATTCGCGCACGAACTATCCCTCCGAGAGCCCCCCCCCCCGCCTCTGGACGGCTCGCTCACCGCATTTCTCTCGGCCAATCCCCGTCCTCTCTCTCTCTTCTCCAACGGATGTCAACCATCTCCCTTTCCCCGCTTTTTTAAGTTTGAATTTCCCTCCACCAATCATTTCAATTCTGTGTCCTTAGCCAATCCTCTCTGAGGCCTCGCTGCACCAATCGGAGGCCTTGACACACGTGCTGACTGTGCGTTTGCACGCGTGCCACGTCGGGTTAAGTCAATCCCTTATCAGTGGCCTACTTTAATACAGTCGAATTCTAGACCTTATTGGTCACCCCGTGCCCCTTATAAATCTCAACGTTCATCGCAAGGGAGAAACACAAACAAATGTCCGCACGCGTATCTTTACGCCATTGAAACGGCTGTACGCCGTGTGGACCTGTAAACTCAATAATTTCCCTGTACAAGAATACGGAGTAAACCTTGTGGCGCGAGAGGTATGGTAGTGTGTTTTTTCGGTCTGTACACCCGCCGCACGGAAGGGACAAACGCAAGGATTTTAAAAAATATATATATATTTCCCTTACAGCCTTTACAATAACAAATCACGAGGGTTTTTTGTTTTCAATCTACATTCAAGACTTATTTCTTCAGAACAGTTTTTTTTGTGTTTGGTTATCCTTACCCCCCGCACCGCCGATTAGCACGGTTGGCTACGTACGGCGCTAAAGTAGTTCAACATACCCACGCACAGTGAAACCTTGGATTGCGAGCATACACGTACACGTACACTACTCGTATTGCAAGACATCGGCTCGTTTATCAAATTATTATTTACTTAAAAGTTTTTGCTCGTCTTGCAAAACACTCGCAGACCAAGTTACTCGCAATTCAAGGCTTCACTGTACATGCATTAATTGGCTGAAAACACATCAGTTGTATACGGGCACCACCTCCGTGTGTTTTTGCGGATGGCGCGGTGTCGCGAGAGGCAGCTTGCACGAATGACGTTGCCTTTTTTAGTTGGTGCCATTCCTTTATTTCACCCGCATGTGCGTGGCGATCCACCATCCCTCGCTGCTGCCTCCTCAGTGCCTGGATTACAGCTGTGCGTGCCACTTGGGCCGTTGGGTGTTTCAAATGAACCCATCGAATTCTCACCCAGGACTCGGAAATTCTACAGGAGGGGCGTCGCTCATCTCTCTCTCTCTGTCTCTCCCCCGTGTCTCTCCCCCGTGTCTCTCCCCCGTGTCTCTCCCCCCGTGTCTCTCCCCCATGTCTCTCCCCCGTGTCTCTCCCCCCGTGTCTCTCCCCCGTGTCTCTACCCCGTGTCTCTCCCCCGTGTCTCTCCCCCCGTGTCTCTCCCCCCGTGTCTCTCCCCCGTGTCTCTCCCACTGTGTCTCTCCCCCGTGTCTCTCCCCCGTGTCTCTCCCACCGTGTCTCTCCCCCACCGTGCCTCTCCCCACCGTGCCTCTCCCACCGTGTCTCTCCCACCGTGTCTCTCCCCCGTGTCTCTCCCACCGTGTCTCTCCCCCGTGTCTCTCCCACCGTGGCTCTCCCACCGTGCCTCTCCCCCCGTGTCTTTCCCACCGTGTCTTTCCCACTGTGTCTCTCCCACCGTGTCTCTCCCACCGTGTCTCTCCCCCCCACCGTGTCTCTCTCCCGCACCGTGCCTCTCTCCCCCACCGTGCCTCTCTCCCCCACCGTGTCTCTCCCCACCGTGTCTCTCTCCCACCGTGTCTCTCCCCACCGTGTCTCTCCCCACCGTGCCTCTCTCCCCCACCGTGCCTCTCCCCCCCCACCGTGTCTCTCCCCACCGTGTCTCTCTCCCCCACCGTGTCTCTCTCCCCCACCGTGTCTCTCTCCCCCACCGTGTCTCTCTCCCCCACCGTGTCTCTCTCCCCCACCGTGCCTCTCTCCCCCACCGTGTCTCTCTCCCCCACCGTGTCTCTCTCCCCACCGTGTCTCTCTCCCCCACCGTGTCTCTCTCCCCCACCGTGCCTCTCTCCCCCACCGTGCCTCTCTCCCCCACCGTGTCTCTCTCCCCCACCGTGTCTCTCTCCCCCACCGTGCCTCTCTCCCCCACCGTGCCTCTCTCCCCCACCGTGTCTCTCTCCCCACCGTGTCTCTCTCCCCCACCGTGTCTCTCTCCCCCACCGTGTCTCTCTCCCCCACCGTGTCTCTCTCCCCCCACCGTGTCTCTCTCCCCCACCGTGTCTCTCTCCCCCACCGTGTCTCTCCCCCACCGTGCCTCTCTCCCCCACCGTGTCTCTCTCCCCCACCGTGTCTCTCTCCCCACCGTGTCTCTCTCCCCCACCGTGTCTCTCTCCCCCACCGTGTCTCTCCCCCACCGTGCCTCTCTCCCCCACCGTGTCTCTCCCCCACCGTGCCTCTCTCCCCCACCGTGTCTCTCCCCCACCGTGTCTCTCCCCCCACCGTGCCTCTCTCCCCCACCGTGTCTCTCCCCCACCGTGTCTCTCTCCCCCACCGTGTCTCTCTCCCCCACCGTGTCTCTCTCCCCCACCGTGTCTCTCCCCCACCGTGCCTCTCTCCCCCACCGTGTCTCTCCCCCACCGTGCCTCTCTCCCCCACCGTGTCTCTCCCCCACCGTGTCTCTCTCCCCCACCGTGTCTCTCTCCCCCACCGTGTCTCTCCCCCACCGTGCCTCTCTCCCCCACCGTGTCTCTCTCTCCCCGCACCGCGCTGCAGGCCCCACACCTCCTCCTCCTCCTCCTCCGCCTCCGGACGCCCCGCTGAAGCGCAAGAAGGGCCCGGCGCCCAAGATGCTGGGCAACGAGCTGTGCTCGGTGTGCGGCGACAAGGCCTCGGGTTTCCACTACAAACGTGCTGAGCTGCGAGGGCTGCAAGGGCTTCTTCCGGCGCAGCATCATCAAGGGCACCACCTACGCCTGCAAGACGGGCGCCCGCTGCGAGATCGACGTCTACATGCGGCGCAAGTGCCAGGACTGCCGCCTGCAAAAGTGCCGCGCCGTCGGCATGCTGGAGCAGTGTGAGTGGGCGGTGGCGGCGGTGGGCGGTGGTGGGCGGTGGGCGGTGGTGGGCGGTGGGCGGTGGGCGGTGGCGGTGGGCGGTGGGCGGTGGGCGGTGGGCGGTACCGGGCGTGGTAAACGTCGCCGCTGCGGAGACATGAGGTGGCCGGGTGAGCAGGGTGGGGCGGGCGTGGTGCTGGCCACACACACACGCCGACCCGCCCGTGGTGCTGGCCACACACACACGCCGACCCGCCCGTGGTGCTGGCCACACACACACGCCGACCCGCCCGTGGTGCTGGCCACACACACACGCCGACCCGCCCGTGGTGCTGGCCACACACACACGCCGACCCGCCCGTGGTGCTGGCCACACACACACGCCGACCCGCCCGTGGTGCTGGCCACACACACGCCCGCCCGCCCGACCCGCCCGCCTCGTGTCGTGTGCCATGCCTGCTACCCGTTGACAGCACTTGGCCCAACAGTCTGTTGAAGGCTACCTGGGGGCGGGGTGTCTTTGTGCGCGCCTCTCGTTTTTTCCGACCGCCGTTCCGCGAGCACGTCGCACACCACCCCCCCCCCGCCCCCCCCCCCCCGCCCCCCCCCCCGCCCCGCTCGTCTTTACGTCGGCTTCCAGTGAAGTAGCGAAGCGAACTGTGGGATCCTGCTGCTGACCCCCAAGGCACCCGCTGGGTTCGCCCCCCCCCCCCTCCCCCCCTGCAAAATGTACGGGAGGTGATCCTCGTTGACTCTCCAACGAGGTCCCCCGAGATCTTCGAATCGCCTTCTGAGGGCTCGGAGGTCAAGGGTCATTCCCCCGGGGGGTGATCGGGCTCCTGCCGGTGCGGCTTCCAGGCTTTGGAACGCTTTTTCGTTTTCATAATTTACGGATGACGTGCGCCGGTTTTACAAAACGTAAATGGTGATCGTTGCGATTCTAGATTTGAAGCTTTCGTGACTTGCAAGGATCCACACTCTTTGGTTCTATTCGGTAAAGTCACGTAGTAGGTAAAAAAAAAATAAACCAACAAAAATCACGACGTTTCGGCCACAACACAAGCGGCCTTCATCAGGTGACGGGATCGGGCCGTCTGGAGGACAGCGCTGTGATTGCTGCCTTTGCGGGCCCTCTGCCCGCCGCAGGCGTGCTGTCGGAGGAGCAAATCCGGCAGAAGAAGCGTCGGAAAAACGACGAACCCGGCCCCGCGTCCTCCTCGTCCTCGGCCGCCTCCGCCGGCGGCACCAGCGCCTCCACCGCCTCCACGTCGTCGTCGGCGTCGTCGGCGTCATCGGCGGCGGCGTCGTCGTCTTCGCTGTCGTCGCCTTGCATCGCCCCCTTCCCCGGCCCCTCGTGCTCGTCGGCCGGCGCGGCGGCCGAGCCGCTGACGCCGAACCAGAACGACATGATCCAGAGGCTCGTCGCTGCACAGCAGCAGTGCAACAAGCGGTCGTTCAGCGACCAGCCCAAGGTCACGGTACGGCACTGGCGGTGGGGGGGGGGGGTGGGGGGAGGGGAGTGGGGGGGCGGGGGGGGGGGGAGGGGCTGCCGGCGAGCCCCGCGGAGAGGGATCGCAAGACGGCGATTGAAATAATTAGGGTTTACGTAGATCTCACCAGTGCACCGCCGTCTAATGGAAGGTGGGAAAACCATGCGGAGCCTGCTGGGTAAAGGGCCAGAATTCGGCGCCGAAGGCCAGGCCAGTTTACCCACTCAGCCACCTGACTCAGCACCCGGGCCTGCTCGTGGGGCATTGGTCTGCCAGGAGGGGCGGGGGGGCGATGATTGCTATGTGGTGTCACCTTGGGGACCCCCAGTGGCAGCTGTCCCTGTGCGGGAAAATGTGTCTCAACATCCCTCCCCCTCTCTCTCTCTTTCCCCCCTCTCTCTACCCTCTCCCCACCCCTCATCTCCTTCTCTCCTCTGTCTCCTCTTGTCTCCCATCTCTCCCTTCTCCCCTCTACATCTCCCCCTCCTCCCCTCCCCTCTTCCCCCTCTCCTCTCTCCCCTCTCTCCCTTCCCCCTCTCCATCTCCCCCTCCTCTCTCCCCACCCCTCGTCTCCCTCTCTGTCTCCTCTTGTCTCCCATCTCTCCCTTCTCCCCCTCTCTCTCTCTCCCCTCCTTTCTCTCCCCCTCTGTCCCCTCTCTCCATCTCCCCCTCCATCTCTCTCCCCTCCCCTCTCTCCTCTCTCCCCTCTCCCGCTCTCCCCCACCCCCCTCTCCCATCCCCCTCTCCATCTCCCCTCTCTCCATCTCCCCCTCCGTCTCCCCCTCCATCTCTCTCCCCTCTCTCCCTTTCCCCTCTCCATCTCCCCCTCCGTCTCCCCCTCCGTCTCCCCCTCCATCTCTCTCCCCTCTCTTTCTCTCTCCCTTCCCCCTCTCCCCTCTTTCCCCTCTCTCCATCTCCCCCTCCATCTCCCCCTCCATCTCTCTCCCCTCCCCTCTCTCCCTTCCCCCTCCCTCCCCCCTCTCTCCATCCTCGCCCCCCCCCCCCTCCCCCGCGCGTCTCCCTCCTCGCCGCGCACTGCCACCCAGCCGTGGCCGATGAGCTCCGACCCGCACAACCGCGAGGCGAGGCAGCAGCGCTTCGCCCACTTCACGGAGCTCGCCATCATCTCGGTGCAGGAGATCGTCGACTTTGCCAAGCAGGTGCCGGGCTTCCTGGAGCTGTGCCGTGAGGACCAGATCGCCCTGCTCAAGGCCTCCACCATCGAGGTGACGACGCTGGGCCGCCACCCCCCCCCCCCATACCCCTCGTCCCCTCCCGCCAACGCCCACGGAGGAATCCGATGAGCTGCGGATTCCGGCAACGAACGATACGCAGACGGCGGTCGGAGCGCAAAATGGAAGGGAGGCTTAAGCGAGTCGTGTGGATTTTTTTTATCCCCCTCTGGCAAAGGGTTAAGTTCGAACACTCCTCCCGAGTTTTCAGGATGCAGGTTTTTTTTTTGCTGTTTGTTGTGGTTACCTTTCTTGAGGCACTTCCCACGACTTGGGACGCCACGCTTCGGACACTTTCAAAGGCTCGGGTAGTCCTCTTAGCATCATCGTCGTCGTCATCTTCGTCATGTGGTGGCTTTTCACTCGGTGATGTTGGTCAAATTTGTCGCGCGTTTTTCTTGACGGGGTTTGGGTAACCTTGAAAAATAGGACGTCCGTGATGCCGATTTCTTTTTTTTGTTTGTTTTGGGGGTTAGATCGCGTAGATGTGTAAACGTTGTGTCGTTAGAACCCGCCACCACCCGACACAGCCAACTAGTAAGGGGTTGTGTCACGTAAACAGAACGTGGCCAATTCGTCACTAGTACAGCACTAGTATATTGTGTAGTGTATAGTGTAGTATACTAGTACAGCACTAGTATATAGTATAGTGTGTAGTGTAGTATATAGTGTAGTGTAAGTGTGTAGTGTATAGTATTGTATAGTGTATAGTAGTGTATAATAGTGTAGTGTATAATAGTATAGTGTAGTGTATAGTGTAGTGTAGAGTGTAGTGTATAGTGTTGTAGTGTATAGTATATTGCAGTGTATAAAAGTGTAGTGTATAGTGGTGTATAGTGTAGTGTGTAGTGTATAATATAGTGTATAAGTGTAGTGTATAAGTGTAGTGTATAGTAGTGTATAGTGTAGTGTATAGTGTAGTATAGTGTAGTGTATAGCAGTGTAGTGTATAGGGTAGTGTATAGTAGTTTAGTGTATAGTAGTGTATAGTGTAGTAGTGTATAGTGTAGTGTATGGTAGTGTATAGTGTAGTGTATAGTAGTGTAGTGTATAGTAGTGTATAGTGTAGTGTATAGTAGTGTAGTGTATAGTAGTAGTGTATAGTGTAGTGTATAGTGTAGTGTATAGTGTAGTGTATAGTAGTGTAGTGTATAGTAGTGTAGTGTGTAGTAGTGTAGTATAGTGTAGTGTATAGTGTAGTGTTTAGTAGTGTAGTGTATAGTGTAGTGTTTAGTAGTGTAGTGTATAATAGTGTAGTGTATAGTAGTGTAGTATATAGTAGTGTATAGTGTAGTGTATAGTGTAGTGTATAGTAGTGTAGTGTATAGTAGTAGTGTATAGTGTAGTGTATAGTAGTGTATAGTTTAGTGTATAATAGTGTAGTGTATAGTAGTGTAGTGTATAGTGTATTGTATAGTAGTGTAGTGTGTAGTAGTGTAGTGTATAGTAGTGTATAGTGTAGTGTATAATAGTGTAGTGTATAGTGTAGTATATAGTAGTGTAGTGTATAGTAGTGTATAGTAGTGTATAGTAGTATATGGTAGTGTATAGTGTAGTGTATAGTGTAGTGTATAGTGTAGTGTATAATAGTGTGTAGTGTATAGTGTAGTGTATAGTAGTGTATAGTGTAGTGTATAATAGTGTAGTGTATAGTACTGTAGTGTATAGTAGTGTATAGTGTAGTGTATGGTAGTGTAGTGTATAGTGTAGTGTATAGTGTAGTGTATAATAGTGTAGTGTATAGTACTGTAGTGTATAGTAGTGTATAGTGTAGTGTATGGTAGTGTAGTATATAGTAGTGTAGTGTATAGTGTAGTGTATAGTGTAGTGTACTAGTACAGCCACTGCGGACCCTTCGCCGGCAATTACAACCAGCTTCATGAGATCTGCCTGTCACCTGATGATGCTGGTTGTAAAACAAATGATAGTTTGTTGAATAGTTTGAATGAATGCAGCAGCGTCGTCCGTTGACGGTCGGCGTTTTTGCCCTCGCCATAGATAATGCTTCTGGAGACGTCACGGAGGTACAACAAGGAGGCAGACAGCATAATGTTCCTCAAGGACTTCACCTACAACAAGGATGACTTTGCCCGGGCAGGTCCGTACGTTTGTTGTATGCGTACACGTAGCAAGCTGCACTAAACGGAGGTGCGGGGGGAAGGACAACAAACGATCGTTCTCTTTGTGAGTCTATGGGTCTCTGTGTGAGTCTGTGGGTCTCTGTGTGAGTCTGTGGGTCTCTGTGTGAGTCTGTGGGTCTCTGTGTGAGTCCATGGGTCTCTGTGAGTCTGTGGGTCTCTGTGTAAGTCTATGGGTCTCTGTGTGAGTCTATTGGTCTCTGTGTGAGTCTATGGGTCTCTGTGCGAGTCTATGGTTCTATGTGAGTCTATGGGTCTCTTGTGAGTTGATGGGTCTCTGTGTGAGTCTGTGGGTCTTTGTGTGAGTCTGTTGGTCTATGTGTGAGTCTATGGGTCTCTGTGTGAGTCCATGGGTCTCTGTGAGTCTGTGGGTCTCTGTGTAAGTCTATGGGTCTCTGTGTGAGTCTATGGGTCTCTGTGTAAGTCTGTTGGTCTCTGTGTGAGTCTATGGGTCTCTGTGCGAGTCTATGGTTCTATGTGAGTCTATGGGTCTCTTTGTGAGTTGATGGGTCTCTGTGTGAGTCTGTGGGTCTTTGTGTGAGTCTATGTGTCTCTATGTGAGTCTATGGGTCTCTGTGTGAGTCTATGGGTCTCTGCGCGAGTCTGTGTGCGTGTGTTGAACTTCTTTCGCAAAGCGCACGTGGCCAACCGTGCTGATCGGAGGTGCGCTCAACATGCAGGCCTGCAGTTCGAGTTCATCGACCCGATTTTCGAGTTCTCGAAAGGCATGAAGGACCTCCGACTGGACGACGCGGAGTACGCTCTGCTCATCGCCATCAACATCTTCTCCGCAGGTGCGAGCCCCCGGAATCCCCAGGCCAACGCGTGCGCGTTGCACTTCCAGCTTTTCGTTAAAACAAAAAATAAAACTTGAACGGTGCGGGCAACACAGCGGGGCTGCAACCCGCAGGTCGTTTAAAAGCAACGCGTGATAATAATGATGATAATGATGATGATGACGGTGATGATGATTCTTTCATCATGCGTAGCGTCTTTAACGGGGGCAAGTGCTGTTAGCGGGCTTCCTACGAAGGCCGGGCACGGCACACGAGGGGGTGGGTGGCCAGCACCACGCCCGGCCGCCTTTGTCTCCCCCAGTGGGCGATGTTTACTACACACCGCACCAGGTGCTCGTTTGAGGCTGAGTCGACCCAGGGGAGGCCCAGGACCGGTTCGTATAATCGTCGCCGGCGTTGGCCGTGAGCGGGAATCGAACCCGGGTCGCCGGGTTCTTAGCGCAGCGCGGCGCTAACCGCTGCACCGCCGCTCCCCGGGCACTCCTTGTCTCACACGCGACGATAGATGCCTTCCTGGAAAAGCGCGTGCATCTCAAAATCGCGTTACGTCAAATAGAAATGTTTCCACAATGAATAATGGTGAAGGGGTTGGGGGGGGGGGGGGAGGAGGGGTGGGGGGGTTATGGGATTTCGCTCACACTCGCAAACATCATCGCCTGTTTTATCCAATATAATATCCATAACACAGGTCGTTTTTTGTTGCGTTAGATCGTGCAAATATAAATGTGTCGTTAAAACCCGCCACCACCCGACACGGGCCAATCAGTAAGGTTTGTCACGTCAACAGAAACATTCCAATTCGTTACGAATACAGCGCAGTCGCACAGCTGCTTTAACGACATGTTTATGTTTACAAGATCTAACCCCAAAACAACCTGTAGTATGGATAATATTGATCGCGAAAGCCTTCGTGTTAAACTCATATCGGGTTTTTTTTATTGTTTGTCTGTGCCCCCTACTGCACATCTGTAAATTTACATTGTAAAGAAAATTCTTCCATTAGGTCTCATCCACGCGGTTTTAGATACGTGACCAGGTATTGTATTTAGGTGGAGGGTAGTGGGTGAATGGCTTAGTGGGCGGGTTGGGCGAGTGTGTGGACAGCTGAGTGGGGTGATGGGTAAATGGATGAGCAGATGAATGTGTGGTTGGTTGTTTGGTTGAGTGAGTGGATGGGTGGGCGGGAGTGCGAGTGACCAGGTGAGTCAGTGGTTTTGCGGGGGAGTGCACGATGGAGCAGGTGAGTGAGTGGATGGGTGGGTGGGTGAGCGAGTGAGCATCTGAGTGAGTGAGTGAGTGGATTGGTGGGTGGGTGAGCAAGTGAGCAGGTGAGTGAGTGAGTGAGTGGATTGGTGGGTGGGTTAGCAAGTGAGTGAGTGAGTGAGGGGATTGGTGGGTGGGTGAGCAAGTGAGCAGGTGAATGAGTGGATTGGTGAGTGGGTGAGCGAGTGAGCAGTTGAGTAAGTGGATTGGTGAGCAAGTGAGCAGGTGAGTGTATTGGTGGGTGGGTGAGCGAGTGAGCAGGTGAGTGAGTGGATTGGTGAGCAAATGAGCAGGTGAGTGTATTGGTGGGTGGGTGAGCGAGTAAGCAAGTGAGTGAGTGGATTGGTGGGTGGGTGAGGAAGTCAGCAGGTGAGTGAGTGGATTGGTGGGTGGGCGAGGGAGTGAGCGGGGGAGTGAGCAAGCGATTTGGCGAGCGTACGAGCGAGCAGGTAACTGCGTGCGTACACACGTGCGCGTGTTTGAGCTTGTCTGTGAGCGTATGTTTGAGTGTGTGTGCGTGGGCCCTTCATCGGTGCTACTCGCTAACAACACTTGCCCCAACAGTCTGTTAAGGCTATACGGGGATCTTTGTTTTGTGTGTGTACGTATGTGTGCAGACCGCCCGAATGTTCAGGACCACCAGCTGGTGGAGAAGCTCCAGCAGCCATACGTGGATGCCTTGCACGCGTACACCTGCATCCAGCGACCCACGGTACCCAGCATGCACCAGTAATACCCCATAATGCATCAGCATGAGCAATTGCCCAGCAAGCTTCGGCAAAACTCAGCATGCACAGCAACTGCCGAGGATGCATCGGGATTACCCAGCATGCACCACTGCTACCCAGCACCCACGGTGCTGCAGTAGCAATTACCCAGCATGCATCATGACAAGTAATTACCCAGAATGAACCACGACTGCCCAGAATGCACGACAGCTACAGATAATGCATCAAGATTACCCAACATGCACCACTGCTACCCAGCACCCACCACGGCTACCCGCGATTCGACAATGCCCATCGTGCGGCAATAGCAATTACCCAGCATGCATCACGACCATTAATTACCCAGCATATGCCACGGCTACCCAGGATGCACCACAGCTACAGAACAGGCACCACAACTACCCAGCATGCATCAGTGTTACCCAACAAGTACGTCTTTTTGTACTTGCCCCAATAGCCTGTTAAAGGCTGCATGGGGGATCTTTATGTTTGTCTGTTTGTATATGTGCATGTGTGCGTGTACATTGTGGGGAGAGGTGGTGTAGCGGGTTAGCGCTACGCTGCGCTACGAACCCGGCGACTCGAGTTCGATTCCCGCTCACGGCCCGCATCAGCGACGGTTATCTGAACCGGTGCTGGGCCTCCCCTAGGTCGACTCGGCCTCAAATGAGTACCTGGTGCAGTGCGTAAAAACATCGCCACTAGGGAGACAAAGGCGGGCCTGGTGGGCGTGGTGCTGGCCACCCACCGCCGTCATGTGCCGCCTTACAAACCTTCGTTAGTGCTGTTCCTCGCCAACGGCACTTGCCCACGACAATCTGTTGAGGTGTATTCTTGGTTCTTTCGGTGAAGTCGCGTAGAAGGGAAATAATAAAGTAATAAAAATATAAAACAATAAAAATTCTCACGACGTTTTGATTGCAACACAAGCAATCATCGTCAGGTGTGAAAATGTTCTTCCTGCTGTGGTTTTCACACCCGATGATTGCTTGTGTTGCAATCGAAACGTCGCGAGAATTTAATTGTTTTATTTTTTTATTTCCCTTCTACGTTATCATCAGGTGTGAAAGCCCCGGCAAGAAAATTTTAAGAAAAAAAAATTAAAAACCTGTCGAGGCTTTACGGGGGGCGGATTTTTTTCCTTCTCTCCGTAGGATCACGTGATGTTCCCGCGCATGCTCATGAAGCTGGTGTCCCTGCGCACGCTGAGCAGCGTCCACTCGGAGCAGGTCTTTGCGCTGCGCCTCCAGGACAAAAAACTGCCGCCCCTTCTGTCCGAGATCTGGGACGTTCACGAGTGAAGGGCCGTCCGCCGGGGTGGCCGCCGCCGCTGCCGCCCTCGTCCTCGGCTGTTGTCTATCCGCTGCTGGATGAAGGATTTCCCGCCAAGCCGTCGGGATCTCCGGCGGCCTTGCGACGATGCAGCCTGGACTCTCTGTTCGCCACTCCTCCGTGCCAGCGACGGACACCCTGCCCCCGTGCGCTTTATCCGTTCTTTGGCTGCCGCTCCCTTCTTTAGTCGCGAGCCGTTGCGGATAGCCAGCCGGGCTTGGGCAGGACCCGCCGCCGATGCCAGTACCAAAATGTGAGAATAGGTTTTCCCCTTTTTTTCTGGCCACCAAACAGGTTGTGTTAAGATGTTAAAACGCCAAACTGAAACCGTTTTTACAAGGAATCACGTCACTGCGTTTACCACGGTGCTTGTGGTCAGGATGCAAGCAAACAAAAAAAAATCTGATGATATATATGATGGCATCGTCCTTGAAACTGATTGGTCCACACCAGAGACGGCTTTCTTTTGAGCCTCGTCTCAAAAGGTGTCAGACCAGAGGCTGCCAAGACGCCCTTTGGGCGGGCGGGCGGGCGGGGGGGGTGGGGGAGAAAACCTATTCTCATTTTATTTTTACTTTTACTTCACACCACCAGGTAAGGCCCACTGAGCCGTGTGGCTCTTTTTTTTGCATAAGCGAGCAGGCCGTCACAAATGATAGCCTCAACGACAAGGGGGCTTATCGTCGCGTGGAAATGTATAGCAGCAGCCAAACGCTGCCGCTTGTGGATGTGGAAGGAGGATTAACCCAGAGAATCACGGAGAGAAAATCCACACGACCACGGTGTGAGACAGACAGAGAGAGAGAGAGACACACACTGCAACTTCAAATATAGCAACGGGCGTCGGGGGTCGAACCCACGACCTCATCCACGTGGATTTTTTTTTCTTCCTTCTTGCCGTCCGCGACGCTGTTGGGCCGCTCAGCGATCGCCGCCGCCGTTTTGCTCGACGGCAGCGAGGTTTTCGTTTCGTTTGTTTGCGACGATTTTAGCGTTCACGAGGCACTTCCCACGATTTAGGATGCACGCTTCAGCCACTTTAAAAGACTCGGGTAGTCGTTAATTTCGTCGTCATCGTCGTCATCTGGCGGCTTTTCACTCGGTGTGCTGCGTAGCACGCCCCGACCGATTGTGACCGCGATGCAAGTGCGAACAGCTTGTCCCGCGTTTTGCTTGTAACCACGTGGGTGACCTGAAAAAGAATATTACGTTTAGTCCGACATGCTCGGATGAGCTGGACCGTAACCCGTTTCCCAACCCTCTCCCATTCCGCTGACGGTACGCACCTCCACGTGCCGTCCATCGGAGGCAAAACTAAAACAAACTTAATCGGTGCGTCCTCAGGCCGGAAGACGCACCGAGGCTCCCACAAGGCCGTGCAGCAGTGTGTGCGGGCGCGGAACGGCACGGTTTGGCGCCAGCGGAGATGGCGGCGCTCGAGTCCCCTGCGGTTCGCTGCGGCGAGTGCAGTGTCCTCAAGTAAGATTAGCGAACGCCGAAACACTTGGGACATTCCGAGATTCGGCAAACGAACGGAGCCACCATCCTGCAACTTTGCAGGCGTCTCGGAACGGCAAAGGGTGAACGCAGCGTGGCCCCGCGTGGCGGCCACGCCGCTGCACGTGGACTGACCTGTAAGCTGCGGGGGGCAGCAGCGAGTGTTGGCGGATCGCCGCACAGATGGGTTTGCGAATCTCCCTTCCCCATGGGTGGGCATCGAGGGGGGGGGGTGGGGGAGGGGGGGATGTAAGCCCGACCCGCTAGGAGAAGACGGTATATCAAGTCGACTAAACGGAATCAAGAGTCTTTGTTAATCCTGGAGAAATCCGATGAGCTGTGAAGCTCTTTTTTTTTCCACAGCTGTCCGTTTTTCTCACGAAAATTGTGTTCGTTATAATGTTTTTAATGCACCCGCAACCGCGGGCAAGACAGAGACGGTAAACAGAACTTGCTTGTAGGTATTAAAGAAAAAAAACCTCATTTTTTTATGGAGTTAGCCAAACATTCCAACGTTGGGCCACGGAGCTTGGGGCAATTGTTGGCTCGTCCGCGGTTTCCCACGCCTCCTGAATCTCTCGAGGACACATTTGTAACTTCACCTCGAACACCGCCAGCGTCTCGTTCATGTTGGTGCCATTGCAAGGCCGGCCCCAGTCCACCAGCAAGCACGCCTGCGGGTCGTCACCCCTCGGTTACAAAGCATTTACTTTGGTGGAGAGCTAATATGACACAGGCAATTTAAACAATAACGAAACTATTTTATTTTACCGAGCAAGGAGGCCCCCACTGAGCTATAGGGCTCTTTTTCAGAGGCGACCCTGGCCACAAACGATAGCCCAAGGGGCAAGTGGCTCACGCGGAAATTTATAGCAGTAGTCAAATATTCCAAACGCGCGATGTTGACTCTAAATGTGGAGGGAAAAACCGGAGGGTCCGGAGAAAAGTCCACGCGACCACGGGGAGAGAGAGAGAGACCGCAAACTGCAGATATACAGCAGCAGGCGTCAGGGTCGGGATCGAACTCACGACCTCCTGCACACCAGGCGAGGTAGTTAACATCTCCTAGCCACCGTGATGATGATGATGAGAGACGCAAACTCCAAATATACAGCAGCAGGCGTCAGGGTCGGGATCGAACTCACGACCTCCTGCGTACCAGGCGAGGCGGTTAACATCTCCTAGCCACCGCGACTCCCGTACGTAATTTAGCAATTCGGTTGGGACGCTTCGCCGGTAGCTGCAACCGTATAATCAGAATTCTCGTAGATCACTTTTCACAACAAGACTCGGTGCGGCAGCACCCGTGACGTCACATCCGTATTCCATAGGGGAGCCGCAATGGCGAGGCGTTAACTCCCTCGCCCGCTCCGCAGGATGTCGTGGGTTCGACCCGGGACCCCCCGACGCCCGTTGTATATATTTGGGGCCCGCGTTGTGTTCTCGCCGTGGCCGCGCTGATTCTTCTCCCCGGGTCCTCCGGTTTTCCCTTCCACGTTTAGAAACGACATCCCGCGTTCCGCTCAAGAGTGTTTGGCAGCTGTACGTTTCCCCCCGCGCGCGCGGGCGATGAGCCACGTGGGTTGAGCCGTGATTTGCCATGGCCAGGCGGCTTCTGAAATAGAGCTGTGTAGCTCAGTGGGCCTCGCCCGTTAAAATAAAACAAAAAATTTAATGACATTTTTGGGGGGGTTTTTTTTTTGCTTGTGTTGCAATCAGTTGAGGCCCACTGAGCTCTAAAATAAGAGAGCGTACTGCACAGGATATCGTGTTTTTTTTATTTAAAGCTTTCGTGACTGCAAGGGGATTCATATTCTGTGTTCTTTCGGTAAAGTCACCACGTAGAAGGGAAACGATAAAATAATAAAAGTAAAAATATATTTTAAAAAATAAAAATATATGTTATATTTTTATTATTTTATTGTTTCCCTTCTACGTGGTGACTTTACCGAAAGAACCAGGGATAGGATATCGTGTGTTTAGTTTATTGTCCATCCCCTGCGTCTCCGATTAGCAGGGTTGGCTCCGTACGGTGCGAAAGAAATTCAACGTACATTAAATACACGTCCGTCTTAAAAACTATTCTTTTATTTTTTTTAAACCGGCCTTTACCGCCCCCCCCCGCCTAAATCCCTTCCCGCCTTCCATACACGGCGGTGGCGCATTGGTGGGGTAATCTACGGATGAGATGCGCCGTTTTTCCCCGATGCTAAATTATGATTATTATCGTCAAAAGGATTCTCTACTGGGGCATTTTCAAATCTACAGACGATAACCTCTCCCCTCCCCCCCTGCCTCCCGGCGTCGACATGCAAAGGGGGCAGCTCCTTTGCCCTGCGATCGTTGTTGAGTTGCTACCGGGGAGGGGGGGCGAGGTGGGTAGTCTTGTAAGGCGTGTTCGCGTGACTGTTGTTGCTACGATCAAGACGAATGTACCGTGTTTGCTTCTCTCGCTCGCGTTGTTCGGCGCCACGACGACGTCCGACGTTTCGCGCCACCACCACCCCCCCCCTTCCCCCCCCCCACGATCGGCACAGATCATCGTAACACGAGTGCCGGTGGCCGCGAGCGGCAAATCCGGCACACGGGGGGTCCGGCCGCCGGGGGCCTCGACAGTTTTACAGCGGCAAGCGACGATCGGGCGTGCCGGAGAGAGAGAGAGAGGAGGGGGGGGGGGTGGGTAAGGACGCGGCTGCCGTAGCACTCCGCACACGATCTGCTCGTGTCGCGAACTCTCCTCTCGCTAGGCAGCGGCGGGGTGGGCCGGGGCCCTGCCGGCCGTAACGTCCGTAGCGCGATCGCCGGAGGCAAGTCTAAACCAGAAGCACACAGAGGGGTATAACCACACCCCCCTCACCGTGTTCATACGGGGGCGTCGCTCCACACCTACTTATTTTTCCACTGCGCAACCGGGCCGTGCCGGTACCCGCGCCGAGCCAGCCCCGGCGCGTGGACCCGGCGGAGGCGTGGGGGTGGGGGTGGGGGGTGGGGGGTGGGGGTCCGTGTTTTTTTCCCCCCCACCCCTCTCGCGCTGCAGAAGACGTAGCCGTTGCCGACCCGTGACGTCGCGCGCGTCGGCGATCGGTGACGGTGACGCACAAGCAACAAAGTTGCGCAAGCAACAAAGTCGCGCGCGGTGAACTCTTCACCCCCCCCCGCCCCCCCCCCCGCTCCCGAGACGACTGCGGGTCGCCGGTTTTGGCCGGGGCGCCCCGTTCACCGCGGAGAAGCTCCACGCCGTTGCGGTTGCAAGAGACGAACCCGCGGAGAGCGGCGGTGGCGGCACGCCGCAGGGCTCCGTGGGTAGCCGGCGCCAAACTCTGCCGCACGGCCCTCCCCGCAAGTGGGCCCTGAGGGAGCCCCCCGGTGCGTCATCGGAACCCGAAACGGTTAATGGGTGCGCGCCGCCTCAGGTTGGCGCCGACCAACGGCGCGATGGACGGTGGCAACGGTTGACGCCGTCCCCCTGGCCCTGCTTGGCCCCCCCGAGCGGGATTCGGGCGTCTTGCCAGCCAGGCGCGCGTCACGGTTTGGTTCTGGGGTCGGCGCGGAAAGTAGCCGGTGGGGAATAAACCACCACCAACTTTAACCGCGGTTGTCCCCACGTGAGTGCGGCTCGGATGTGCAGGTGGACAACTGGTCGTTTGTGTTTGTTTTTTTACATTGAGCGAATTCGATGTTTGGCACTTCCGTGTAGGAAAAACACGGTTTCAGTAAAATCAGATTCTTAAAACTAAAATCCAGGATCAGAGTACTGAGAATAAAATCACTGGAATTTAGGATCGGAGTCTGGAAAGTCAAATCCAGGAGACTGGGATTAAGGATCGGAGTCTTGAAAGTCAAATCCAGGAGACTGGGATTCAGGATGGGAGTCTGGAAAGTCAAATCATCCAGGAGACTGGGATTCAGGATCGGAGTCTTGAAAGTCAAATCCAGGAGATTGGGATTCAGGATCGGAGTCTGGAAAGTCAAATCCAGGAGGTTGGGATTCAGGATCGGAGTCTTGAAAGTCAAATCCAGGAGATTGGGATTCAGGATCGGAGTCTGGAAAGTCAAATCCAGGAGACTGGGATTCAGGATCAGAGTCTGGAAAGTCAAATCCAGGAGATTGGGATTCAGGATCGGAGCCTTGAAAGTCAAATCCAGGAGATTGGGATTCAGGATCGGAGTCTTGAAAGTCAAATCCAGGAGACAGGGATTCAGGATCGGAGTCTTGTAAGTCAAATCCAGGAGATTGGGATTTAGGATCGGAGTCTGTAAAGTCAAATCCAGGAGATTGGGATTCAGGATCGGAGTCTTGAAAGTCAAATCCAGGAGACTGGGATTCAGGATCGGAGTCTGGAAAGTCAAATCCAGGAGACTGGGATTCAGGATCAGAGTCTGGAAAGTAAAATCCAGGAGATTGGGATTCAGGATCGGAGCCTTGAAAGTCAAATCCAGGAGACTGGGATTCAGGATCAGAGTCTGGAATGTCAAATCCAGGAGATTGGGATTCAGGATCGGAGTCTTGAAAGTCAAATCCAGGAGACTGGGATTTAGGATCGGATTCTGGAAAGTCAAATCCAGGAGACTGGGATTCAGGATCGGAGTCTTTATTGAGCCATGGCTGCAGGAAAATGACTGGTCCTCAAACCCATTCTCTCTCTCTTTCAAGACATGCATATAAAGAGTGGTTTTGTGTTTTAACGTGCATTATTATTTAAAAAGCTCTTTCTCGGATTTTATTATACGTTAAGGTTTGTCTTAAAGCTGAAAATAAGCCACGGTCTTACTGGTATAAACTAATAAAAAAACATTGCAAATATAGTGTTTGTATCAATTTGCAACTGTTAGGTGGCAAATCAAAAACGTGATTGAATGCTAAATTAAAGTATTTCTTTTTTAATGTCTCTTCGAGGGCATCGGGTTGTGGCGATGTAACAACACCTGCATAGATTTATACTGCCTGCCGTCATTTGGAACCGGGCTTAATTTTAAAATCTTGCACCTTTTCGGAGGTGGTAGTAATAACATTATTTTTTTGTAATACAAAAGAAAAAATGTAAATAACAAACATCATCATCGTCGTCGGGCTTTTAGGGGTGTTGTGTAATAACCCAGAAGACATTGCTGTATATGAAATAAAAAAAAACTTATATTGTCAAAAGGCTTGTACAAAAATCATGTAAATTGAGACGCGCGAGGAAAAAAATAATGGCAAATGTACAAAAAAAACACACGCGCACAATAAATGCGTCATCCAATAACAAGCTGATGGTTGTTGTTGTTGTTGTTGTTTTTTTAGTGGCGCTCTGTGATATCCGAACGGAACCGTGTGTGGGCTTCGTTTTCATCACCGCCGGCTTCTAACTCTCACCCCCTGTAGTAAAGCACAGGGGGTTGGGAGCGTGTCTTGTTATCGGGAAATCGCTACGCAATGTTATTACGTGCACAGCAGTTTTTAACACGTGGGAAGTAATTGTAGACTTTCGGCGACCAATGTTATCCATGATTGAGGTGGGGTCTTTTTTTTTGGGGGGGGGGGGCGGAGAGGGGCGGGGTTAGATCGCGTAAGGGGCCGTCCATAAATGACGTCACGCACCTAGGGTGGGAGGGAGGGGGAGGGGGTCGGACATTTGTGACGATGGGTGGGGGGGGGAGTTTGAGAAATGTGACGTCACATCAAAATGCAGCAACTTGAAATAAATACAGACAACGCGTTATGCTTAATTAAATAGACTTTTTAATAAATGTTTTCTACCTACACATTAAATACGCTCTACAATGACAATAGTTTAAAGCGATTTGAAGCATGTTTTACATATTTTTTTGTGGGTGGGACAGAGCTTTGTGACGTCATTTGAGGGGGGGGGGTCTGACTTTTCGTGACGCCGTGTGACTAGGGGGGGGGGTGGTGCAAAAAATCGTCCCAAATCGCGTGACGTCATTTATGGACGGCCCCTAAATGTAAATGCGTGTCGTTAAACCCGTCCACCACCCGACACGCAGCCGACTGGTAGAGGTTTGTCACGTGACCAGTTCGCTACTTATACAGCACAAGGGTTGTGTGTTGGAGAGTAAACCCGCGAGCGAAATTTACAATTCGAGTACGACGTTTCGCCAGCAATTACAACCAGCATCATCAGGCGACAGCCATATTTGGCTGTGTCGGGTGGTGGTGGGTTTCACGACACGCATTCACATTTACGCGATCTAAACCCCCCCCCCCAAAAAAAATAAACTCTTATGGGTAACGCGCACCGTAGGGTATTTTACGGACACCATCAATTGCCGTGACCCAGCCTTGCGGTGAGTCGTTAAAACAGAGATAGGTCATGAAGACAGAGGTGGGTCTTTAAGACAGGTGAGTTTGAGACAGGTGAGTGAGACAGGTGAGTTTGAGACAGGTAGGTGTTTTATTAAAGACAGGTGAGTCTTTAAAACAGAGATAGGTAATGAAGACAGAGGTGGGTCTTTAAGACAGGTGAGTTTGAGACAGGTGAGTGAGACAGGTGAGTTTGAGACAGGTGAGTTTGAGACAGGTGTTGTATTAAAGTCAGGTGAGTCTTTAAAACAGAGATAGGTCATGAAGACAGAGGTGGGTCTTTAAGACAGGTGAGTTTGAGGCAGGTGAGCTTGAGACAGGTTAGTTTGAGACAGGTGAGTTTGAGACAGGTAGGTGTTTTATTAAAGACAGGTGAGTCTTTAAAACAGAGATAGGTCATGAAGACAGAGGTGGGTCTTTAAGACAGGTGAGTTCGAGACAGGTGAGTTTGAGACAGGTGTTTTATTAAAGACAGGTGAGTTTAAAACATAGGTAATGAAGACAGAGGTGGGTCTTTAAGACAGGTGAGTTTGAGGCAGGTGAGTTTGAGACAGGTGAGTTTGAGACAGGTGAGTTTGAGACAGGTAGGTGTTTATTAAAGACAGGTGAGTCTTTAAAACAGAGATAGGTCATGAAGACAGAGGTGGGTCTTTAAGACAGGTGAGTCTTTAAGACAGAGACAGGGGTGAGTCTTTTAGACAGGTGAGTCTTTAAGACAGGTGAGTCTTTAAGACAGAGACAGGTGGGTCTTTAAGACAGGTACGTCTTGCAGACAAGAGTTGAGTCTTTAAGACAGAGACAGGAGTGAGTCTTTAAGACAGAGGTGAGTCTTTAAGACAGACAGGTGAGTCTTTCAGACAGGTGAGTCTTTAGGACAGAGACAGGGGTGAGTCTTTAAGACAGGTGAGTCTTTAAGACAGAGACAGGGGTGAGTCTTTAAGACAGAGATAAGGGTGGGTCTTTAAGACAGGTGAGTTTGAGGCAGGTGAGCTTGAGACAGGTTAGTTTGAGACAGGTGAGTTTGAGACAGGTAGGTGTTTTATTAAAGACAGGTGAGTCTTTAAAACAGATAGGTCATGAAGACAGAGGTGGGTCTTTAAGACAGGTGAGTTTGAGACAGGTGAGTTTGAGGCAGGTGAGTGAGACAGGTGAGTTTGAGACAGGTGAGTTTGAGACAGGTAGGTGTTTTATTAAAGACAGGTGAGTCTTTAAAACAGATAGGTCATGAAGACAGAGGTGGGTCTTTAATACAGGTGAGTCTTTAAGACAGAGACAGGGGTGAGTCTTTAAGACAGAGGTGAGTCTTAAAGACAGAGACAGGTGAGTCTTGCAGACAGGTGAGTCTTTAAGACAGAGACAGGGGTGGGTCTTTAAGACAGGTGAGTCTTTAAGACAGGTGAGTCTTTAAGACAAGTGAGTCTTTAAGACAGAGACAGGTGAGTCTTGCAGACAGGTGAGTCTTTAGGACAGAGACAGGGGTGGGTCTTTAAGACAGGTGGGTCTTTAAGACAGAGACAGGGGTGAGTCTTTAAGACAGAGATAAGGGTGGGTCTTTAAGACAGGTGAGTCTTTAAGACAGAGACAGGTGAGTCTTGCAGACAGGTGAGTCTTTAGGACAGAGACAGGGGTGGGTCTTTAATACAGGTGAGTCTTTAAGACAGAGACAGGGGTGAGTCTTTAAGACAGAGATAAGGGTGGGTCTTTAAGACAGGTGAGTCTTTAAGACAGGTGAGTCTTTAAGACAGAGACAGGGGTGAGTCTTTAAGACAGAGATAAGGGTGGGTCTTTAAGACAGGTGAGTCTTTAAGACAGAGACAGGGGTGGGTCTTTAAGACAGAGGTGAGTCTTGCAGACAAGAGGTGAGTCTTGCAGACAAGAGGTGAGTCTTTAAGACAGAGGTGAGTCTTGAAGACAGGATGAGTCTTGCAGACAAGAGGTCTTTAAGACAGAGACAGGGGTGGGTCTTTAAGACAGAGATAAGGGTGGGTCTTTAAGACAGGTGAGTCTTTAAGACAGGTGAGTCTTTAAGACAGAGACAGGGGTGAGTCTTTAAGACAGAGATAAGGGTGGGTCTTTAAGACAGGTGAGTCTTTAAGACAGAGACAGGGGTGGGTCTTTAAGACAGAGGTGAGTCTTGCAGACAAGAGGTGAGTCTTGCAGACAAGAGGTGAGTCTTTAAGACAGAGGTGAGTCTTGAAGACAGGATGAGTCTTGCAGACAAGAGGTCTTTAAGACAGAGACAGGGGTGGGTCTTTAAGACAGGTGAGTCTTTAAGACAGAGACAGGTGAGTCTTGCAGATAAGAGGTCTTTAAGACAGAGGCTAGTCTTTTTTTTTTAAGATGGGAGACGTTGTCTTTATCGATATCAATTCACCTCGACAATCGATTGCTCATCCCTGCCGTGTCCCCCCACCTCCACCACCCTCGATCCGAATTTGGCCTCAAATCGACTCCACGAGACCCTCGACTGATCGGGTCTGGCCGGTCACGTGACTATCCAGACTCGATCAGTCGAGAATCTCCCAGAGTCGATCCGAATTTGGCCTCGAATCGACTCTGCGAAACCATCGACTGATCGGGTCTGGCCAGTCACGTGACTAGGCCACCACCACCACCATCGCCGCCACTCATTCTGAACGACTGCACGTTGCGTTGACTCATGCGAACTAACTTAACTTGACAGTAATCATTACTGCCGTCATTTAAAAAGGTTTTCGTTCGTTTATACATATTAAAAAAAGAAACATGGTTTCCCTCAGCGCCGCGCTCAAGCTGTTTCAGAAGCAGACGTACTCGTGCCTGTCCCATCGAAGCGGCATGTATCTGTGCTTCGGTGGCTTCGTGCTGGTGCTCGTGTCGGCGCTGCAGTTCGGCGAGGTGAGGCGCAACATTTGGATCCAAGTTTATTTTTGTTTAAAAAAAAAATACAAAAAAATTATTGATGTGGGGGGAGAGCGATTTTACACGTGTATCTATATTTGCTAGTCCGGATAGGCGGTACCCCGCCCCCTCTACGCTTGTCGACGCTCGCGATTGGCCGCCGGTCGCGGCGCGTGGGCGAAGCGGACCAATGGGGTGCTCCGCATGGGCGGCGCGCGCCGAAGCTGACTGGGAAATGTAGCGCCCATTTGACTCGTCAAAACAAACCATCATCATCGTTACGTGGAGGGGGGGCTGGGTCGATAAAATTGTTACCAAATAGGCCGCGTAGGCATCGCTGTCAACCCGTACGGTTTACCCCGTATTCTTGTACAGGAAAGTTGAGTTTTTTCAGGGACTTTGTAGGATGAACGTTGAGATTTATAAAGGACACGGGGTGACCAATGAGGTCTAAATTAGTCTGTAATAAGGTAGGGCACTGATAAGGGGTTGACAGGTTTGCTGTACACTACACTATACACTACTATACACTGCACTATACACTACTATACACTACACTATATACTACTATACACTCCTATACACTACACTATACACTACACTATACACTACACTATACACTACACACTACACTATATACTACTATACACTACACTATACACTACACTATACACTACACTATACACTACACTGTACACTACACTATATACTACTATACACTACACTATACACTACTATACACTACACTATACACTACACTACACTATATACTACTATACACTACACTATACAGGACTATACACTACTATACACTATACACTACACTATACACTACACTATACAGGACTATACACTAAACTATACACTACACTGTACACTACACTATATACTACTATACACTACACTATACACTACACTATAAACTGCACTATACACTACACTGTACACTACACTATACACTACACTCTACACTATTTACTACTATACACTACACTATACACTACTATACACTACACTATACACTACACTGTACACTACACTGTACACTACACTATACACTACACTATATACTACTATACACTACACTATATACTACGATACACTACACTATACACTACTATATACTACTGTACACTACTATACACTACACTATACACTACTATACACTACACTATACACTACACTACTATACACTACATTATACACTACAGTATACACTATATACTACTATACACTACACTATACACTACACCATACACTACTGTACACTACACTATATACTACTATACACTACACTATACACTACACTGTACACTACACTCTACACTATACACTACACTATATACTACTATACACTATACACTACTATACACTACACTATATACTACTATATACTACACTATACACTACTATACACTACACTATACACTATTATACACTACTATACACTACACTATACACTACTATACACTACACTATATACTAATATACACTACACTATATACTACGATACACTACACTATACACTACTATACACTACACTACTATACACTACATTATACACTACTATACACTACACTATACACTACACTATATACTACTATACACTACACTATATACTACACTATACACTACACTATACACTATATACTACTATACACTACACTATACACTACACTATACACTACTATACACTACACTATATACTACTATACACTACACTATACACTACACTATATACTAATATACACTACACTATATACTACGATACACTACACTATACACTACTATACACTACACTACTATACACTACATTATACACTACTATACACTACACTATACACTACACTATATACTACTATACACTACACTATATACTACACTATACACTACACTATACACTATATACTACTATACACTACACTATACACTACACTATACACTACTATACACTACACTATATACTACTATACACTACACTATACACTACACTGTACACTACACTATACACTACACTATATACTACTATACACTATTATACACTACACTACACACTACTATACACTACACTATACACTACACTATACACTACTATACTCACACCTGATGATGATTGCTTGTGTTGCAGTCGAAACGTCGTGAGAATTTTATTGTTTTATAATTTTTATTATTTAATTGTTTCCCTTCTACGTGGTGGTGACTTTACCGAAAGAACCGAGAATATGAATCCCTGCCGTCACGAAAGCTTTCAATCAATAATGTAAGCGATCTTTATTTGAAGCTTTCGCGACTGCAGGAATCCACACTCTCTTTGGCTCTTTCGGTGAAGTCACTTACGTAAGGTATAAAAAAATAATAATATATCACGATGTTTCGATCCCAAAACACAAGAGGGTCGCGTCCTCAGGCGGAACAAAAATAATCCAACGGTGGCGCTGCTGAACCAAAGCAGTTCTACTGCTGGAGAATATTTTTTTCTACCCGCGTCACTTTACCGAAAGTAGGTAAGTCATCCCGCGGTAGAATTTTTTGTTTTGAGCAAATTTGGACCGGCCCACTATTCGTTCGTTCCAAGTCGGGAGACTTTTTAACCCTTTGCTGACGTTCCCGCTGCGAAAACGGAGAGAGAGAGAGAGAGAAAGCGGCGTACAACCGGACCCGGGGCGGCGGCCGGTCAGTCAGCCGCTAAACCTACGCGACCGAACGAGTGGCTCGGGGCTGCCGCATGACCGCGGGCCGCTTGTGAACCTTCCTCCCGTCGTGGGGGGTCGGCCGTGCAGGTTGCGCTGGAGTGGAGCCAGGACCGGTACCATGCCCTCTTCAACTCGTACCACGATAACATCGGCTACCGCAGCTTCCAGAGCCGGTGAGAGTTCTTGTCATCGCGGCCGAGCGGAATGCTTTTTTACTTCTCTTCGCCAGGACGAAAGAAATGCGGCAGCGGTGTTGCTTTGTACGTCGGCGGCTGATGTGGCAGTCTTTCGATTGAAAGCTTTCGTGACCGCAGGGATTCATATTCTTGGTTCTTTTGGTAAAGTCACGTTGAAGGGAAACAATAAAATCATGAAATATATATAAAACAATACAATTCTCACGACGTTTCGACTGTAACACAAACAGTCATCATCAGGTGTTTTTTGCTTCACACCTGATGATGGCTGTGTTACAGTCGAAACGTCGTGAGAATTTTATTGTTTTATATATTTTTTATTATTTTATTGTTTCCCTTCAACGTGACTTTACCGAAAGAACCGAGAATATGATAATTTTATTGTTTTATATATTTTTTTTTATTTTATCGTTTCCCTCCGACGTTGACTTTACAGAAAGAAGCAAGACTATCACAACCTTTATTCATACTGTGCGGAATCCGATGAGCTATTAAGCTCTTTTTCACAGTGCGGTCTTCGCAGCTGAAACCAGTCCTGGGGTTTATCCCGGTCGACTCAGGTGAGTGCCTGGCGCAGTTTGGGCAGGCGTGGATTTCTGGGCGCACCGCTACCGACGTGCGCCGTGCCGTGCCCGACTTCATAGGTGCTCATATTCTTAGCTCTTTCGGTAAAGTCACGTTGAAGGGAAACAATAAAGTAATAAAATATATATAAAACAATAAAAATTCTCACGACGTTTCGACCATAACACAAACGGTCGTCATCAGGTGTGTCGGTTTGCATTAATTAATTTATTTTTTACACGGTGTATTTATTTATAAAAAAACGTCAGCGCCACGCGCAGCGATTTGGCAGTTTATTTAGAAGGACGAGTCCATCTATGTTCTGAAAAGAGGAGGGGGGAGACGAAAAATTAATGTATGCTGTCTGAAAGCCACTGTAAGCGTGAACAATCAATTAAGACCTGAAATGGTTAAACAAATCTTTCCAATGATTGCTAAGCCAGAATCCATCTTCTCGGTTGAAATTGTGTCTGTGCTTGTATATATAGATTTGATTAACCATTTCAGGTCTTAATTGATTGTTCACGCTTACAGTGGCTTTCAAACAGCATACATTAATTTTTCGTCTCCCCCCTCCTCTTTTCAGAACATAGATGGACTAGTCCTTCTAAATAAACTGCAAAATCGCTGCGCATGGCACTGACGTTTTTTTAATTAATAAGTAAACCGTTTAAAAATAATAAATTAATACAAACCGACACACCTGATGACGACCGTTTGTGTTATGGTCGAAACGTCGTGATGATTTTTTATTGTTTTATATATATTTTATTATTTTATTGTTTCCCTTCAACGTGACTTTACCGAAAGAGCTAAGAATATGAATTACTGCAGTCACGAAAGCTTTAAATCAAGATTCATGCGTGCTATTCGCTAACAGCACTTGCCGCAACGGTCCATTAAAGGTTTTTCGGGGGATCTTTGTCTTGCGTGTACATGCGTACGTTTTTGATTGATTGTATTTGATTAGTTGACGTGGGTGAGAAACATCCAGCTGCGAGCTGTTTTATGAGACAGGCCCGGTAGCTGGAAGATGTTAACTACCTCGACTGGTATACAGGAGGTCGTGGGTTCTATCCAGAACCTGACACCTGCCTGTTGTATATTTGGAGTTTGCGTCTCTCATCATCATCACGGTGGCTATGAGATGTTGACTACCTCGACTGGTACACAGGAGGTCGTGGGTTCTATCCAGACCCTGACGCCTGCTGCTGTATATTTGGAGTCTGCGTGTCTCTCTTTCTTCATCATCATCATCACCACGGTGGCTAGGAGATATTAACTATCTCACCTGGTATACAGGAGGTCGTGGGTTCGATCCCGACCCTGACGCCTGTTGCTGCTGTATATTTTGAGTTTGCGCGTCCTCTCTCTCTCTCTCTCTCCGTGGTAGCGTGGATTTTTCTCCGGGACCTCCGGTTTTTCCCTCCACATTTAGAATGAGCGTCACGCGTTCCCAGTAGTAGACCGTGATAAATTTCCACGTGATAAGCCACTTCGTCGAGCGAACATTTGTGGCCAGGTTGCTTCTGAAAAAAGTCAAATAAAATAAAAATTTTTTTTAGTTTAGTTTAATAAACCACAACATTTTGCGGACACTGAGTAGCAAACGTGCTGGAGGAGGACCCCATTCAACTCGCGCACCGCTCAAGTAAGGCCGGCAGCTGATGCGCATCGTCAACACTGAAGCGCCGAGCCCGGATGTAGCGGCGCATATCAGAAACGTAACGACAACTCACGCGCGGGGTTTGCGAACGTGTCTCTGTGTGCGTGTGTGTGCGTGTGTGTGCGTGTGTGTGCGTGTGTGTGCGTGTGTGTGCGTGTGTGTGTGCGTGTGTGCTTAGCCGTTAGCGCTACGCTGCACTACGAACCCGGCATCCCGAGTTCGATTCCCGCTCACGGCCACCAGCACCGGTGACGATTGCCTGAACCGGTCCTGGGCCTCCGCTGGGTCGACTCAGCCTCAAATGAGCGCCTGGCGCGGTGTGTAGTAAACATCGCCCACTGGTGGAGACAAAGGCGGTCGGGCGTGGCGCTGGCCACCCACCCACCCCCTCGTGTGCCGTGCCGGCCTTCATAGGTGCTGCTCGCTAACAGCACTTTCCCCTTACAGTCAGTTGCTGCTATACGGTGGGGGGGGGGGGTCTTTGTCTTTGTGTGTGTGGTGTGCAGGCTGTGTCTGCCCATGCCCATGGACGTGGTGTACACGTGGGTGAACGGCTCAGATCCCAAGATGATGGCCGATCTGATCGCGGTGCGCGAGAGAATGCAGAAAGAGCAGCAGGAAACCCGGTCTGTCTGCCCCTCGGTCTCTTGTTTGTCTGCCCAAGTGTTTCGTCTTGTCTGCCTGCCCCTCCACCCATTTGTTTATCTCTGTGTCCATCTGTCTGTGTCTGTTTGCATACATGTGTTTGTCCGACTCTCCGTCTGTTTGTCCGTCCGTCCGTCCGTCTGCCTAACTAACCGAAGCCGCGGTGGCAAGAAGGGCACTGCGGTGGTGAGATGTTCACCACCTCGCCCGGCGTACGGGAGTTCGTGGGTTCGATCCCGACCCTGACGCCTGTTGTTATGCAGCAAAACCTTGGATTGCGAGGAGCATAATTCGTTCCAGAAACGTGTTTGTCATCCAAAGCACTCGTGTATCAAAGCACAACGTATATCAGTTGTGATCAAGTGACGCTCGGCGAGACAAAGCGTCTACACGTACTACTACTCGTATTGCGAGACCCTCGCTCGTTTATCAAATTAATATTCATTTAAAATGTTTGCTCGTCTTGCAAAACACCCGCAGACCAAGTTACTCGCAATCCAATGTTTTACTGTAGTTGGAGTTTGCGTGTCTCTCACTCTCTCTGCCCGTGGCCGCGTGGATTTTTCCCCGGGTTTCCTCCGGTTGATCCCCTCCACATTTAGAATCGTCGTCACGCGTCCAGAGCATTTGGCCGCGATGGATCTCATCTGTGGCAGCAAGGTCTCTTCTGAAAAGAGAGCTACATGGCTCAGTGGGCCCTTACCTGTTAAAATAAAAATGTTTAATTGCTTTAAGTTTTAGTTTGGTCGATACGCGTATGCTCATGTGTGTTGCGTCCTTCGATTCAGTGCTCGTGAATGCTCACCGGTGCTGATGACAACCTCTCTCCACAGCCTGAGACTCGGACTCAACGCGACCGAGGAACCCACTAGGTAAGGATTTGTGTCGCTAAACCCTGCGCCCGTGTGCATCCTTCCCTATAACCGCTCACTATCCCAGATTCCGCAGGAGCTGTGGTGGCAGTAATAATCGAGTGTTTTTTGTTTTGCGACGGTTCTTCATAGCGCCGAGGCTTATCGGCACGCGGACCCGCGCTGCCGTGTTCCGCGGCCATTGTCTGCTGCGCGGTTTTAATCGTTCTAATGTGGCTTGGGCCTCGCCTAGGTCGACTCGGCCTCGAATGAATACCCGGTGCGGCGCGTAGTAAACATCGCCACCGGGCGGGGAGACAAGGGCAGCCTGAGTGTGGCGCCGGCCGGCCACCCACCCACCCACCCCCTTGGCCGTGCCGGCCTTCACGATCGCGCACCCGGCCCTGACACGCGGCTACACGGGGGGGGGGGGGGGGGGTGGTGGTGTGGGGGATCTTTGTCTTTGTGCGTGCGGCGTCAGCGTCCGCCGCTCCGAGTGCTCCCTGCGCGGCTGCGTGCGCTCCCCGCTGCTCGTCGCCGACCCGGCGTTCCCGGCGCCGCTGGAGGAGCTGCGGAGCCTCCGCCCGGCGTTTGCCGGCGCCGTGCGTCTCCTCCGCTTGGTGGCTCCCGCCGGCGGCGGCGGCGGCGGCGACGGCCAGGCGCGCAACGTCTCCGTGCTGGCGTTCCCGTCGCTGGATGCCGGTGAGCGCGCGCGGGGAGCGGTGGCATCGCGACTCGAGTTCGATTCACCGGCAACGCCGGTGACCCAGTCCTGGGCCGCCTCCCCTAGGTCGGCTCGGCCCCACATAGGTACCTGGCGCGGTGTGGTAAACATCCCCGCTGGGGAGGCAAAGGCGGGCAGGAGTGGTGTTGACCACCCACCCCCGCTCGCGCGCCGTTCCGGGCTTCGTCATAGCCGCTCGCTCGCTCGCAGCACTCGCCCCAACGGTCTGCCGCAGGCTACACGGGGGATCTTTGCCTTTGTGTCGGGCGTGGCGTGGTGCTGCGCCGTGCCGGCCTTCAATCGCTGTCCCTCTACGGACGCTTCGCGGCGGCGGCGGCGGTGCCGGAGCCGGCGGTGGAGCAACGAGTCGGATATTTATTAAATAGTATTCATCAAACATCTCGGTTGCTCGTTCTGCCTCCTAGCGGAACGCGCCATCGCCGCGGACGCTCAGGCGAACTCGAGCGCCCGTCCCGGCGTCCGTCAGGGATACCTGGTGAGAGCCGCGACGGCACACGGCGAGCACGGGGGCCACGCCTCGCTTGGCGCGTGTGGTGTGAGCGTGGTGTGAGCGTGGTGTGAGCGTGGTGTTAGCGTGGTGTGAGCGTGGTGTGAGCGTGGTGTGAACGTGGTGTTAGCGTGGTGTTAGCGTGGTGTACGTGTGGTGTGAGCGTGGTGTGAGCGTGGTGTTAGCGTGGTGTGCGTGTGGTGTGTGTGTGGTGTGAGCGTGGTGTGAGCGTGGTGTGAGCGTGGTGTGCGTGTGGTGTGCGTGTGGTGTGAGCGTGGTGTGAGCGTGGTGTGCGTGTGGTGTGTGTGTGGTGTGAGCGTGGTGTGAGCGTGGTGTGAGCGTGGTGTGAGCGTGGTGTGAGCGTGGTGTGCGTGTGGTGTGAGCGTGGTGTTAGCGTGGTGTGCGTGTGGTGTGTGTGTGGTGTGAGCGTGGTGTGAGCGTGGTGTGAGCGTGGTGTGCGTGTGGTGTGAGCGTGGTGTGCGTGTGGTGTTAGTGTGGTGTGCGTGTGGTGTGCGCGTGGTGTGTGTGTGGTGTGTGTGTGGTGTGAGCGTGGTGTGCGTGTGGTGTGAGCGTGGTGTGAGCGTGGTGTTAGCGTGGTGTGCACGTGGTGTGCGCGACATGGAGATGGGAGGAGGACCGACGATGTGATGGTCGGAGAACACAAAATAGGAACGGGAGGGAGAGAGGGTGGGAGGGAGGGAGAGAGGGAGGGGTGGGGAAGGTGTTCGGGGAGGGTGGGAGGGAGGAATGGAGGAGAGGGAGGGAGTGAGGGTGGGAGTGAGGGTGAGGAATGGAGAAGAGGGTGGGAGGGGAGGGAGGGAGTGAGGTCTTCCACAGACACAAGTGGAGGAGAATGACCCAGGCACCCTCTATCATCAGAATAACAAGTGGAGACACAGAGTTTTGTAAATGTGTTTTTATCCTCGGTGTATGTTCATGTTACGTTGAACTTGTTGCGCACCGTACGTAGCCAACCGTGGCTAATCGGAGGTGCGGGATAAGAACGACAACAAACTGAACACAAGAAGCAGCTCTCAAGAGATGAGATTTCAATCTAAATTTAAAGGCGCGCAGCTCCTAGCTGCGAAGCTAGCCGGGTAGCCGGCTACTCGGGGACTTCTCCGCTGTCGCGAACAAAACCAACGCGTCGAATTTAAATTCTCAAACGATCCCAGAGCCACCGCCGTAGCCACAGCCGCCGGGCCCGCCCACTAACCACCACCTCCCTCTGCCCACCGCCGCAGCCCGCGGTACAAATGGTTTCACCGCGGTTAGCGGTGAGGGTTCACCGTGTGTCTTTCCCCGCCACCCCCACCCCCCGCAGACGAGCGAGAGCGACGCTCAGGGCTCCGTGGTGGTGGTGGATGCCGCGGTACTCAGCGGCTTTCCTCCGTCGCTCAAGGAGGCCGAGCAGCTCCGTGGGAAACTCACTCCCGGCGCCCGCTCGCTCATCGTGCAGGTGGGCGTCCCAGCCCCCGCGCGGCTCGGCCAACTTGGAGGTCGCGGTTGCGACGGTCCCGAGATGTTGATGCCGCCGCCGCCGCGGCCACAACCGCCACCGTCGCTGTCACAACCCCACCACGGCCGCCACGGCCGCCACCAACGCCGCCACCACCCAACCCTATCCCTCCCCCCATCCCGCCCCGATCACATCTACAGCACTCGCCTGCCACGTTCGCTTCCGGACCTCCGCGTTCTTTTTGTTTGCCTTGTCAGAAAGGGTTTTAGAAAGGGTTTTATTCGCCATGAAAGTTCACACCGACACGGAATTTACTTTGGCAGGATGGTGCATACATTCAACATATAGGAATCTAAAATCTTAAATAAGTTTTAAACAAGTCTTACTATAATAATAAGGGTTAAAAGTCTAACTAACACCAAGGGTGCTGAAGTATATAAAATTGAATAAATATCGAAAATGAAATAGCTTTAAGATATAATTTAAAAATAAAAAATACAAATAGGTTAACATAGTTAATATCGGCAAGGTGTCATTATGTAGATAAAATGTTAAAATCAGTGTAAGCCCTTGGCCTTGTTTAACAGGCCAGCAGCAGATGGGAAGAAACTGTTTTTATGGCGTGAGGTTTTGGTCCTGATGGACCGAAGCCTTCTGCCGGAGGGGAGTAGCTGTCCTCCTCCGTCCTACCCATACGGAGGATCCTGGCGTTGGTGTCGGGCCCGGTGCTGGCCACCCCCACGCCCTCTCCTCGTGTGCGCCTGCTGCCAGCCTTCGCCAAACACCTGCCGCCCCGACAGTCCGTTAAAGGCCACGCGGTCGGGGGTGGGCTGGGGATCTTTGCCTTCGTTTTGCGAGCAGCTGCAGCTGCTGGCGGAGGGCGGCGTGGCGATCGCGTGGCTGCGCTCCCCGGCCGATCTCGCGGAGCTGGAGCGTCTGGCCGCGCGGAGGAACCTGACGGTGGACGGCGGAGCCTCCGTCGGCGTCGCGCCGGCGCGGCTCGTGTGGCAGCCCAGCAGCTTGGGCCAGGTGCGCTCACGCTCACACTCACCGTCAACAACAACAGTAGCAGCTCACGCACACCGTCAACAACAACAACAACAGTAGCAGCTCACGCACACCGTCAACAACAACAACAGCAGCAGCTCACGCTCACCGTCAACAACAACAACAACAGCAGCTCACGCACACCGTCAACAACAACAACAACAGTAGCAGCTCACGCACACCGTCAACAACAACAACAACAGTAGCAGCTCACGCACACCGTCAACAACAACAGTAGCAGCTCACGCACACCGTCAACAACAACAGTAGCAGCTCACGCACACCGTCAACAACAACAACAACAGTAGCAGCTCACGCACACAGTCAACAACAACAACAACAGCAGCTCACGCACACCATCAACAACAACAACAACAGCAGCTCACGCACACCGTCGACAACAACAACAACAGTAGCAGCTCACGCACACAGTCAACAACAACAACAGCAGCTCACGCACACCAACAACAACAACAGCAGCTCACGCACACTGTTGACAACAACAACAACAGCAACTCACGCACACCGTCGACAACAACAACAACGACGACATGGATACCACGCACGCACTCACATACATACACACACACACACTACACACACCACACACACACTACACACACCATACACACACACCACACATACATCCACACACACACACCACACACACTACACACACATATACACACACATCGACACACACACACCTACACACACACGCTACACACACCACTCACACACCTATACACACATCTACACACACCACACACCACACACACACACATCTACACACACCTACACATACACTACACACACAAACTGCACACATCTACACATACCACACACACACCTACACACACACACTACACACACTACACACACACTACACACACTACACACACACACTACACACACACCACACACACATCTACACACACACACTACACACACACCACACACACATCTACACACACACACTACACACACACTACACACACACACTACACACACACACTACACACACACACTACACACACACATCTACACACACACATCTACACACACCACACACACATCTATACACACACACCTACACACACACACTACACACACTACACACACACACCACACACCACACACACATCTACACACACACACCTACACACACACACTACACACACTACACACACCTACACACACACACCACACACACATCTACACACACACACCTACACACATACACTACACACACACACCTACACACACACACCACACACACACACTACACACACACACTACACACACACTTTACACACACACTACACACACACATCTACACACACACTCTACACACACACTCTACACACACACACCGACACACACACATTACAAAGAAAAAGACAAAGATCCCCCGTGTAGCCTGAACAGACTGTAGGGGCAAGTCTGTTACCGAGCACCTATGAAGACCGGCATGGCACACAGAGGGGGTGGGTGGCCAGCACCACGCCCGACCGCCTTTGTCTCCCTAGTGGCGATGTTTACACACCGCACCAGGTACTCATTTGAGGCTGAGTCGACCTTGGGGAGGCCCGGGACCGTTTCAGATAATCGTCACTGTTGGTGTTGGCCGTGAGCGGGAATCGAACCCTTGTCGCCGGGTTCATAGCGTAGCGCGCTAACCGCTACACTATCGCTCCCCACATAGACACACACGCACACACAACAACAACAACAGCCGCCATTCGCCACGACATGGCGGTGACGTCACCGCGGCGCCTGTGCCAGGCCACGTGCACTTTGAGGCCACGTGAAGTGTTGAAGGCTCGCCCGCTACCAGGGAGGTCACGGGACAGACCCAGCAGGTGCCATGGGTTGACAGGCTGAGATTGACCGACTGAGATTGACCCACTGACACGCACGCACAAAGGCAAAGATCCCCCCCATAGCCTTAACGGACTGCTGGGGCAAGTGCAGTTAACGAGTAGCGCCTTGCGGTGAAGGTCAGCACGACGCGTGACAGGGATGGGTGGCCAGCACCACGCCCCAGTGGTGATGGTTACTACACACCGCACCAGGTACTCGTTTGAGTGCTAGCTAACAGTACTTGCCCACAGGGGCGGAGCCACAGGGGGGGGCTGGGAGGGGCTCAGCCCCCCCTGAAATTTTGGGAAAGTCGGTAATCGGGATAACCGGATATCCGGCTGCTGCAAAATGCTGCAGGCTGCCACCTTGTGTGCTGCCCTGCAGGCTGCCACCTTGTGCTGCCCTGCAGGCTGCCCTGCAGGCTGCCACCTCGTGTGCTGCCCTGCAGGCTGCCACCTCGTGTGCTGCCCTGCAGGCTGCCACCTTGTGTGCTGCCCTGCAGGCTGCCCAGCAGGCTGTCACCTCGCGCTGCCCTGCAGGCTGCCACCTTGTGTGCTGCCCTGCAGGCTGCTTGAGCGGCAGCCTTTCGAACTTATCGAACTTATTAGCCACATCAGCGGCTCCGACCTATGAATAAACTCCGCGTTCAAATCTAATAAAATTTGTTTTATACGTTTGTGGCTCCCAATGGAAAACATAAACACACTGAGATATCTCAGAATATTGAAGTCAGCCCCCCCCCCCAAGTCAAAATCCTAGGTCCGCCCCTGCTTGCCCGAGAGTCTGGGGGATCTGAAACTAAACTATTTTTTATTTTACCAGGTAAGACGGCCCTTTTTTTTCCGATGCGACCTGACCACGATTGATAGCCCAACAAAGTGGCTTGTCGTCATCACGTGGAAATTTATAGTGGAGGGAAAAACCTGAGAGAAATCCACACGAACACGGGGAGAGAGAGAAAGAGAACACGCATACTCAGGGTCGGGATCGAAGCCACGACCTCCTGCATACCAGGCGAGGGAGTTAACATCTCCTGGCCACCGTGGTGATGATGATGAGAGAGAGAGACACGCAAACTCCAAATGTACAGCAGCAAGCGTCAGGGTCGGGATCGAAGCCACGACCTCCTGCATACCAGGCGAGGTAGTTAACATCTCCTAGCCACCGTGGCGATGATGATGATGATGAGAGACACGCAAACTCCAAATGTACAGCAGGCAGGCGTCAGGGTCGGGATCGAAGCCACGACCTCCTGTGTACCAGGCGAGGTAGTTAACATCTCCTGGCCACCGTGGTGATGAGAGAGAGAGAGACACGCAAACTCCAAGTATACAGTAGCAGGCATCAGGGTCGGGATCGAAGCCACGACCTCCTGTGTACCAGGCGAGGTAGTTAACATCTCCTGGCCACCGTGGTGATGATGAGAGAGAGAGAGACAGCAAACTCCAAATGCACAGCAGGCAGGCGTCAGGGTCGGGATCGAACCCACGACCTCCTGTACACCAGGCGAGGTAGTTAACATCTCATAGCCACCGTGATGATGATGAGAGACACGCGAACTCCAAATGTACAGCAGGCAGACGTCAGGGTCGGGATCGAAGCCACGACCTCCTGCGTACCAGGCGAGGCAGTTAACATCTCGTCACCGCGGCGCCTCCTTTGCCCTTGTGTCTCCTGCTACGCCTCATCTCGTCGTCGTCATCGTCGTGGTCATCGTCGTGGTCGTCGTGCGGCTAGACGAGGAAGGACGAAGACGCGTCGTCGAGCCGCTTTGCGGACAACGAGGAGCTGCGCTACTCGCTGCGGGCGCTGGAGCGCCACGCGCCGTGGGTGCGCCGAGTGTTCATCGTGACGAGCGGGCAGATCCCCGCCTGGCTCAACCTGGACAACCCGCGGGTCACCCTCGTCACGCACCACGTGAGAGCAGCACCACGTGTGTGTGTGTGTGTGTGAGTGAGGGTGTCGGTGAGTGGGTGTGTCGGCGAGTGGGTGTGCGAGTGTGCGAGAGTGTGTGTGTGTGAGTGTGTGAGTAATGTGTGTGTGAGTGAGGGTGTCGGTGAGTGGTTGAGTGAGTGTGCGAGTGTGTGTGTGAGTGAGTGTGCGAGAGTGTGCGAGTGTGTGTGTGTGTGTGAGTGTGTGTGAGTGTGTGTGAGTGTGAATGTGTGAGTGTGTGAGTAATGTTTGTGTGAGTGAGGGTGTCGGCAAGTGTGCGAGTGTGTGTGTGTGAGTGAATGTGTGAGTGTGTGAGTAATGTGTGTGTGAGTGAGGGTGTCGGCGAGTGTGCGAGTGTGTGTGTGTGTGAGTGAATGTGTGAGTGTGTGAGTAATGTGTGTTTGAGTGAGGGTGTCGGTGAGTGGTTGAGTGAGTGTGTGTGTGAGTGAGTGTGTGAGTGTGTGCGAGTGTGTGTGCAAGTGTGTGTGTGTGTGCGAGAGTGTGCGAGTGTGTGTGTGTGAGTGTGTGTGAGTGTGTGTGAGTGTGAATATGTGAGTGTGTGAGTAATGTGTGTGTGAGTGAGGGTGTCGGCGAGTGTGCGAGTGTGTGTGTGTGAGTGAATGTGTGAGTGTGTGAGTAATGTGTGTTTGAGTGAGTGTGTGGGCCATCGCCACCACTGCCACCACCACCGCTGCCATCGCCACCACCACCGCTGTCATCGCCACCACCGCCGCCAACCACCACCACCGGCACCGCTATCACCACCAACCACCACCACCGCCACCACTACCACTGCCACCACTACCACTGCCACCACCACCGCCACCAACCGCCACCACCGCCACCAACTGCCGCCACCGCCGCCTCTCCCGGCAGGAGATCTTCCCCAACGTGAGCCACCTGCCCACGTTCAGCTCGCCCGCCATCGAGGCTCACCTGCACCGCATCCCGGGCCTGTCGCGTCACTTTGTCTACCTCAACGACGACGTCATGTTCGGACGCGACGTCTGGCCAGACGACTTCTACACACACGCCAAGGGGCAGAAGGTGGAGCCCCCCCCCCCCCCCCCTCTGCACCCCCCCCCCCCCATCCACCACCTCTCCCTCCGCCCTCCCCCTACGCATCCCCCCCTCCTACACCACACCCTCCTCTCTTAAACTAAAACTATAAGCTAACCGCTTACACGCGGTGGGTCGTAGCAAAGACAAAGGCGGTGCCGTGTTGACGAGATGTCGACTACCTCGCCTGGTACGCAGGAGGTCGTGGCTTCGGTCCCGACCCTGACGCCTGCTGCTGTATATTTGGAGTTTGCGTCTCTCGTCACGGTGGCTAGGTAGATGTTAACTATCTCGCCTGGTACGCAGGTGGTCGTGGCTTCGGTCCCGACCATGACATATATTTGGAATTTGCGTGTCTCTCATCATCATCATCATCACCACGGTGATGATGATGCGCGCACACACACATTCGCAAACCCCGCGCGAGTTGCCGTTACGTTTCTGATATGCGCCGCTACATCCGAGCTCGGCGCTTCAGTGTTGACGATGCGCATCAGCTGCCGGCCTTACTTGAGCGGTGCGAGACTTGAATGGGGTCCTCCTGCAGCGCGTTTGCTATTCAAGTGTCCGCAAAATGTAGTGGCTTGTTAAACTAAAACTAAACTATTAAACTATCTATTTCTTATTTCAGCAGGTAAGATGTAGCTCTTTTTCAGAAGCGACCTCGCCACAGGTGTTCGCCCAACGAAGTGGCCTGTCGTCGTCACGTGGAAATTCATCACGGCCAAATACTATGAACGCGTGACGTTCATTCTAAATGTGGAGGGGGGAAAAAACCGGAGGACCCGGGGAAAAATCCACGCGAGCACGGGGAGAGAGAGAGAGAGAGAGAGACGCGCGCATACTCGGGCGTCACGGTCGGGATCGAACCGTGATAATTAATCGGAGGTGCGGGGCAAAGGACAACAAGCTAAACAGAGGAAGCAGTTGAAAATCAATGAGTCCGTTAAGGGGGCATCTGTTGTCTTTGCAGGTGTACCTGGCGTGGCCCGTGCCCAACTGTGCAGACGGCTGCCCCCCGTCGTGGGTGAGGGACGGGTACTGCGACAAGGCCTGCAACAACTCGGCCTGCGACTGGGACGGGGGCGACTGCCAAGGTCAGCAGCAGCAGCGGCGGCGGCGGCGGCGGCGGCGGCGGCGGCGGCTTTTGGCTCAGCCGTCGAACAAAGACGGTCCGCCGGAATCGCGCGGCGCTTTCGGATGCGCTTCCGCGGCCGTCTGGAACGTTCTTTCTTCCGCTATTAGAAAGCTACCGGCTACCGGTGCTGCTGCTGCTGCTGCTGACAATGCTGCTGCTGCTGCCGCCGCTACCGCTGCTGTTGCCGCTGCTACGGATGCTGCTGCCACTGCTGCTAACCGCCCCTGCCGCTGCATAGCCCTGTGCCGCTGCGTTTTCGAGGGCTTGCGCCGGCACGACCCGCACCAACACCGGTCGCGGGGAGGAGATCTGAATCGGCATCGGCGAGAGAGAGAGAGAGAGAGACACGCAGGGAGACCTCCGCGTCTTCGTCTTCCCCGCGCAGGCACCGGCGGCATCGGCGGTCGCGCTCCCGGCGGCGCCGGGGGCGGCCCCGGCGGGGCTGGCGGCGGGGCCGGCTGGCACGGGGGCGGCGGCTGGGGCGGCGCGCCGCTGTCGCCCGCCGCCTACTGTAGCGCCGGCTGCGCGAACTCGTGGCTCGCCGACAAGTTCTGCGACCACGCGTGCAACGTGCTGGTCTGCGGTTTCGACGCCGGCGACTGCGGGGAAGGTAGCTGCCGTCGGCCACGCCCCTCGCTACGCACCACCCACCCACCCCACCCACTCAACCCCACCCAACTTCAGCCCCACCCCCACCCCGTCCATCCCACCCCACCCCACCCACTCAACCCCAACCCCACTCACCCAACCCCACCCACACCCCACACAACTTCAACCCAACCAACCCACCCACCCGACCCCACCCCACCCACTCAACCCCACCCCCACCCAATCCATCCCACCCCACCCCCACCCCACCCTCACTCATCCATTGTGGAGGGAGAAACCGGAGGTACCCGGAGAAAAATCCACGCGACCACTGGGAGAGAGAGAGACATGCAAACTCCAAATATACAGCAGCAGGTGTCACAGGGTCGGGATCGAACCCACGAACCTCCTGCGTACCAGGCGAGGTAGTTAACATCTCCTTGCCACTGTGGGCGCCCCTCCGCCTTCCCGTCGCTGCGTTTTTAACCCAATAATGAACTCGACCTCCTCTCCCCTCCCTCCCCATCCTCTTCCTTCTCCCCGTCCTCCTCCTCCGTCCTCCTCGTCCGCCCCCCGCCTGATCGCCTTGCTCGCCCACGAGACAACTTGGACAAGCTGCACCGCGTCGAGCTGCTGCCCAACGTGACGCGCTACTCGTTGCCGCGCGGGGAGACGCTCGCGGTCCTCTCCTTCTCCCGCGTGGCGCGGCGCGTCGCCGACGCGTGGCTCTCCGCGTCGCCGGCGCCGCGGGCCGGCGCCGCGGCCGCCCCCGGCGAGACGGTGCGCCACGCCTCCGTCGCCAACAAGTGGCGCACGCTCCACCTGCTGCTCCACTCGGACGCCAACGCCACCACGCTGCGGTTCAACCTCACGTGCGAGCCGTGGGCCGCCGGCGGCGCCGCGGCTACCGTTGCCGCCGGCGGCGCTGCCGGCGGCGGTGCCGGCGGCGGTGCCGGCGGTCGATTCACGCTGGTCTTCTCGCTCGGCGTGGACCCGCGGCCAGCCGGGCAGGGGGGAGGCGACGGCGCCGCAGGAGGCAATGGGAGCAGCGCCGGTGCCGCCGCCGGCGCCGCCGCCGGCGCCGCCGGTGCCGCCGGTGCTGGGAACGGTGAGGGCGACATGGAGTGTGGGGGACTGTTATTTTGCCTGCGTGGCGTGTGTACAAGTGTGTGTACGTGTGTTTGCCTGTGTACGTGCGCGGCGTGTGTGTGTGTGGGCGTGCGCGTGTGTGTGCGTGCGTGCGTGTGCGCGTGTGTGCGTGTGTGCGTGTGTGCGTGTGTGTGCGTGTGTGTGTGCGTGTGTGCGTGTGTGCGTGTGTGTGCGTGTGTGCGTGTGTGTGTGCGTGTGTGCGTGCGTGTGTGCGTGTGTGTGTGTGTGCACGTGTGTGTGCGTGCGTGTGTGTGCGTGTGTGCGTGCGTGCGTGCGTGTGTGCGTGCGTGTGTGTGCGTGTGTGTGCGTGTGTGTGTGCGTGTGTGCGTGCGTGTGTGCGTGTGTGTGCGTGTGTGCGTGTGTGTGTGCGTGTGTGTGTGCGTGTGCACGTGTGTGTGTGCGTGTGTGTGCGCGTGTGTGTGTGTGCGCGTGTGTGTGTGTGCGTGTGTGTGTGCGTGTGTGTGTGTGCGTGCACGCGTAGCGTTTAGCGCGCTGCGCCACCGACCCGTCGACCCGAGTTCGATTCGCGCTCACTGCCACCAACACCAAGTGACGATGATCTGACCTCGTCCCGGGCCTCCTCCCCTAGGTCGACTCGGGCTCAAACGAGTACCCGGTGCGGTGTGTTGTAAACACCGCCGCCAGGGCGGTGCTGGCCACCGGTCCCCTCGTGTGCGTGTGTCACACGCGTGTTCGCATGCGTGTGTGTGCGTGTGCGTGTGTGTGCGTGTGCGTGTGTGTGCGTGTGCGTGCGTGTGTGTGTGTGTGCGTGCGTGTGTGTGCGTGTGTCACACGCGTGTTCGCGTGCGTGTGCCCGCACAGCCTCCTCGCCCGTGGCCCCTGCGCGTGACGCGGCGCCGCCCTTTGAGGACGTCCCGGAGGCCGCGAGGGCCCCGCGAATCGATCGCCACCCCGTGCCGTCCGTGCCGCCCGCCCTGCGACTCCCCGTCGCCTCCCGTGATCACCGCCTTCACGCACACGCACACACACGCGGATACCACACACACGCGGATACCACGCACGGAAACGCACGCACGGACACGCAGACACACGGACACACGCACTCGCACGCACACACGCACACGCGGATACCACGCACGGAAACGCACGCATGGACACGCACACACACGGACACACGCACTCGCACGCACGGACACACGCACACACACGCACACACGCGGATACCACACACGGAAACACACGCACGCACACGCACGGACACACGCACACACGGATACCACGCACGGACACACGGACACACACACGGATACCACGCGCACACGGATACCACACACACACACGTGTGCGCACATGCACACACACGGATACCACGCACGGATACACCCACACACGGATACCACGCACAGACACACGCACTCGCACGCACGGAAACCACGCGCAGACGCACGCACGGGCACGCACCCACTAGCAGAGTCACGGCGCGTCGATTCGTTTTCCCTTCTTGCTGCTACTGAGAGGTGGGAACCCCTTGGCGAGGCCTTCATCCTGCACAGCATCAGCCGTCGCATCGGTCGTGGTATCGGCCGTGGCGTCGGCTGTTGCATCACCAATGGCATCAGCTGTTGCATCGGCTGTTGCATCGGCTGTTGCATCACCAATGGCATCAGCTGTGGCATCAGCTGTTGCATCGGCTGTTGCATCACCAATGGCATCACCAATGGCATCAGCTGTTGCATCAGCTGTTGCATCGGCTGTTGCATCACCAATGGCATCAGCTGTTGCATCAGGTGTTGCATCGGCTGTTGCATCACATATAGCATCAGCTGTTGCATCGGCTGTGGCATCAGCTGTGGCATCAGCTGTTGCATCAGCTGTTGCATCACCAATGGCATCAGCTGTTGCATCGGCTGTTGCATCACCTATAGCATTAGCTGTTGCATCGGCTGTGGCATCAGCTGTGCAAGCTAATGCTGCTGCTACTTGTACTGCTGCTCCTACTGCTACTTGTGCTGCTACTGCTACTTGTACTGATGCTGCTTGTACTGCTGCTGCTGCTACTTGTACTGCTGCTACTGCTACTTGTACTGCTACTTGTACTGCTACTTGTGCTGCTGCTACTTGTACTGCGACTACTGCTGCCTCCTGTACTGCTACTTGTACTGCTGCTGCTGCTTCTTGTACTGCGACTACTGCTGCCTCCTGTACTGCTGCTGCTACTTGTACTGCTGCTCCTACTGCTACTTGTACTGCCACTTGTACCGCTGCTGCTGCTACTTGTACTGCGACTACTGCTGCCTTCTGTACTGCTGCTGCAGTTGCTACTTGTACTGCTGCTACTGCTACTTGTACTGCCACTTGTGCTGCTGCTACTTGTACTGCGACTACTGCTGCCTCCTGTACTGCTGCTGCTACTTGTACTGCTGCTGCTGCTACTTGTACTGCTACTTGTACTGCTACTTGTACTGCTGCTGCTGCTGCTACTTGTACTGCTACTACTGCTGCCACCTGTACTGCTGCTGCTGCTACTTGTACTGCTGCTACTTGTACTGCTACTTGTACTGCTGCTGCTGCTACTTGTACTGCGACTACTGCTGCCTCCTGTACTGCTGCTATTTGTACTGCTGCTCCTACTGCTACTTGTACTGCTGCTACTTGTACTGCGACTACTGCTGCCACCTGTACTGCTGCTGCTGCTGCTGCTACTTGTACTGCTGCTACTGCTACTTGTACTGCCACTTGTACTGCTGCTGCTGCTGCTACTTGTACTGCGACTACTGCTGCCTCCTGTACTGCTGCTGCTACTTGTACTGCTGCTGCTGCTACTTGTACTGCTGCTGCTACTGCTACTTGTACTGCCACTTGTACTGCTGCTGCTGCTACTTGTACTGCGACTACTGCTGCCACCTGTACTGCTGCTGCTGCTACTTGTACTGCTGCTACTGCTACTTGTACTGCTGCTGCTGCTACTTGTACTGCTGCTACTTGTACTGCTGCAACTTGTACTGCGACTACTGTTGCCTCCTGTACTGCTGCTGCTGCTGCTACTTGTACTGCTGCTACTGCTACTTGTACTGCTACTTGTACTGCTGCTGCTGCTACTTGTACTGCTGCTACTGCTACTTGTACTGCTGCTACTTGTACTGCTGCAACTTGTACTGCGACTACTGCTGCCACCTGCGCTGCTGCTGCTCCGCACGCCGACTCGTTGAGCGAGCGAGACCGCCGCCGGTACGCGCGCTCACGTCCACGCCCTCGCCGTGCTGTGCCCCCCTCTCCACCTGGTTCCCTGCCCCTCTGCACCCTTGCCCACCCCTTCGTGCCCACCCCCAGCGTTCCTGGGTAACGAGTCTTCGTCACTGCCGGAGGACGTGCGGCTGCGGCTGCTGCGGCTGTGGGAGGCGGCGCGCTCCGGGGAACTCACCTGGAAGGGATACTGGCTCCGTCGCTCGCAGCTACTGCCGCCGCCATCGTCATCGTCGCTGCCGGCCGTGGGAGGAGGAGGAGGAGGTGGAGGAGGGAGTAGAGGAGGAGGAGGCGGAAGAATAGCGGTAAAAGGAAAAGAAGCAGCTGGAGGAGAAGGAGGAGGAGGAGTAGAAAGAGGAGGAGGAGAAAGAAGAGCAGCTGGAGGAGGAGGAGCACGTGGAGCAGAAAGAGGAGGGGGAGGAGAAAGAGGAGCAGGTGGAGGAGGAAGAGGAGCAGATGGAGGAGAAAGAGGAGCAGGTGGAGAAGACGTTGGAGGAGGAGCAGGTGGAAGAGCAAGAGGAGGAGGGGGAGGAGAAAGAGGAGCAGCTGAAGCAGGTGGAGGAGCAGCTGGAGAAGACGTTGGAGGAGCAGGAGCAAGGGGAGCAGCTGGAGGAGGAGGAGCAGGTGGAGGAGCAGCTGGAGAAGACGTTGGAGGAGCAGGAGGAAGAGGAGCAGCTGGAGAAGACGTTGGAGGAGCAGGAGGAAGAGGAGCAGCTGGAGAAGACGTTGGAGGAGCAGCTGGAATAGAAAAAAGGGAGGGAGGTGGAGAAGGAGCAGGGGGAGGAGAAGGAGGAGGCGGTGGAGGGGGAAGGGGAGCAGCAGGAGGCGTAGAAGTAGGAGCAGGAGGAGCAGGGGGAGAAGAAAGAGGAGAAGGAGAAGGAGGAGGAGAGGGAGCAGAAGGAGGAGGAGGAGGGGGATTAGATGGTCGCGGTGACGCTGGGGCTGCTGCTGGCGACGACGATGATGAAGACGCCGCCGCCGCCGCTGCTGCTGCTGCCGGCGACAACGCCGATGATGGCGTTGATGACGGCGCCGCTTACAACGGAGGTGCTGACGATGACGAGGACGACGACGATGACGATGGCGGCGCTGATGACGGTGCTGCCGCTGGCGCCGCTGCTGATGGTGTTGATGACGACGGCGCAGCTGATAACGGTGGTGGTGTTGCTGATGATGATGATGCTGCTGCTGCACCTGCTATTAAAAATGCTGATGCTGCTGCTGTTGCTGCTGCTGGTGCTGCTGATGATGCTGCTGATGCTGCTGATGCTGCTGATGCTGCTGCTGATGCTGCTCCTGATGCTGCTGCTGATGCTGCTCCTGATGCTGCTGCTGCGGCTGCACATAAAGGCCTTCACTTAAGAAGACCGCTGAGCTGGAACGGGAATTTGAACGGTGATGGGAACGTCAGGTTGCGAATGGGGAATGAGGCTGAGTTTGGGAACGAGGTGGGGAGAGGGGCAAGGCTCTGGGACGGGGACGCGGAGGCAAAGTGGAGCTACCCCGGATTCCTCCCTTGGGAAAAGCGCGGCTACTTCAGAGACATCCAGGAGGTGAGTTGACGGAGCACCGGGAGGCGGCTGAGACGCAGTGAGTTGGCACGGTAGTGGTGGAGTCGGGGCACGGCCAGTTGGCGCGTCTGCCGCCAGACGGTGCCGGATTATCGTAGTAGCAAAAGTTGCTACATGTGTAGTAGCCACTACTACACGTGTAGTAGCTATACACATGTAGTAGTTACACGTGTAGTAGCTACTACTACATATGTAGTAGTAGCTACTACACATGTAGTAGCTACTACTACATGTGTATAGCTACTACTACATGTGTATAGCTACTACACGTGTAGTAGCTATACACATGTAGTAGTTACACGTGTAGTGGCTACTACTACATATGTAGTAGTAGCTATACACATGTAGTAGTAGCTACTACATGTGTATAGCTACTACACGTGTAGTAGCTATACACATGTAGTAGTTACACGTGTAGTGGCTACTACTACATATGTAGTAGTAGCTATACACATGTAGTAGTAGCTACTACATGTGTATAGCTACTACACGTGTAGTAGTGGCTACTACACATGTAGCTACTTTTGCTACTACGATAATCCGGCACCGTCTGGCGGCAGACGCGCAAACTGGCCGTGCGTAGTAGCTACTACCGTGTGTAGTAGCTACTACTACATGTGTATAGCTACTACACGTGTAGTAGCTATACACATGTAGTAGCGCTACACGTGTAGTAGCTACTACTACATATGTAGTAGTAGCTACTACTACATATGTAGTAGCTACTACACGTGTAGTAGTAGCTACTACACATGTAGTAGCTACTACTACATGTGTATAGCTACTACACGTGTATTAGCTATACACATGTAGTAGCTACATATGCTGCGGGTCACCGCACTTTCAAGGGACCCGCGCTAAACGCTTTCAAGCGATGAATTCTGCTTCAGTGATTCTGCACTTGCTCTATCACTATAGTACTATACCGCCTTCTTTACGAACGACCGGGTGTTTAAGGTTAGCGATTTGTCGTATTATCTTGGCTGTTTAGCAAATGAAAAAATTACAATTACTTGACTATGCAAGTACAAAAAAATGTTGTTTTAATATTTAGGTGTTTTTTTTTTTTATTTAGAGGCCCCTTAATAACATCATGCTACAGGCCCCGCAACTAGCTTCATCCGGCACTGCTGCCAGAGTCATATCGGTCGGTCAAACCGTGGCACTGGCTGGGTCTAACCCCGCGACCTCCTGCCGCCGCTCAGTAGGCGAACGGCGGCTGCGGCTGCTGCTGCTGCTGCTGTTGTACGTGTAGCGGAGCCGTAGCGTAGCGGTTAGCGCACTGCGCTACGAAACCCAGTGACCCCGGGTTCGATTCCCGGGTCAAATGAGTAGCTGGTGCGGCGTGCAAGCAACCCCGTTGGAGAGACAAAGGCGGCCCGGGCCGAGGTTGCTGGGCACCCCACCCTTCCTCGTTTGCCACCGTGCCGGCCTTCGTAAGCGGTGCTACTCGCTAACAGCACTTGCCCCTACGGTCTGTTGGAGGCCGTGCGGGGGATCTTTGTCTCTTTCGCCCACGTTCGACATTGCCGCGCTCCAACGGGCTGTGACGTATTTTACGGGAACGGGAAATGCGTTTGCTTTTTTTTTCTCGTAAGAAAAACGACCACAAAGTAAAATGTAGTGCAGGTGGGGTGGTGGTGTGGTGGGGTTGGGCAGAGGGGGGGTGTGGGGAGGGGGCTGGTTGTGGGGTGGGGGGGGCTGGATGGTAGGAGGGGTGGTGGTGGGGTTGGGCATGAGAGGCAGCGGTGGTGGGGGGGGGGGCGTCCCTCTTGGCTCGAGCGCCTTCACCACGCTGGGCGACTTTACGGCTCTCATCATCACCCGGCCCGGCGGCTCCCCCCCCCACCCCTACCCCCCCTAGGAGGAGCGACGTCTGGCGTCGGCCGAGGCGTACCGCGGCCACGGCCGTGCCGGCGGTGCCGCCGGCGGCCGCCACCTCCTGGACACGTTTGGCGACTCCCTGCGCTTCGTCAACAAGCTGCTGAACCGCCAGTTCGGCATCGCCACGCGCAAAGTGCCGGCGCACATGCCCCACATGGTGGACCGCCAGGTCATGGACGCCCTGCAGAGCACGTGAGTTGCCAACTTCAACCCCAGTCAGTGGGGGGGTCACGGTGGCTAGGAGATGTTGACTACCTCGCCTGGTGTGCAGGAGGTCGTGGGTTCGACCCTGACGCCTGCTGCTGCTGCTGTATATTTGGAGTTTGCGTCTCTCATCATCATCACGGTGGCTATGAGATGTTAACTACCTCGCCTGGTGTGCAGGAGGTCGTGGGTTCAATCCAGACCCTGACGCCTGCTGCTGCTGCTGTATATTTGGAGTTTGCGTCTCTCATCATCATCACGGTGGCTATGAGATGTTAACTACCTCGCCTGGTGTGCAGGAGGTCGTGGGTTCAATCCAGACCCTGACGCCTGCTGCTGCTGTATATTTGGAGTTTGCGTCTCTCATCATCATCACCACGGTGGCTATGAGATGTTAACTACCTCGCCTGGTACACAGGAGGTCGTGGGTTTGATGCAGACCCTGACGCCTGCTGCTGTATATTTGAAGTCTGCGTGTCTCTCTCTCTCTCTCTCTGCCCGTGGTGCCATGGATTTTTTTTCCCCCTCCGTATTTAGGGGGGGAGAGGGGGGGGGGTCAGACATTTGTGACGATGTGTGACGAGGGGGGGGGGGGGGGGTTGAGAAATGTGACGTCACATCAAAATGCGCAACTTTAAATAAATACAGACAACGCGTTGTACTTAATCAAATAGACTTTTTGATGAATGTTTTCTACCTACAACATCAGAGCGCAGCGCCACATTAAATACGCGCTACAATGACAATCGTTTAAAGTGATTTGAAGCATGTTTTATATATTTTTTTTGGGGGGGGGTGGGTGGGGGGCAGAGCTTTGTGATGTCATATTTGAGGGGGGGGGGGTCTGACTTTTTGTGACACCGTGTGACGATGTGGGGGGGGGGGGGGAGAGTCAAAAATCGTCCCAAATCGCGTGACGTGATTTATGGACGGCCCCTTCCCTGGTGACAATAAAAAAAAATAACCACCCTTCTCCCAGCACAAACCCACGACTCCAGACTTCCCATGGAGGGGCTAAGTACTGGCCCACTGAGCCGGGAGATTGTGAGGCTTCCTAGCTCGCAAGCCCCGTGGCGGGGATGGTGATCCAGAGTAGGGGTGTTTTTTGGGGAGGTTAAATCACGAAAATGTATAAATGTTGCGTCGTTAAAACCCGCCACCACCCGACACAGCCGACTAGTAAGGGTTGTCACGTAAACGTAACGTGGCCAATTCGTCACTAGTACAGCATTAGTGTGTAGTGTAGTGTATATAGTGTAGTGTATAGTAGTATATAGTGTAGTGTATAGTAGTATATAGTGTAGTGTATAGTGTAGTGTATATAGTGCAGTGTATATAGTGTAGTGTATAGTGTAGTGCAGTGTATAAGTGTAGTGTATAGTGTAGTGTATAGTGTAGTGCATAGTGTAGTGTATAGTAGTGTATAGTAGTGTGTAGTGTATAGTAGTGTACAGTGTAGTGTATAGTGTAGTGTATAGTAGTGTATAGTGTAGTGTAGTGTGTAGTGTAGTATATAGTAGTGTATAGTGTAGTGTATAGTAGTGTATAGTGTAGTGCAGTGTATAAGTGTAGTGTATAAGTGTAGTGTACAGTGTAGTGTATAGTAGTGTATAAGTGTAGTGTATAAGTGTAGTGTATAGTGTAGTGTATAGTAGTGTATAGTGTAGTGTATAGTAGTGTACAGTGTAGTGTATTATAGTGTAGTGTATAGTGTAGTGTGTAGTAGTGTATAGTAGTATATAGTGTAGTGTATAGTGTAGTGTATAGTAGTGTATAATGTAGTGTATAGCAGTGTAGTGTATAGTGTAGTGTATAGTGTAGTGTATAGTGTAGTGTATAGTGTAGTGTATAGTAGTGTATAGTGTAGTTTAGTGTATAGTAGTGTATAGTGTAGTGTATAATAGTGTAGTGTATAGTGTAGTATACTAGTACAGCACCACCGGTTGTGTGTTGGAGAGCCAAGCTAACAACAATTACAATCTGAGTAACGACGTTTCGCCAGTAATCACAACCAGCTTCATCAGGCGGACAGCCAGATGTGTGGAGAAGTCCCCCTGTTGATGCTGCCTGATGCTGATGCCAGTTACTCCTCCTTGCCTCCCTCCCGCTCCTCCCTCTCTTCTTTACCTCCCTCCCATCTCCTTCCTCCATCTCTTCATTCCCCCAAATCCCCAGCCAATTGGGTCGCACGCGTGAGATTTGACGGTTCACGATTGCGCAATGTTTTACTCCGTCGTGAGAATACGCTCTAAGCCCTCTCTCCCTCTCCTTCCTCCCTCCCTCCCTCTCATCTCACTCCTCCCTACTACTGCATTCCTCCAGGACACATTGTCATTCTGATGGTTGAAGTGTCCGCTGTGGAAACGATGGCGCTGGTGTTATTCTCATTCTGATTCCTCCCTCCCTCCCTCTCCTCCCTCTCCTCCCTCCCTCCCTCCCCTTCCTCCATCCCTCCCTCCCTCCCCTCCCTCTCCTCCCTCCCTCTCTCCCTCCCTCCCTCCCTCCCTCCCTCCCCTCCCTCTCTCTCATCCCTCTCCTCTCCCTCTCTTTCCTCTCTCTCTCCTCCCTCCCCCCCTCCTCCCTCCGTCTCCCGCCACACACACACCCACACCCACCCACACCCACCCACACCCACCCAACCCACACACACCCACACCCACCCACACCCACCCACACCCACCCAACCCACACACACCCCACCCACACACCCCACTCACACCCACACCCACCCACACCCACCCACCCACACCCACCCAACCCACCCACACCCACACCCCACCCACCCCCACCCACTACCCACCCACACCCAACCCACACCCACACCCACCCACTACCCACCCACACCCACACCCACACACACACCCCACCCACCCACCGACGCACGCACACCGAAGCTTCCCGCGTGAGTTCGAGGCGACGTCGTCGCACGGCATCCGCCACCCGGAGGACATGCAGTTCGCCTTCTCCTACTTCTACTTCGTGATGGGGGCTCGCGAGGAGCTCGGCGTGGCACACGCCTTCACAGAGCTCGACACCGACGCCTCGGGCGTGCTCTCCGACCGCGAGCTGCGCACCCTCGCCACGCGCGTGCACGCCCTGCCGCTCAGCCTGCAGGCACGTGGCGGCGGCGGCGGCGGCGGTGTGACGCCGCCGGCGTCGTCATCGCCATCATCGTCGTCACCGTCACCGTACCACCGTCGTCGCCATAATCGTCGTCACCATACCACCGTCGTCATCGCCATCATCGCCGTCACCGTCACCGTACCGCCATCGCCATCACCGTACCTCCGTCGTCAGCGCCATCATCATCATCGTGACCGTACCACCGTCGTCATCACCATCATCATCGTCGTCACCGTCCCACAGCCGTCGTCATCAACCGTGTAGCGACCACCCTGCACTCTTGAGATGTCTTGTAACACAGTGGGCACGGTCTTACTGCAAGTTGTCACTGCTGCTGCTGCTGTTGTTGCCACTGTTGCTGTTGCTGCTGTTGTCATTGTTGCTGTCGATGCTGTTGTACGTCCGTTGGGTAGCGAAGGCCAACATTGGTTTCTGCTGGGCCCTCCCCCCCCGCTCCCCCCGCGTGCCCGGGGGTGTCTCCGTGCGGCCTCCAGGACCTGACCAACATGGAGCAGACGCTCATCAACTGCTCCCGCTCGCTGCCCTCCAACGTCACCGCCCTGCGACCGCCCCAGCCCACGCCCGAGGTCTACTACACCGCCGACATGGTGAGACGCGCTAACGCCGCACCGCACGTGGTGTGGTGTGGTGTGACGCAACTCCAGACGCCACGCCCACCGCGCACGGCGTGCTCGTTTGGTGGTGTGGCGCGGCGTGTGTGGCGGTGGTGTGGCGCGGCGTGTGTGGCGGTGGTGTGACGCGGCGTGTGTGGCGGTGTGACGTGGCGTGTGTGGCGGTGGTGTGACGCGGCGTGTGTGGCGGTGGTGTGACGCGGCGTGTGTGGCGGTGGTGTGACGCAGCGTGTGTGGCGGTGGTGTGACGCGGCGTGTGTGGCGGTGTGACGCGCGGCGTGCGGTGTGTGGCACACCGTCGCGCCCCAACAGCACGGCGAGCCGGAACGTTTGTAACGTGTGTAACGTGTGTGACGTGTGTAACGTGTGTGACGTGTGTGACGTGTGTGACGTGTGTAACGTGTGTAACGTGTGTATCGTGTGTGACGTGTGTGACGTGTGTAACGTGTGTATCGTGTGTATCGTGTGTAACGTGTGTAACCTGTGTAACGTGTGTAACGTTCGTAACGTTCGTAACGTGTGTAACGTGCGTAACGTGCGTGACGTGTGTGACGTGTGTAACGTGTGTATTGTGTGTGACGTGTGTATCGTGTGTATCGTGTGTAACGTGTGTGACGTGTGTAACGTGTGTAACGTGTGTATCGTGTGTATCGTGTGTAACGTGTGTGACGTGTGTGACGTGTGTGACGTGTGTAACGTGCGTAACGTGTGTAACGTGTGTAACGTGTGTATCGTGTGTATCGTGTGTTACGTGAGTGACGTGTGTAACGTGTGTAACGTTCGTAACGTGTGTAACGTGTGTAACGTGTGTATCGTGTGTAACGTGTGTAACGTTCGTAACGTGTGTAACGTGTGTAACGTGTGTAACGTGTGTAACGTTGGTAACGTGTGTAACGTGTGTATCGTGTGTAACGTGTGTAACGTGTGTATCGTGTGTATCGTGTGTAACGTTTGTAACGTGTGTAACGTGTGTAACGTGCGTAACGTGTGTAACGTTCGTAACTTTTATAACTTTTGTCCCTGGCCCCAGCCTCCGGTGACGCTCGCGCTGGTGAAGAACTGCGAGCCGCTTGTGAAGCTCATCAGGAACGGATTCAAGGACAGGAACAAGTACAAGTACGAGCCGTGCTTGCAACACGAAGCCGCCGTTGCCGTTAGTGTCACGATCATCGTCGTCGTCGTCAGAAGCATCACGAGCAGTAGCGGCATTATGAGTACCATCAGCGTCTGCATCATCATCAGTAGTAGTAGCAGCATGTGCATCATCGTCATCATCATCACCATCTTTAGTTTTATACACATCATCGTCGTCGTCGTCATCGTCGTCAGCATCAGGAGCTGTAACGGCATGATTAGTATCATCAGCGTCTTCGTCATCTGCAGCAGTAGCAACATGTACGTCATCATCATCAGTGGCAGCAGCAGCAGCAGTTGCGTAATGTGTACATGTCATGTTTACATGATGTATGGTGTGATGCCTTTCAGTGCGATGTGATGTAATGCATAATGTGTGTGACGTGTGTGATGGCAAGTGTGATGTGTATAATATGCAATGTGTGTGATGTGTGATGTCGTGTGTGGTGTGTGATGTGGTGTGTGATGTGTGATGTGGTGTGTGATGTGGTGTGTGGTGTGTGATGTGGTGTGTGGTTTGTGATGTGGTGTGTGATGTCGTGTGTGGTGTGTGATGTTGTGTGTGGTGTGTGATGTCGTGTGTGGTGTGTGATGTCGTGTGTGATGTGATGTGTGATGTGGTGTGTGATGTCGTGTGTGATGTGTGATGTGGTGTGTGATGTCGTGGACCCCCCTAATGGAACATCTTCGCCGGTTAGAAACATTTAGGCTGGCCTGCCTACGATCCATCCTGGGTTTAACTAGACTGGATTGTGTGAGGAGCTCACAAATCCTTGAAAGATCTGGGCAAGGTCCCATCGGTGAGCTCCTCCGGCAGGCAAGGCTGCGATGGCTGGGTCATGTAGCCCGCATGCCCAGCCACCGCATGCCGAAACAGCTTTTGTTCGGCCGGATCGAGGGGGCTAAGCGGGCGCGGCACGGGCTAGAGAAGAGATGGAGTGAGGAGGACGTGGAGCTGAGTGGACTTACCGATGACTGGTACCAGCGGTGTCAAGATCGGCCTCTGTGGAGGAGGCTCGTGAAGGACGCTACTGGGCAGTTGGAGGTAGTCGCCCTCCGACAACAACGGAGGGCGGAGGAGCGACGCTCACAACAACGAGCGGAGCGCCGGGTGGCTAAAGCACAGCAGGTTGGCACAGTAGGGGGCACAGGTGGTGCATCAGCCAGTCATCTCAGTCAGTCGACCCGTGGCACCTGGGTCTGCCCCGTGACCTCCTGCCAGCAGGCGTTCGACACTCCACGTGGCCTCAAGGTGCACATAGCCTGGCACAAGCGTCGTGGTGACGTCACCGCCACTTAGTGGCGAATGGCGGTTGTTGTTGTTGATGTCGTGTGTGGTGTGCGATGTCGTGTGTGGTGTGCGATGTCGTGTGTGGTATGCGATATCGTGTGTGGTATGTGATATCATGTGTGGTATGTGATATCGTGTGTGTATGTGATATCATGTGTGGTATGTGATATCATGTGTAATATGTGATGTGCAATGGTGTCATGTACGGTGTCGCGTGGAGGTTCGAGGTGATGGGAGAAGAGGACATCGCTTTCAAGATGATCCGGACAAACGTCTCGCACGTAGTCGGCCAGCTTGACGACATTCGCAAGAACCCCCGGTCGCTTACTCACTCAGTCACTCGGTCGCTCACTCACTCACTCAGTCACTCACTCACTCAGTCACTCACTCACTCGTTCGCTCACTCACTCGGTCGCTCACTCACTCGGTCGCTCACTCACTCACTCGGTCGCTCACTCACTCAGTCACTCACTCAGTCACTCACTCGGTCGCTCACTCACTCGGTCGCTCACTCACTCACTTGGTCGCTCACTCACTCACTCGGTCGCTCACCCACTCAGTCGCTTGCTCACTCGGTCGCTCACCCACTCACCTCATCCCCAGTCCCTCGCTCACTCACTCACTCGGTCGCTCACTCACTCAGTCGCTCACTCACTCGGTCGCTCACCCACTCGGTCGCTAACTCACTCAGTCGCTCACTCACTCGGTCGCTCACTCACTCAGTCGCTCACCCACTCACCTCACCCCCAGTCCCTCGCTCACTCACTCACTCACTCGGTCGCTCACTCACTCAGTCACTCACTCACTCGGTCGCTCACTCACTTGGCCGCTCACCCACCCACTCACCTCACCCCCAGTCCCTCGTTCACTCACTCGGTCGCTCACTCACTCAGTCACTCACTCACTCGGTCGCTCACCCACTCACCTCACCCCCAGTCTTTCGCTCACTCACTCACTCAGTCCCACACTCACTCGCTCACTCGCTCACTCGCTCACCCACAGTCGCTCGCTCACTCACTCACTCGGTCGCTCACTCACTCAACTCACCCACTCACTCACCCCCGGTCCCTCGCTCACTCACTCATCCACTCAGTCGCACACTCACTCAACTCACCCACTCACTCACTCGGTCGCTCACTCACTCGCTCACTCATCCATGGTCCCTCGCTCACTCACTCAGTCGCTCACTCGCTCACTCACCCGCGGTACCTTGCTCACTCATTCACTCACTCGCTCACCCACGATCCCTCGCCCACTCACTCACTCAAGAGACTCACTCACTCAAGAGACTCACTCAAGAGACTCACTCGCCCACGGTCCCTCGCTCACTCACTCACTCATCCACTTAGTCCCACACTCACTCACTCAGTCGCTCACTCACTCGGTCGCTCACCCACTCACCTCACCCCCAGTCCCTCGCTCACTCACTCATCCACTCAGTCCCACACTCACTCACTCACTCACCCACAGTCCCTCGCTCACTCACTCACTCGGTCGCTCGCTCACTCACTCAACTCACCCACTCACTCACCCCCGGTCCCTCGCTCACTCACTCATCCACTCAGTCGCTCGCTCACTCACTCATTCAGAGACTCATTCACCCACGGTCCCTCGCTCACTCACCCAGTCACTCGCTCCCTCACTCACTCAAGAGACTCACTCACCCACGGTCCCTTGCTCACCCATTCACTCACTCGCTCACTGAGTCGCTCGCTCACTCACTCACGAGACTCACTCACCCACGGTCCCTCGCTCACTCACTCAGTCACTCACCCAGTCACTCGCTCGCTCACTCATTCAGAGACTCACTCACCCACGGTCCCTCGCTCACTCGCTCACTCACTCACTTTCTCACTCACTCGGAGACTTACTCACCCTCGCTCACTCGCTCCCTCACTCACTCAAGAGACTCAATTACCCACGGTCCCTCGCTCACTCACCCAGTCACTCGCTCCCTCACTCACTCAAGAGACTCACTCACCCACGGTCCCTCGCCCACTCGCTCACTCACTCACTGTCTCACTCGGCGACTTACTCACCCTCGCTCCCTCACTCACTCAAGAGACTCACTCACCCACGGTCCCTCGCCCACTCACTCACTCACTCACTCGCCCACTCGCCCACTCGCTCACTCACTCACTGTCTCACTCGGCGACTCACTCACCCACGCCCACTCCCTCGCTCACTCACTCCCTCACTCCCCCCTCTCGCCGCCGTCCCGTCACAGGAAGTTCATCTGCCTCAACGACAACATCGACCACTCGCACCGTGACGCCGCCACGGTCAAGGCGGTGCTGCGCGACTTCTACGAGTCGCTCTTCCCCGCGCCCTCCCAGTTCGAGCTGCCGCGGGAGTTCCGCAACCGCTTCCTGCACGTGCCCGAGCTCCTCGCCTGGTGCGCTCTCTCCCTCACTCTCTCTCACTCATGCTCTCTCTCTCATGCTCTCTCTCACTCTCTCTCTCTCATGCTCTCTCTCTCTCACTCTCTCTCTCTCTCATTTGTTCTCTCTGTTTCTCTCACTCTCTCTCGCTCTCTCTCCCTCACTCTCTCTCTCACTCTCTCTCTCACTCACTTTCTCTCACTCTCTCTCATGCTCTCTCTCTCTCTTTCTATCACTCTCTCTCTCTAACTCTCTTTCTCTCACTCTCTCTCGCTCTCTCCCATGCTCTCTCTCATGCTCTCTCGCTCATTCAATCTCTCACTCTCTTTCTCTCACTCTCTCGCTTTCTCTTGCTCTCCCTCACTCTCTCACTCTCGCTCTTTCTATCTCTCTCTCACTCTCGCTCTTTCTATCTCTCTCTCACTCTCTTGATCTCTCTTTATCTCGCTCTCTCACTCACTCTCTCTCACTCTCTCTCACTCTCTTTCTCTCTCACTCTCTCTCTTTATCTCGCTCTCTCTCTCGCTCATTCGAGCTCTCTGGCTCGCTGTCGCTCTCTTTCTCGCTCCCATGCTCTCTCTTTCTCCTTCTCTCTCTCGCTCATTCGAGCTCTCTGTCTCTCTCGCTTGCTCGCTCTCGCTTTCTCTCTCTTTCACTCGCTCTCTCACGCTCTCTCACGCTCTCCCTCTCTCGAGACAACAACACTAAGGGTCTGTGACGTCATCGCGGCGCTTGTGCGGGGCCAGGTACGCCCCGAAGTGTCGGAAGGTTCACTGCTGGGACAGGTGCCACACGGGTTGGGCGCCGTGCTGGCTATGAGATGTTACCTACCTCTCCTGGTGTACAGGAGGTCGCGGGTTCCATCCCGACCCTGACACCTGCTGCTGCTGTATATTTGGAGTTTGCGTGTTTCTCTCTCATCATCATCATCATGGTGGCTATGAGATGTTAACTACCTCGCCTGGTACGCAGGAGGTCGCGGGTTCGATCCCAATTCTGACGCCTGCTGCTGTATATTTAGAGTTTGCGTCTCTCATCACGGTGGCAAGGAGATGTTAACCACCTCGCCTGGTATACAGGAGGTCGCGGGTTCGATCCCAATTCTGACACCTGCTGCTGCTGTATATTTGGAGTTTGCGCGTCTCTCTCTCTCTGTGGTCGTGTGGATTTTTCTCCGGGTCCTCCGGTTTTTCCCTCGGCATTTACAATCAAGATCACGCGTTTCAGAGTGTTTGGGGAGCGGCGGTGTAGCGGTTAGCGCGCTGCGTTATGAACCCAGCGACCCGCTCACTGCCAACACCAGTGACGATTATCTGAACCGGTTCTGGGCTTCCCCTAGGTCTACTCAGCCCCAAATTTGTAACCTGGTGCGGCGTTTAAAAACATCGCCACTGGGGAGACAAAGGCGGCCGGGCGTGGTGCTGGCCACCCACCCGCTTCGCGTGCCGTGCCGGCCTTCGCAGGTGCTGCTGCTCGCTAACAGGTGGAGGGTGGGTGGGGTGGTGGGGAGGGTGGGTGGGTGGGGTGGTGGCAAATCTTTGCCCTTGCCTTCTGTGAGTGCTCAGGAGGGAATTCCGTGACCGCCTCAAGTTCTGGACTCACTGCATCCTGGCGTCGCTCATCATCTTCAGCCTCGCCTCCTTCTGCTCCGACCAGGTGAGCGAGCGTCGCTGCGATTACATCCGCCCCCCCCCCCCCCGCCACGCCCCTCCTCACCGCCCCTCCTCCTCACCGCGGGTCTTCCCTCGGCGCCACGTGGGCCAAGCGGGGCAGAGCCAAACGGGGGTCGCCCCCTTCGTCGGCGTCGTCAGCATTATTGACGTAGCGCGCAAGGAGAGAGAGAGAGACGTCGTAGCCCCGTGTAGCCCAGCGCTGGGAATGCTGAGCACGACGTCAGCTGGTGGTGGGGGGGGGGATTGGTGGGGGGTGGGGGATTGGTGGGGGGCTCTGCCGTCGTTGGGGATCGTCGGTGGCACACGACACGGCTGACCCCTGACCCCTGGTGTGATTTCTCTTCTCCTCCTCCTCCTCCTCCGCCGCAGCTGCTGTCGCTTCGCCGACGCTACTTGCCGAGGAGGAGGGAGGGCGTCGGGATCGGGGTGTGATCCGCCTGGCGGGGGACGCGATGACGTCACCGCCGGACGCGATGACGTCACGGCCAGAAGCGATGTCACCGCCAGACGCGATGATGTCACCGCCAAACGTGCTGATGATGTCACCGCCAGACGCTATGATGTCACCGCCAGACGCGATGTCACAGCCAGAAGCCAGAAGCGATGTCACCACCAGACGCGATGATGTCACAGCCAGACATGATGTCACAGCCAGACTTGATGTCACAAGCAAACGTGATGTCACCACCAGATGTGATGATGTCACAAGCAGACGCGATGATGTCACACCAGACGCGATGTCAACACAAAATGCGATGATGTCACAACCAGACGGTAATGAGGTGGTGGAGATGGTGGAGGTCAGAATCAATACTTATATTGGAGGAATCTTATGAGCTGTAAAGCTCTTTTTAAAAGAGTCCTACTAGGGGCAGGTGAGAGTTTCAACAATACAAAAGCACAATGGGAGTGCAAAGTATATGAAAGGTAAGCAAATGACCAAATTGTTTAACTTTATTTCACCAGGTATAGCCCACTGAGCTGTTATCTTCTTTTTCAGAAGCAACCTGGCCACAAATGATAGCTCTGGTGGTGGTAGTGAGGTAGTGGAGCTGGTAGTGAGGTGGTGGTGGTGGTGCTGGTAGTGAGGTGGTGGAGGTGGTAGGTGGTGGTGGTGGTGGTGCTGGGAGTGAGGTGGTGGTAGGTGGTGGTTGTGAGGTGGTGGTAGGTGGTGGTAGGGAGGTGTTGGAGGTGGTGGTAGTGGTGGTAGAGAGGTGTTGGAGGTGTTGGGAGGTGGTGGTGGTGATGCTGGGAGTGAGGTGGTGGTAGGTGGTGGTGGTGGTAGGGAGGTGTTTGAGGTGGTGGTAGGTGGTGGTGGTAGGGAGGTGTTGGAGGTGGTGGTGATGCTGGGAGTGAGGTGGTGGTGGTGGTGGTAGGGAGGTGTTGGAGGTGGTGGGAGGTGGTGGTGGTGATGCTGGGAGTGAGGTGGTGGTGGTGGTGGTGGTAGTGAGGTGGTGGTAGGTGGTGGTGGTGGTGGTAGGGAGGTGGTGGTGGTAGGGAGGTGTTGGAGGTGGTGGGAGGTGGTGGTAGTGATGCTGGGAGTGAGGTGGTGGTGGTGGTGGTGGTAGGGAGGTGTTGGAGGTGGTGGGAGGTGGTGGTGGTGATGCTGGGAGTGAGGTGGTGGTAGGTGGTGGTGGTGGTGGTGGTGGTAGGGAGGTGTTGGAGGTGGTGGGAGGTGGTGATGCTGGGAGTGAGGTGGTGGTAGGTGGTGGTGGTAGTGAGGTGGTGGTGGTGGTGGTAGGGAGGTGTTGGAGGTGGTGGGAGGTGGTGGTAGTGATGCTGGGAGTGAGGTGGTGGTGGTGGTAGGGAGGTGTTGGAGGTGGTGGGAGGTGGTGGTGATGCTGGGAGTGAGGTATTGGTAGGTGGTGGTGGTAGGGAGGTGTTGGAGGTGGTGGGAGGTGGTGGTGGTAATGCTGGGAGTGAGGTGGCGGTAGGTGGTGGTGGTAGTGAGGTGGTGGTAGGTGGTGGTGGTGGTAGGGAGGTGTTGGAGGTGGTGGGAGGTGGTGGTGGTAGGGAGGTGTTGGAGGTGCTGGGAGGTGGTGGTGGTAGGGAGGTGTTGGAGGTGGTGGGAGGTGGTGGTGGTGATGCTGGGAGTGAGGTGGTGGTAGGTGGTGGTGGTGGTAGGGAGGTGTTGGAGGTGGTGGGAGGTGGTGGTGGTGATGCTGGGAGTGAGGTGGCGGTAGGTGGTGTTGGTAGTGAGGTGGTGGTAGGTGGTGGTGGTAGGGAGGTGTTGGAGGTGCTGGGAGGTGGTGGTGGTAGGGAGGTGTTGGAGGTGGTGGGAGGTGGTGGTGGTGATGCTGGGAGTGAGGTGGTGGTAGGTGGTGGTGGTGGTAGGGAGGTGTTGGAGGTGGTGGGAGGTGGTGGTGGTGGTGGTGATGCTGGGAGTGAGGTGGTGGTAGGGAGGTGTTGGAGGTGGGGCCATAAATGGCTTTGGCTGTGAGCAGGACACCTCGGATCTTCAAACCCGAGAGATCTCTCAACTTCACTGCGACTCTGTTGAGTTATAATCTAGTGCGTTGTAGCACTGGTGTTGCCTTTTTGTTCAGTTTAGTTTGTGAGCGGACGCGCGCGTATGTCGACTCAGCCTCCAATGAGTACCTAGAGAGACAAAGGCGGCCGGGCGTTGGTGCTGGCCACCCACCCCCTCGTGTACCGTGCCGGCCTTCAAAGGATGCTACTAACAGCAATTGGCCTAAGAGTCAAGGCTGTACGGGGCATCTCTTTGATGATAATGACGACGATGGCCATGGATTGACATGGTTATGAGTGTCACGGTGGTGAGGGTTGAAACTAATTGGTTAAATTAGCACGGCAGCCTTGGCACCCCCCTTTGGGGCCGTCCATAAATGACGTCACGCACCTGGGGAGGGGGGAGGGGGTCAGATATTTGTGACGATGTGTGACCGAGGTGGGGGGGGGGGGGTGGTGGTTTGAGAAATGTGACGTCACATCAAAATGCGCAACTTTAAATAAATATAGACAACACGTTCTACTTAATGAAATTAACTTTTTTATTAAGTGTTTTCTCCTACAACATCAGAGTGCAGCGCCACATTAAATGCGCACTACAATGACAATAGTTTAAAGCGATTTGAAGCATGGTTTATATATTTTTTTGGGGGGGGGGGCAGAGCTTTGTGACGTCATATTTGAGGTGGTGTCTGACTTTTTGTGACGCCGTGTGACGATGGGGGGGGGGCGGGGGGGGTCAAAAATCATCCAAAATCACGTGACATCATTTATGGACGGCCCCTTTGGTTCTAAATCGTAAAAAAGAAAATTATAAAGTACAACGTTAATAACTACATGGAGCGGTTTGATGAAACAAAGTAAAGTTGTTACTTACGTTGCCCCCGTGGCTTAATTTGTATTTCCGATTATTTACCTTCAACAAAACAAATCCGTCCGTGTCTCGCACCCCCCAAAAAGGGCATCTCGGGCGCGGGCAGGGGGGGGGTGGTGCCTGAACCCCAGGTGAAGATCAACCCAAACAGAGTTAGCAGGTTTGTGATTTTTGCTGACGTGGCTAAGAAAACGTTCACGCCTGTCTGGCAGGAGAGCGCTTGCTGGGTCAATTCGGCACCGATGCAAAGCTGTCAACCCACAAGGTGTACGCCGCATTCTTGTACGGAGACATTGAGTTTTTCGGGTCCATACGGAATTACAGCCGTTTCAATACGGGCGGGAAAATAAATAAATAAAAATTCCCTTTGTGCGTTTCTTCCTCGTGATGGGACTTTGTAGGATAAACGATGAGATTTATAATGGCACGGGGTGATCAATAAGGTGTGAAATAAGGTTCGTCACTCCAACGCTGTCCTCTGGACAAGTACGGTCCCTTCACCTGATGAAGGCCACTTGTGTTGTGGCCGAAACGTCGTGATTTTTGTTGTGTTATTTTTTTTACCGACGTGACTTTACCGAATAGAACCAAATAGTATGGATCCTTGCAGTCACGAAAGCTTCAATTCGAGAATTGACAGGAATGCTGGCCAATGGGTTACGGGAAGACCGTCACACACGCACAAAGCACGTGGCTATGAGACTCAACCCCTGGTCCCTTTGAGCGGGGTCACCTGGTTTACACGATACAGGTCAGAATCAGAATGTATCGACTGAAAGAATCCGATGGGCTAAGAAGTGCTCTACTTTTTTTGTTTCCACGGTGGTCCAGTCGGCGATATTGTAACAGGGTGGTGTAAATTTACGATGATTGATGTTCTTGTGGTGGTGGTGGTGGTGGTGTCAGTTTCAATAAATTATTGAATCAAAAATAATACAAATGTTCTACGGCTCTTTGGCTATTTAATTTCACGGTCTTCTCAGTCGTCTGTCTATTAAGAATGCGGTGTGGTTCTTCACCTTCACTGCAGTCGTGCGGACAACACCGCGGGTGGGAGAAAACGGCGATTTGGCTTCCGGGTATTGCCGAGCTCAAGAGAAGAATAATCATCATGGCCTGCCCTCTGCTTCTTTCGGTAAAGTCACGTAGAAAAAAATATATATAATGATAGAATAAGACGTTTCGATTGCAGCGCAGGCAAACCATCATCAGGTACAAATGAATGAGAAAACAAATCTCGTAAACTTGGGAATATAATGCGATACAACACAGAGAGTCGGCCAACAACAGTCGACACCCCACCTGCTTAATTAAGTTCTTCCAAAGATTGCTAAATTTGAGAGAGATAGGCAAAACATAGACACGGAGACGCACAGGCAGACACAAGCAGAAAATGACGTCACGCGGCGTCACAAAAAGTCAGACCCCCCCCCCCTCATATATGATGTCACAAAGCTCTGCCCCCCCCCCCCCAAAAAAAAATATAAACCATGCTTCAAATCGCTTTAAACTATTGTAATTGTAGTGCGTATTTAATGTGGCGCTGCACTGATGTTGCAGGTAGAAAACATTTATTGAAAAGTCTATTTAATTAAGTAGAACGTGTTATCTATATTTACTTTTTGGTTCTATTCGGTAAAGTCACGTAAAAGTATAAAACAAAAAATAAAAAAATTCACGACGTTTCGGCCACAACACAAGCGGCCTTCATCAGGTGAAGGGACCAGACTGTCTCGAGGACAGTGCTGGAGTGAACACAGCCAAGCTCAGACCGCGACCTTTAAGCTGTGTGAGAGTAATTAAGGTGCCTTGACAAAGGAATTAGCATAAACATTAGCATTTAATTGGCGGACTTAGCATGATGAACGGTGTGGAGGGGGTGAACATTTTTTTTAAGTTTAGTTGTTTTATACTTTTACGTGACTTTACCGAATAGAACCAAAGAGTATGGATCCTTGCAGTCACGAAAGCTTCAAATCTAGAATTATCGATATTTAAATTTTTATTTAAAGCTTTCGTGACTGCAGTAATTCATTTTTTTAGCTCTTTCGGTAAAGTCACCACGTTGAAGGGAAACAATAAAATAATAAAAAAATATATAAAACAATAAAAATTCTCACGACGTTTCGACCGTAACACAAACGGTCGTCATCAGGTGTGTCGGTCCGCATTAATTTATTTATTTTTAACGGTGTATTTATTTATTCATAAAAAACGTCAGCGCCACGCGCAGCGATTTGGCAGTTTATTTAGGACTAGTCAGCATACATTAATTTTTCGTCTCCCCCCATCTTTTCAGAACATAGATGGACTCGTCCTTCTAAATAAACTGCCAAATAGCTGCGCGTGGCGCCTGATGAAGGCCGCTTGTGTTGTGGCCGAAACGTCGTGATTTTTTGTAATTTTATTTGGACCTACGTGACTTTACCCAATAGAACCAAAGAGTATAGCATTTTTATTGTTTTATATATATTTTATTATTTTATTGTTTCACCTTCAACGTGACTTTACCGAAAGAGCTAAGAATGTCTATATTTATTTAAAGTTGCCGCATTTTGATGTGACGTCACATTTCTGAACCGCCCCCCTCCCTCGTCACAAATGTCTGACCCCTCCCCCCTAGGTGCGTGACGTCATTTATAGACGGCCCCTACAAAAAAAATCGCGTTTCTCTCGCCGTAGTCGCTACACCTTTGACCTTTCCACCTCTGCCCCCTCACAATGCTTATGAACTCCGCGTGAACGCACCACCAGACAACAACAACACAACTGCTGTTATTATTACTACCAACTCGTAAACTCCGCGCGCGCACAAACACAAACACTTAGCAACCTCGTGAACAAATGAGAGCGAGATTTAACAAAAACCAACAACAGTGAACCATCCTCCCGAGATTGAATACTAATAACGAGGACGACGACGACAATATTAGATTAACATTTTAGTAAACACTTATTTGTGTTTTATACATACACATATATATAGAGAGAGAGGCAGAGGAGGAAGGGTGGTGAGGTGAAGCGAGAGAGTCGTGCCCGGTTCGCAGAGGCCTGCAGTAGGCCCAAGGGTGGCTGAGGCGAATTTTTAAAAGACACCAAAAAAAAGGTAATCGAAACAAACTTTTAACTCGTAAATATTTACGCCGCGGTTAATATATATGTGTGTTTTTAATGTCATTGAACGCAGGGTGGGGTGGGGGGTTTGGTTGCGTTACGTTGCGTGGACTGCCTCAAATATCCCCTCACAATTTCGATTTAAAGCTTTCGTGACTGCAAGGATTCATCTAATTTTGGTTCTTTCGGTAAAGTCACCACGTAGAATGAGAATAAAATAATAAAATAACACGATAAAATCCTCACGACGTTTCGGCCACAACACAAGCGGCCCTCATAATGAGGGCCGCCCTCATCATGAGGGCCTCTTGTGTTGTGAGTCTGATGAGGGCCGAAACGTCGTGAGAATTTTATCGTGTTATTTTATTCTCATTCTACGTGGTGACTTTACCGAAAGAACCAAAGAAGATCCCCTCACAAATCGCGATTTTTTTATTGCTGCGTCGCGAATTTTTCCCGCTTAAAATTTTAACGTTTTCGTGTTGTTAAAAGTTATCGTCAAATCCCCCCACTCCTCCACTGTCAAGTATCCCCCTTGCCTCTCCCCCCTTTCTTATATTCCTATATAACCTCTTGCCACGGCAGCCCTCTCGTCCACTTGCTGTGTGGTTGTTCCACCTGATCAAGGTTGCTCGTGTTGCGATCGAAACGTCGTGATTTGTTTTGTTTTATTTCTACCTACGTGACTTTACCGAAAGAACCAAAGAGTATATAACCTGGTGGTGGTGGTGGCTTCTTCGGCTGCCGAAGCCGGCGTCTCACCGCGTTAGGAAGGTTACGACTTTAAATTGTGGTTGTTGGTGCCCGGTTTGAATCACTGGGGGTCTCTTACACGAGTCTATGGGTCTTTGTGCGAGTCTATGGGTCTATGTAAGTCTGTCGGTCTTTGTGATGGGCTCAGTGAGTTCATGGGTCTCTCTGTGATGATCTCAGTGAGTCTATGGGTCTCTGTGATGGTCTCGTGCGTCTATGGGTCTCTCTGTGATGGTCTCAGTGAGTATATGGGCCTCTATGTGAGTCTATGGGTCTCTCTGTGATGGTCTCAGTGAGTCTGTGGGTCTCTATATGAGTGTGGGTTTCTACGTGATGGTCTCCGTGAGTCTGGAACTCTGAGTCTATGGGTCTCTATGTGAGTCTATGGGTCTCTATGTGAGTCTATGGGTCTCTGTGTGATTCTGTGGGTCTCTATGTAAGTCTGTCGGTCTTTGTGATGGTCTGTTGCGTCTATGGGTCTCTCTGTGATGGTCTCAGTGAGTCTGTGGGTCGCTATATGAGTGTGGGTTTCTACGTGATGGTCTCCGTGAGTCTGGAACTCTGAGTCTATGGGTCTCTATGTGAGTCTGTGGGTCTCTATGTGAGTCTATGGGTCTCTGTGCCAGTCTGTGGGTATCTGTGATGGTCTCGTGCGTCTGTGTCTCTATGTGATGGTCTCAGTGAGTCTATGGGTCTCTATGTGAGTATTTGGGGGCGCTTCGGTGGCGAGATGTCAACTACCTCGCCTGGTATGCAGGAGGTCGTGGTTTAGATCCCGACCATGACACCTGCTGTACATTTGGCGTTTGCGGTGTCTCTCTCTCTCCCCGTGGTCGCGCGGATTTTTCTCCGGGTCCCCCGGTTTTTCCCTCCGCATTAATCAACATCGCGGGAGTATTTAACTGCTATACACTTCCACACGATAAGCCACCACGTTGAGCTACCATTTGTGGCCAGGTCGCCTCAGAAAAAAAAAAAGAGCTTCATAGCTCGGTAAGTAATTTGTATTATACGTAACGGACGAACCTTTTGTAATCCGCAGGTTCGTCTGTCCGTCGAGTCGCCGCATATCACGATGACGACCGCTCCCCGGCTTCTGCTGATGTCTGGGAGAGTTCGCTCCATCGTGAGCAGATTGCCCAGGGGCATTGGGCAAGATCATATGGCACAGATGTCGTCATCGTCTTCGTCGTCGTCGTCGTCACCACCACCGTCGTCATTACCATCGTCACAGCCACCGTCATATTCCAGTGGGCTTCGTGGATCCCCGGGCGGCGTTGATGTCAAAGCTCTGCTTCAGGAGGAGGACACGGCGGAGGATGGCAGCGTCCGCGATGACAAGGTGACGCGCGGTGCGGTCCATGGGCAGTGCCGCCAAAGGTGCGGCGGCGCAATGGTTGCCGTCGCCCGGCGGTATGCTCGAGAGAACTTTATTGGCAATATTCACGGCTTGTGCAAAAAAAATATATATGTATTTTGAAGTTAGTTACCTATGAAATTTGTGCTTTGCGAAAAGGTTTTTTTCGGAGTGATTAATTGCAGTTATTCTCCAAAATCACTTGCTCTTCTTCCCACCCCACCCCCCCCCACCCCCCCCCCCCCATTATCTTCTTTAACTTCTTCACTTCTCTTGTCATTGCTCCTTCCACCCTCTGTCATCTTCCCCCTCCTCTCCATTATCACGCTCGTCAACGCAATCTCCCTTTGCCTCCTCCACCTCCTCTCTCCTCGCATCACCTCCTCCTCCTCTACCGTCCCTCCCTCCCTCCCTCATCTTCCCCTCCTTCCCCTTAATCCCCTCCTCCACCCCCCGCCCTCCATACTCCCTCCTCCGTCCACCCTCTTTGACATCCACCCTCATCCACCACCATCACCCTTGCTCCACTGCGGTCGCGTCTTCCACCTCCCCACCTTCGTGCGTCTCCGCGACAGCACGAGAGCTCGGTGCTGCTCTTCCCGGGCCAGGGCAGCCAGTTCGTGGGCATGGCTGCGTCGCTGGTGGAGAGGCACGAGCGGGCGCGGGCGCTGTTCGACGCGGCGCGGCGCGTCCTCGGCTACGACCTGCTGGCGCTGTGCCTCGACGGGCCGGCCGAGCAGCTGAACCGCACGCTGCACTGCCAGCCCGCCGTGTTCGTCACGTCGCTCGCAGCGCTCGAGGCGCTGCACGAGGACGAGCCGGAGGTGGCCGCCCGCGCCGGCCGTGGAGGGGGGCTGAAGGGGGGGCGTGGGAGAGGGGGGAAGAGAGTGAGAGGGGTTAAGAGAGGGGTTAAGAGAGTGAGAGGGGTTAAGAGAGGGAGAGGGGTTAAGAGAGTGAGAGGGGTTAAGAGAGTGGTTAAGAGAGTGAGAGGGGTTAGGAGAGGGGTTAAGAGAGTGAGAGGGGTTAAGAGAGGGGTTAAGAGAGTGAGAGGGGTTAAGAGAGGGGTTAAGAGAGTGAGAGGGGTTAAGAGAGGGAGAGGGGTTAGGAGAGGGGTTAAGAGAGTGAGAGGGGTTAAGAGAGGGGTTAAGAGAGTGAGAGGGGTTAAGAGAGGGGTTAAGAGAGTGAGAGGGGTTAAGAGAGGGAGAGGGGTTAGGAGAGGGGTTAAGAGAGTGAGAGGGGTTAAGAGAGGGGTTAAGAGAGTGAGAGGGGTTAAGAGAGGGGTTAAGAGAGTGAGAGGGGTTAAGAGAGGGGTTAAGAGAGTGAGAGGGGTTAAGAGAGGGAGAGGGGTAAGAGAGGGGTTAAGAGAGTGAGAGGGGTTAAGAGAGTGGTTAAGAGAGTGAGAGGGGTTAAGAGAGTGAGAGGGGTTAAGAGAGTGAGAGGGGTTAAGAGAGTGAGAGGGGTTAAGAGAGTGAGAGGGGTTAAGAGAGTGAGAGGGGTTAAGAGAGGGGTTAAGAGAGGGGTTAAGAGAGGGGTTAAGAGAGTGAGAGGGGTTAAGAGAGTGAGAGGGGTTAAGAGAGGGAGAGGGGTTAAGAGAGTGAGAGGGGTTAAGAGAGGGAGAGGGGTTAAGAGAGGGGTTAAGAGAGTGAGAGGGGTTAAGAGTGGGATAGGGGTTAAGAGAGGAGAGGGGTTAAGAGAGTGAGAGGGGTTAAGAGAGGGGTTAAGAGAGGGGTTAAGGCAGTGAGAGGGGTTAAGTGAGGGAGAGGGGTTAAGAGAGGGGTTAAGAGAGAGGGCTTAACAAAGTGAGAGGGGTTAACAAAGTGCTAAATTATATGCTAATTCCTTTGTCAAGGCGCTTTGTTTCTTCTGACACAGCTTAAAGGTCGTGATCTGAACGTGGCTTGTTTCACTCCAGCGCTGTCCTACCAGACAGTCTCGTCCCTTCACCTGATGAAGGCCACTTGTGTTGTGGCCGAAACGTCGTGAGAATATTATTGTGTTATTTTATCAATTTATTATTTTATTCTCATTCTACGTGACTTTACCGAAAGAACCAAAGAAGAAAAAGTGAGAGGGGTTAAGAGAGTGAGAGGGGTTAAGAGAGTGAGAGGGGTTAAGAGAGGGGTTAAGAGAGTGAGAGGGGTTAAGAGAGTGAGAGGGGTTAAGAGAGTGAGAGGGGTTAAGAGAGTGAGAGGGGTTAAGAGAGGGGTTAAGAGAGTGAGAGGGGTTAAGAGAGTGAGAGGGGTTAAGAGAGTGAGAGGGGTTAAGAGAGTGAGAGGGGTTAAGAGAGTGAGAGGGGTTAAGAGAGAGAGAGGGGTTAAGATAGTGAGAGGGGTTAAAGGGCAAGGAAAAGAGTAGAGAGCTACGTAGCTGTTTTTCAGAATCGACCTGGCCACAGATAACAGCTCAACGAAGTGGCTCATCACATGGAAATGTACAGCATCCAAATACTCTTTGGTTCTCTCGGTAAAGTCACGTAGGTATAAAATAAAATGAATTATTTCACGACGTTTAGATTGCAACACAAGCAATCATCATCAGGTGGGAAAACCGCAGCATGTTATACTAAATACGGAGGGCAAAAACCGAGGACCCGGAGAGAAATCCACGCAAACTCCAAATATACAGCAGCAACAGGCCTCAGGGTCGAGATTGAACCCACGACCTGTATACCAGGCGAGGGTGTTAACAACTCACCACCGCGACACCACGTGCACGGCAATTGCCGCTAAAGGCCACATGGGGGATCTTTGTTGTCTGTGCTCTGCAGGCAATAGAGAACTGCAAGGTGGCTGCGGGCTTCAGTGTGGGAGAGTTTGCTGCGCTGGTCTTTGCCGGTGCCATGGACTTCAGCGAAGGTACGGGGGCTTCTACGTCCAGCCGGCGTCAAGAATTACCCAAGCTCTATGCTCCTACGCTGGGAATGTTTGTCCGAAACTCTATTAAATGAATGCTTCGTACACGCGGGGGCGGAAACCAGAGAAAACTCGAACCATTTTTTTTTTTTTTACCGCGCAAACAGCCGTGTAGATCTTTTTTCAGAAGCGACCTGGCCACAAATGATAACGCGACGGAGAGTGGCTTATCATCACGTGGAAGTTTACAGCAGCCAAATCCTCATCAAACGCACATTGACAAATCTTCAAACGTACGGGTGTCGGCGTCGGGGTCGAAGCCACGATCTCCTGAATACCACGTGAGGGAGGTGTAACGTCTCACCACCACGGCGCCCATGTTTTATGCACGTGGGGCAGGAACAACAGCGGCCGGAGAACACCATCTGAATCACCGAGCCGAGCAGTGGCTCTTGGCTTCGCAGTCGGACAAAGACGGTGCTCACCGCATCGCACGGCGCTTTCATGTGCGCGTCTGCGGCCGTCTGGAACGCTCTTCCTTTCCGATATTAGGAAGCCACCTTGCGCCTATGCGCTTTTATTAAATCGTCTAGATTGACAAACTCATTTATTTACAACTTCTTTATCTTCTTTGGTTCTTTCGGTAAAGGCACGTAGAATGAGAATAAAATAATAAATTGATAAAATAAAATAACACAATAATATTCTCACGACGTTTCGGCCACAACACAAGCGGCCTTCATCAGGTGAAGGGGACGAGACTGTCTGGTAGGACAGCGCTGGAGTGAAAGAGCCACGTTCAGATCACGGCCTTTAAGCTGTGTGAGAGGAACAAAGCGCCCTCAACTTTAGCATGTTTAGTTTGTCGTCCTTCCCCCCCCCACCCCACCCCACCTCTGATTAGTACGGTTGTCTGCGTACGGTGCGAAAGAGGTTTCAACATGCATGCGTCAATTAATTAGTAAATAAATCCCCCGGCGAACGTGCTGACGTCGAGCCGACGTCGGGCTAACGTCGGGTTCAACGTCGGGTTCAACGTCGGGCTAACGTTGCACTCGCCCCACCTCTCCCCCCCCCCCCCCCGTAGCCCTGTACTGCGTGCAGAAGCGTGCGGAGGCCATGGAGGCTGCGAGCTCGCGGGGCCCCCCCCACGGCATGCTGTCGGTGTCGGCGCGCCACGCCTTCCGCCCCACCGCCGCGTGCCAAGAGGCGCGCGAGCACTGCCTCTCCCACTGCCTCTCCGCCACCGCGGCCGGCACGGCCGAGCGGGTCGCCGAACCCGTGTGCCTCGTCGCCTCCTACCTGTGCCCCGACGTGCGCGTCCTGGCAGGCCACGTGCAGGTCAGGGTTCGACTCCCGCCCCGGGGCAGGTGGGAGCCTGGGGGCTGTGCTCGGGCCCACGTGTTGTTGTTCTCCCTCGCTCCCTCGCTCCCTCGCTCGCTCGCTCCATGCGCGTTACTGCTGCAGTCTTGTGAGACTGATTCGCGCGCATGTGGTGACCTCGTACGTGTGATTGCAAGGGAGCGGTGACGCAGCGGTTAGCGCTACGCTGCGCTACGAACCCGGCGACCTGATTTTGATTCCCGCTCGCAGCCATCGCCGGTGACCGATTATCTGAACCGGTCCTGGACCTCGCCTCGGTAGCCTCAAATGAGTACCTGGTGCAGTGTGTGAACATCGCCACTCGGGAGAGAAAAGCGGCTGGGCTTGGCGCTGGTCACCCACCGCCTCGTATACCGTGCCAGCCTTCATAGGTGCTACTCGCGAACAGCACTTGACCCGACAATCTGTTTCGGCTATGGTGGGGGGATCTTCGTCTTTGCCTAGCGTGGCACAAGTGCCGTGGTGACGTCACCGCTACTTAGTGGCCAACAGCGGTTGTTGTTGTTGGGGGGGTGGGGGGGGTGGTGGTTGTATTTGACTGCTATAAATTTCCAGGTGATGATGATACTTCGATGAGCTGTCGTTTTTGATAGCCAGGTAGCCTCTGAAAAATAGCTACAAAGCTCCGTGTGCTTTACCTGGTAAAATACAAATAATTGTAGAGTTTTTAATGAGTTACTATAGTTCGTAGTGTGTGTGTGCGCGCGTGCTAATGGAGGGGTTGTGTGTTGCGCACACGTGCGTGTGATTGCATAGTAGGGAGCACAGGTCGTGCATCGGCCAGTCATCTCAAGCTAGTCAACCCCATGGCATCTGGGTCTTTCCCGTGACCTCCTTGCCAGCGGGCGTTCGACACTTCACGTGGCCATAAAGTGCACATAGCCTGGCACAGGCGCCGTGGTGACGTCACTGCTGCTTAGTGGTAAATGGCGGTCGTTGTTGTTGTTGTGTGTGTCTGCATAGTAAGGAGCATAGGTGGTGCATCGGCCAGTCATCTCGGGTCAGTCAACCCATGGTATCTGGGTCTGTCCCGTGACCTCCTGCCAGCGGGCGTTCGACACTTCACGTGGTCCTAAAGTGCACCTAGCCTGGCACAGGCGCCGTGCTGACGTCACCGCCACTTAGTGGCGAACTGCGGTTGTTGTTGCGCGTGCGTGTGTGTGCGTGTGTGCGTGCGCGTGCGTGTGTGTGCGTGTGTGTGCGTGTGTGTGCGTGTGTGTGTGTGTGCGTGTGTGTGCGTGTGTGTGTGTGTGCGTGTGTGTGTGTGCGTGCGTGCGTGCGTGCGCGACGCTGCAGGCGCTGGAGTTCGTGCAGCGGCACGCGCGGCGCCTGCACGTGGTGCGCACGCGCCGTCTCCCCGTGAGCGGCGCCTTCCACACGCCGCTCATGGCACCCGCCCAGGAAGCGTTGGCTCAGGCGCTGGGCCGCGTCACCGTGCGGAAGCCCAGCGTCCGCGTCTACTCCAACGTCACCGCGCACCCGTGAGCCGCGCACCGCGCCCGCCGCACCGCCAGTGTTGCGCTCACGCCACGCACCGCGCCCGCCGCACCGCCAGTGTTGCGCTCACGCCACGCACCGCCCCCAGCAGTCCGTTAAGGCCCCACGGCGGCGGGGGGGCCCCGCCCCGCCCCCCCCCCCGTCCCTTTTGTGCAGGTACACCTCCGTGGGGCAGGTGCGCAACCTCCTCGTCCGTCAGCTGGTGGAGCCGGTCCTGTGGGAGCAGACGATGCACGCCGTGTTCGACCGGCGGGACCGACTCGACGCGGGCGACGAGCCGGAGCCCCGGCGAGGTTCAAAGGGCGGCGACAGCGACGGCGGCGGCGGCGGCCCCCGCCGCTTTCCGCGGGTGTACGAGGCCGGCCCCGGGAAGCAGCTGGGATCGGCGCTGCGAGCCTGCAACGCCAAGGCGTGGTCGCGATACCGGGCCGTGGACGTGGGGCCGAGGAATGATTCGCGGGCGGAGGAGGAGGAGTGATCGTCGGGCGGGGAGGGGTGGTCGCAGAACGTGGAACTTCGGCGCGGCGACGCGCGTGTCCGGTCTGGGGTATCGACCTATGCTCCACCCCCCCCACCCCGCCACCGCCAGGGCATTATTGACATTGTAAGGTCGCACTCGTTACACTACAAAGCGCTTGCCGCAAATTAACCACCGATAGATGCCTCGCCGATCTCGTCAAGGGGCGCGAACCATCAATCAAGCGAAGTCCGGTCATCATCATCGCAGCGGCGGCGGCGGCGGCCGCGGCTTTTGGCTGGCCACGGAACAGAGGCGGTGGTCACCTCACCGCACCGCGCGACGCTTTCAGATGTGTTTCTGCGGCCGTCTGGAACGCGCTTCCTTCCGATAATAGGAGCCACTGGAGCTATGCACTTCAAACCGAGATTGAAAATGTGTATCTTTACAACTGCTTTTTGTGCTTAGTTTGGTGTCGCACGGTTGGCTACGTGCGAAAGAAGTTCAACATGAAATTCAAACATTTTAATCGGGGATTGATTTCTCGCGGGAATAGTTACATTTTCTAGACCTCCACCCCAACCACGCACCACAGCGACTGCGTGAGGGGAGTGTTTACACACTACCCACGCGCACTTGTGTGCGATTATACGATATACAATGCGCCTGCACACACGTAACTTACACAGCACTTGCCGCAACAGTTCAAGGCCATACGGTTTGAGCGGCAATGCTCCTCGCTCACGCCGCAGACATGGGGTTGACTTGTACGAACTTCGCGAGTCTTAGCGGCTATGAATTCAAAAGTTTTAAAAGTCCGAGAATAAAATATATATATTTTATTTAAGAGTTTTTTTTTATCTGGATTTTATTTCACGAACCACGCGCCCCAGTGATAGAGTGGCCCATTAGGGTCCCATTGTGGCCATGCTTCAGGGTTGCAACCTGTCCAGGTTTAACTGGGATAGTTTAGGAATTTGCATCTCGTTTGGTTGGCAGCAGTTATTGATTTATAGCACAATCCCATGTCCGCTGTTCTTTCTTGAGCCACGGTGGGCAAAGCGAGCCCTGGCGAGTCGACACGTGCAGTCGGTGCACAACAGTGAACCTCCGATTGGGCGACGGACGGTGTGACAAAATTTCAACGTACAAAGATCCCCCGTGTAGCCTTAACGGACTGTTGGGGCAGGTGCCGTTCGCAAGTAGCACCTATGAAGGCCGGCACGGAACGAGGGGGTCGGCCAACACCACGCCCAACCACCTTTGTCTCGTGGCAATGTTTACCCACCGCACAAGGTAACCATTTGAGGCCAAGTGGAACTAGGGGAGGCCCGGGACCGGTTCAGATAATCACCACCGGTGGTGGCCATGAGCGGGAGTTCAACTCGGGTGGCCAGGTTCGCAGCGCAGCCGCTCCCCCTACATACGTGCACACAACATACGTACGGACAGTGAAGGGCCCTGTGAGCAATGTAATAAAATCCAGTGACAATTTCGCAAAGAGCATTGTTGCCAAACTTCCCAGTCACTGGTGAGCCAGCTGAGTCGGTCAACTCTGGCACGCGTTGGCGTAGTCCCCCATCACGGGTTGGCTCCGTGAGCCCCACACACTTCACCCGTTGTCGTTAATGCCCGAGTTGGCATCACTTTAAGTCAGCGGTCCCCAAACTTTTTAACATTAAGGGATCGGTTTCGTGGAAGACAATTTTTTTTTCACGGACCGGGGCTGCGGGGGGGGGGTGTTCATCATTGGGTGTTTCCCCATTTCAAAGAAGCTCTCCGGTTACGTTTGCGTTTGTTACTCATCGTGGCTACTAGGGGGTTAGTAGCTTGTGGGCTTACCAACACCACGTGACTGAGACAAGTGCGCAGTGCGCTGGGAAAGAGGCGCGGACGGAAGTGGTAAATAATAAAATAATGGGGCGGGTTCCACGCATGATCGGACTCACCGCTCTCACCTCGTGCTGCTGTGCGGCCCGGTTCCTAACAGGCCACGGACCGCTGCCGGTCAGCGGCCCGGGGGTTGGGGACCCCCCTTTAAGTGCTTCGGTCTTCGTGCGGCCAGTAAAACAGTGAATTGCGATAACGGTGTTGAATCACGAAGAAAATGTCAATTTTAAAACTGGTCAGAAAACTTGCGAAGGTTTGATTCCCACCAGGCCCCGGGAATATTGATCGGGGGGGGGGGGGGGGGGTTCAATCCCGACTCCTGTATATTTGGAGTTTGTATGTTTCTCTCCCCGTGGTTGCATGCATTTTTTTCTCCTTCGAGTCCTCCGATTTTTCCCCTCGCATTTAGGAACATGCGTTTAGATGATTTTGCTGCTATAAATGTCCAAATGATGAGCCACTTTGTTGAGCTATCGTTTGTGATGGCCAGGTCGCTTCTGAAAAATCAGTTAGTACCTCGGTGGGCTGTCTGGTATTGTGGGGATGGCTTAGTTTTGTGTGTATGGGTAATTTGTTTATCGTGTTGTAACGTTCTCAGCCCGTGCCCCTTTACTGGAACATCTGTGAAAAAGAGCTTTATAGCTCATCCGATTCCTTCAGTATAAACATTATTATCCACTCTGGCCTATGAACTTTGAATAAAGGCCGTTGCTGAAAACGTCACTCGTATGAGATCTTTGTGCGCCACTGCCAACGCAGCAGCAGCAGCACCAGACGCAACATTTTGAATCATAAACTAAACTTTTTATTTCACCAGGTAAGGCCCATGGAGCTATACAGCTACTCTTACATAAGTGACCTGGCCACAAATCTCAAACAAGTGCCTTATCATCACGTGGACATTTATACCAGCCAAAAACTATTTTTTTAAACGGTTCTAAAATGGAAGAGAAAAATCCACACGATCACGAGAACTTGCAAACTCTTAAATATTCAGGCGTGGTATCTGTATCAAACCCATGAGCTCCTGCATATCCAGGTGAGGTAGTTAACATCTCACCACCGGGGCACCCGAATCATGAGTAGGTTATCCAGTAATTCGCTATTAGGTATATGCATAAATCGGTACAACTAAACTTTTGCTTCCATAACTGGTACCAATATCTACTGTGGCCGCGTGAACTAATTGAGTGCGAGCCCTGGATTCAAACCCAGGATCTCGATGGCCGATGCTATTATGAACCCCAAAAATGTTGCGTCAGCGAATAACCAACATAAACCACGAGCAGGCTTTATTGATTGTCTTTATTTTTCTCCCCGTGTATAAATCCACCAGCCCAGAAAAAAATGTACGCACACGCGCGTGTCAATCGTCGCGATTGAAATACATCGTCACGAGCACTCGCTTGACTACGCGGTTAAAAAAAAATGTACAAATTACATTTAATTTATAAAACGGAGCATAAATTTTAAAAGGCATGCAGACATTCTGAAAAATGTAATATCTTACACACTCCTTTTACAGTTAGTGGAACTGCAATTTTAATAATTTACTTTCATATTTTGTAGGGGGGTTTTTTTGGTCTTTTTTTTGGGACCCGTCAGAATAAGGAACCATCGAGGCTGTGTTCCCTTGGCTCAGTCACACTGCATTAGGGATATTCTCTCTAACTTTGTAGCCCCCAGAGTCGGTCGGTTATGGCCCAATTCAAGTGCGACGCCACCAGGTTTAAAGATGATTAAGACAACCGTCAGCGAATGGCCTAAGATCACCATTTCACCCAGGGGCTCCAACCCTAGACTGAGGGGGTTAGCGGCTCAGTGGCTCTGACGTGGCCATTACGAAACCTTCACAGAGATCCAACCCCAAAGGCTTGAACCCAAATCTATTTTAGAGGTTCTGGGCTCAGAAGTTTTTTTTTGTCCCGCGCGACGCCAATCATTCCACGTTATTGATACAAAGTTATTAAAGTTTAACGCTTGCATGCAATGCAACCGGTACTCGTAAAAACAAAGGGTTTTATAGAAAACTTAAATGAGACAAGACATTCAGAACCCTCCCCCACACATTTGAACGGTAAAGTTTTTTTCGTATTGTTACAGAAGATATCTCTAAGCCTCAACACCCTCCTTGCATAACCGCGCGCGTGACTTGCTCCCACTAAAAACACACCGCAAGTTTAAATCGGAACACTTCCAATTCCCCACTGGAATTCCATACTGTCCGAAAAGACTTCATCAGAACCCAATTTGAATGCCACCAAATCACACTGGACCTCAGTCCCCACAGGAAGACCGATGCACATCCGTTATTAGTGTTGCCAACCTTGTCCTGGTATTCCTAGGACTTGTCCTCATTTTTGTGGAAGCTTCTGACCAGGGATAGTCTTCCCAAGACTATCCTGGTTCTAGTCCGTAACATCATGATGCACCACTCAATACAATAACGTCTAGTTTCCCACCCCCCTGCGAAATATTCTCCTGCGCATACGTCCCGGATTTCATGTACATCGAGGGATGTCTTCCCAAATAGAAAATACCATTGATCCGCGCACGGGAAGTCCACGATATGCTTTCCCTTGGAGCGTTAAAAACGGTTTACGTGGAATGTTCAGGCAAGACGGCATGATTTTGAATGGCTTTTGACGGCGCTTGTGCAATTTATATAGAGGGTCGGTCCATTGCACAGATTCATATTGCGTTGTGAATGGGTTTAGCACCGTGGTAGATTTTGACACCCGTGTTTTCATCAGGCGAAAGGTTTGGCGCGCAATTTCTGTCGTTTGACAGAGGGGGGAAAAACCCCCCCCCTCGACGTTAAACATTTTTTTTTTTTTAAAAGAGATTTCCGCCTCGGCATTTATACACATTTGCATATGTATACAAAAAGAGTGCAACTCAAACCAAACTTACTTTCAAGACGGCCATCTTCGGCTACGTCTCCTCCCCCCCCCGTTCCCTCACCATTTCTTTCCTCACGCATTGACTTGCCGCCTAAACCAAACTCGCAAACGCCCGAGTGGCAATTCCCTGCATCACCTCCCAGCAAACGGAGGCTCAATCGCCAAGTGCCGCGCGCTGCCACGCCGCGTCAACAGCGCAGCGCTTTACGCGCTCGGAAGTAGTGCCACGTCCGTGTGCAGTCCGAACGTTAACGCGCGAACGCCAACTCCCGGTGAGCGTCGCCGATGTCCGTCGCTTCAGGGTACGGCTGCAAGATTCCCTCGCTCTACGCGGGCTTGGGTTTTTGCGATTCCGCGTTCTGCACGTGTGGCCAAAACCCATTTCGGCCCAAAATTCACTCTGCAATGCGGGTTGAATTCACTCGGCATGCGGCTGTTCGGTCGGAAGTGGGACAGTGTTATGTACCGTTGCGTGTACTGCATGTAGTGTGCGTGTACGGCGTGTGCTGTGCGCGCTACTCGGCAGGCAGCTGTCTTGCATGGAGATAAATACGCAGACATACGCATAAATATACACAGAGATACACCGCTGTGTGTGTACTGTGTCGCAACTCAGCAGACGGCTGTCTCGCACGGAGATACACACATACAGAGATGGGCACACCCAGACACACCACTGTGTGTGTACTGTGTCACGTTACTCGGAAAGGCGGCTGTCTCGCAGAGATACACAAAGAGATACACACAGAAATCTACAGAGATACACCACTGTGTGTGTACTGTGTCACGTTACTCGGAAGGCGGCTGTCTCGCAGAGATACACACACACAGAGATACACACACAAAGAAATCTACAGAGATACACCACTGTGTGTGTACTGTGTCACGTTACTCGGCAGGCGGCTGTCTCGCAGAGATACACACACACAGAGAGATACACAAAGAGATACACACAGAAATCTACAGAGATATACCACTGTGTGTGTACCGAGTGCGCTACTTCGCAGGCGGCTGTCTCGCAGAGATACACACACACAGAGATACACACACAAAGAAATCTACAGAGATACACCACTGTGTGTGTACTGTGTCACGTTACTCGGCAGGCGGCTGTCTCGCAGAGATACACACACAGAATTACACACACAGAGATACACACAGAAATCTACAGAGATACACCACTGTGTGTGTACTGTGTCACGTTACTCGGCAGGCGGCTGTCTCGCAGAGATACACACACATAGAATTACACACACAGAGATACACACAGAAATCTACAGAGATACACCACTGTGTATGTACTGTGTCACGTTATTCGGCAGGCGGCTGTCTCGCAGAGATACACACACAGAATTACACACACAGAGATACACACAGAAATCTACAGAGATACACCACTGTGTGTGTACGGTGTCACGTTACTCGGCAGGCGGCTGTCTCGCAGAGATACACACACACAGAATTACACACACAGAGATACACACAGAAATCTACAGAGATACACCACTGTGTGTGTACTGTGTCACGTTACTCGGCAGGCGGCTGTCTCGCAGAGATACACACACACAGAATTACACACAGAAATCTACAGAGATACACCACTGTGTGTGTACTGTGTCACGTTACTCGGCAGGCGGCTGTCTCGCAGAGATACACACAGAATTACACACACAGAGATACACACAGAAATCTACAGAGATACACCACTGTGTGTGTACTGTGTCACATTACTCGGCAGGCAGCTGTCTCGCAGAGATACACACACATAGAATTACACACACAGAGATACACACAGAAATCTACAGAGATACACCACTGTGTGTGTACCGAGTGCGCTACTTCGCAGGCAGCCGTCTCCTCGTGCGGTTTCGCTTTGTGTGCCTCCCCCCCCCTTTTTTTTTTGGAACGCATCTGCTACTACCGCGTAGAGCGAGGGGGAAACCTGCGTTTGACCAACCTGTCTGATCAAGGTAGACGTTTGTTAGGTAAACAAAAATACAACAAAACCGGGAGAGGGTAGGAGTCGGTGGTGGTGGCGAAGACCAGGTCTTCTCAGGATGAAGAATACTTGTTCTTCAGCACCACAAAGAGGACGGTCAAGGTGATGATTGCTCCAAACATCCACATGTTTGAATTTCCGACCCGCATGACAGCCATCTGGGTCGGGAATTTTGCACACATGCATACGCACGCACCGCACACGAGAATACAACATCAGCAACAGGGGCTTTGAAAGCTACGGAAAATGTGAAACAGTGCCTGGCAAGAAGGTCATTGGACGGATCCAGTTTTCATGTGTGGCATGCTGTTGTAGAGCGCTGCATGCTGGAAGGTTTATGCTGTACTGCTTGCTGTATGGTGCATGTATGCTGAACTTATTTTTCACTGTACGTAGTCAACCGCGCGCTAATCAGAGGTGCGGGGGAAGGACAACAAACTAAACACGTTATATGCTGTGTCGCACGCTGTACACTACGGTATTTTTCAGTGTATGTTGTACGCTCCGTGCTGGTTGCTGTTGCGTGTGCCGACTGCCACGTCCATCGGATGAGCGTGCGTTGCATGTGCTGCACACACTCCTTGCTGCGTGTACTGCTGTGTTTGTGCGCTGCGTGTACTGCTTCGCAGGCTGTGATCTCACCGCCAAATCCACCCCCCTCCCCTTGGTGATTGATGTACTGTATCGTGGTGTGTGCTGCACACTCCGTGCTGTGCGTGTGCGCACTGTGTACTTGCGGGGAGTGGTAGTGTAGCGGTTAGCGTGCTGCGCTTCGAACCCGGCGACCGGAGTTCGATTCCCGCTCATGGCCAACACCGATGATGATTAATTATCTTGGACCGGTCCTGGGCCTCCCCTAAGTCGACTCGGCTTCAAATGGTTACCTGGTACGGCGTGTAAACATTGCCACTCGGGAAACAAAGGCAGCTGGACATGGTGCCGGCCACCCACCCCCTCGTGTGCGCCTTTTCCAGCCTTCACTAACAAGCACTTACCCCAACAGTCTATTCAGGCTATATGGGGGGGATCTTGATGCCTTTGTACCGTGTACCACCGCGCGTGCCGCGGCCATCTCACTCACCCATCCTCCCTGGCTCACGATCCACAGCGCGATTGTGTGGCTGGAGCGCAGGAATCCGGTGACAAAGCTGACGACGCGGCCAAAGAAGCCGCGCATTCCGCGCTCAAACACCGTCACCGCCAAGCGGTAGCCGAAGCACATGAGGGCGATGATACGGCCCCAGTTCACTCCGTCCGCAAACAGCCTGGGGGGGGGGGGGGACGATGACGGCAGACATGGGGAGATGGTTAGACTCTACATGGGATAGATCAGAATCTTTATGTATACCGGAAGAATCCGATGAGCTATAAAGCTCTTCTTTTTACACGTGTCCAGTTAGGAGTTGGTCAGACACGGGGGGACGAGTGACACATGGGGAGATGGGGGAGATAGACATGGGGTAGATGGTTAGACACGGGGGGACGTGGGGAGACGGGGGAAACACGGAGACAGGGGAGATGTGGGGAGATGGTTAGACACGGGGGGACATGGGGAGATGGTTAGACAAGGGGGGACGTGGGGAGATGGTTAGACAAGGGGGGACGTGGGGAGACAGGGGACACAAGGAGAGATGGGGGAGACGGTTAGACATGGGGTAGATGGTTAGACACGGGGGGACGTGGGGAGACAGGGGAAACACAGGGAGACAGGGGAGATGTGGGGAGATGGTTAGACACGGGGGGACGTGTGGAGACAGGGAAAACACAGGGAGACAGGGGAGATGGTTAGACATGGAGTAGATGGTGAGAGACGGGGGGGGGACGTGGGGAGAAAGGGGACACAGGGAGATGTGGGAGATGGTTAGACATTGGGAGACGGGGAACGCAGCGGAGACGGTAAGATACATGGGGCATGGGGACAAGGAGCCGGTCAGACACAGGGGAAGTGGCGACACAGGTACCTGGGAACATGGTCAGACACGGTGGGACATGGGGAGACCAGAGACATGTTCAGAAACGGGGACATAGAGGGATAAGGGGGACATGTGGACACAATCACGATGATGCCGTCAGTGATTTTATTGCCATTTGCACAATTGAGGAGGACGCTATTCATCCGTACAGTAACACGGACATGTGCACGCACAGAGAGGGTGATGAAATCTTGGGTGTGCAGAGTACAAGGGTGGAAGTCCGAGATTAAAGTGCAGAGGGTGGAGAGGGAGCATCAATACTTACCCTAAGAGAAGTTGCCAACCGCCAGGATACAGCAGAGCAAGAGAGAAAGAAGTAAAGGCAGAAGACACAACAGGAGATTGAATTGGAGACAGAGTGAGCAGGTGGGAGGTTAAGAATATTTATTTCATTATCGTTGAACCAATTTATCGTTTAGCTATTAACTATCTGGGATGAGGTGGCGCGTCGGCGGAATGGTTTGCGCGTTGCGCAATTAACCCGGTGACCCGAGTTCGATTCCCGGCCGTGACTAACAAGGGAACACGAGTAAATGTGTGTGTGCGTGTGCGCATCCATATACACATGCATGCATGTCTGTTTGTATGTGCAAATGATTTCAGTGCGAGGGTGTCTCGTGGTCAACTTATGATTTTGTAAACATGAACACCAACCCTTCGCACATTGGGTGCTCATTAGCAACACCTGCCCTAACAGCCTGCGTAGGCTATACGGGGAATCTTAATATTTGATGTGTACGTGTGTGCGTACTCTAAGGGTAGAATAGTGGTTCGCGCAAGAAGGTGTCCCAAGTTTAATTCCCGAACACAGCTAACACCACCCGTGCCGTACAGGCATTAATATATGCTCACCTCCAACACTTTCCCCAAAAGCCGATATAAGGCTATATGTTTGTATGGATGTGTCTTCGTGTGTGTATCTGTGAGCGACCCAAGTTTGATTGACACTCACGACCAAAAACAGTGGCGAATATTTGAACCGGTCCTCAGCCTCCGCTAGGCCTCAAATGAGTACCTGGTGCGGTGTGTAGTAAACATCGCCACTGGGGAGACAAAGGCGGCCGGACGTAGGGCTGGCCACCCACCCCCTCGTGTGCCGTGCCGGCCTTCATATGTGTTCGCTCACAACACTTGCCCCGACAGTCTGTTAAGGCTATGTATGTATGTATGTAGAACTTATTTTGCACTGTACGTAGCCAACCGTGCTAATCGGAGGTGCGGGGGAAAGACAGCAAACTAAACACAAAAAGCAGTTGTAAAGAAACGAGTTTTAAAATCTAGATTTAAAAGTGCAGAGCTCCAATGGCTTCCTATTATAAGGAGAAACAGTGTTCCAGACGGCCGCAGAAGCGCATCTAAAAGCGCACAATACGGGGGATCTTTGTCTTCGTTATCTACGAGTACGCCGTGCTGGTCGTCGTAGGTGCTCCTCCAAACAGTAAGCTACACGGGTATTATATAGTAATAGGTTTTACCCTTTTAACTGGCACAAAAAACTGACACCTTTATTCAAGGCATCATGTGCCTTTATTCAAGGCATCATGTGCCAGTTAAAAGGGTAAAACCTATTACTATACCTTGCAAAGGTCTCATAATGTAAATACACGGGCATTCTTCGTCTTTGTGTGCGTGCGCACGTGTGAGTGTGTATGTATGTGCGTTCCCTTTCACACTCTCACCCCTCGGCCACTTTGTTGAAACATTGGTGCGCGGTCTCAGGCGTGAGTTGCAGCTGAGAGAGGATGCGCTGGAAATCCGGCTCGTAGCGTCGGTTAATGTCGTCTCCCAGGATGGCCAGCTGCCTCCCGACGTGCATGGACGGGCTGCGGACACACAGCATCGTTATCATCCAAATCAACAATAGGGTCATCAGCATCAATAGCAGCAGCAGCATCTTCGATTACACCCTCACTGTCATCATCAATCGTGTTATCATAAATAATATTACTGGTATTAACGGCACCACCGTTAACGGCATCATTGATAGGATCATCAACAGTCATATCTTCAGCATGAGCAGCAACAGCATTATCATCATCATCAGCAGCAGCATAATCTTCGTTTCAGCATTATTGGCATCATTATAGCAACATCTTCAGCATCAGGAGAAGCAGCATCATCAGCAATATTTCATCATCAACAGCATCACTGACATTACAACCATCAAAAAGGGTCAATCATTTAAACACTCAGGTAACAGATGTAACTTAGAAAGCAAAACAAGAAACGTAACTGGAGTTTGGCGGGACATCAAACTAGCACCTCCGACGATTAGCACGGTTGACTTAATAGTGTGCGAAAGAAGTTTAACATGCACACAATACAGATGGGCAAAATTAACAAGGCAACGGAGGCCGATGGAGGGAATGAAGAAGAAAAGTAGACAGAAAATGAGATGGTGGAACAAGAACTTAAACGTTTTTTTATTTTACCAGGTCAAGCCCACTGGGCTATACAGCTCTTTTTCACATGCGATCTGGCCACAAATGATAGCTCAGCAAAAGTGGCTTATCACGTGGAAAATTATAGCAGCAGCTAAATACTCTGAATGCGTGACGTCCATTCTAAATGTGGAGGGAAGGACCAGAGGACCCAGAGAAAAATCCACACGACCACGGGGAGAGACATGCAAACTCAAAATATACAGGAGTCGAGGTCGGGCGGGATTCAACCCGCGGCCTCCTGTATACTAGGCAAGGTATTTAACTTTCGCACTGCCAATTGGCATGGTTGGCTACGTACAATGCGAAGGAAGTTCAACACACATATATAGCATATCACACCACCACAGAGTATTAATCATAAGAAGGCAGGTGACGGATCAGCGGGTGTGTACCTGAGTGGATTCTGCTGACACTCCATGATCTCGGGCATGGCCGGTGTGAAGAGGCCGTTCTCGGCATCGTGCTGAGCTTCGGTCTGGAAGCGGTGGTATGCGTAGCTACGGAACACATCCTCCGCTTGCTGGGTCACACTCTCCTCTGGCACGGGGCGGGGATCAGACGCGGGGAATTATTTATTATGAGCAGAAGCGTCGCTATCATCGCAATCATCAAATACGTTACAAGTAGCATCACTATTGTCGTATGCGTCGTCATCAATTGCGTCACTATCATTCGTTTAATGTGCTTTTTACTTTGGAGGTCGGTAGCTGCGCTTTATGAGAAGTCAACATCGCATCTAACACGCGTCTCATGTGCAACGAGATGGAATGCTTTGATGTTGCTTTGATGTTGCCTGCCGGCCGTGTCGCCCTTGAAAAGCAGCTTCTTAGCTAGCGCAATGGACTTTACTCTTACAATAAGCTTCTGATTCCGATCAAGGGATTTCTCACTGCTGATGCTGCTGTTGTTGTTGCTGGTAGTCATTACCGGTGTCTGGCAACAGGGTGGACGGACGGCGCGTTTTCTGGAATGGCGGCGTCGGTGGCGGGAAAAATCCATCGTCCCCATCTCCATCGCCTCCACTCGCCATTTCACGTCTTGAGAACGGGACACACCAGGGCACACTGGGGGACAAGGGAGGTGGGGGGGGGAGACAAGGGACACGGGTGATACGGCGAGACGTGCAGAAGTGCGAGACGCGCATGCGTACAAAGTCAGACAAAACAACAGAGGTTGACACGGAAACAAGGAAGAAAGAGTCTTGGGGCAAATGTGGACAGAGACAAAGGGGACAGGAGGATGGACACCCACACGGGAACACGGAGAAATGGGACACGCACCAATAAACAGTCGCCATTCGCCACTAGGCGGCGGTGATGTCACCATGGTGCTTGTGCAAGGCTCGGGGAACTTTGGAGCGCACACACAAGGACTTTGAGGCACGCGGTGGCGGGGTGGGTGGGTGGGTACGCATAGGGTAAAAAAAAAACAGGAACTTGAGGACACAAAGGCACAGGGACGTGAGAATGTGTAACTTGATAATGCAAAGCAACTTTCCTCAGGAAGAACATTTTCAATCAGTGTGTATTGTCGGCTACGCCGTACAGATCGCGAAACACGAGGATCGATGAACGTACAAGTTGCAAGGAAGCGTGGAGGTCGGTTGGGGTTAGAGGCGAGGGGGGCATGCTCGGAATTAGTGAGAAAGCGGCAAAAAGAGGAACACAGGAACGAAAGAGAACCACGTGGACCGGGGGACATTTAATTAGGGGCCACAAGAACCACGAGGAAAGGAAGTTGTCCAGGGCAAGAAACAATGAAACTTCAAAAAAAAACGTTTTATTTTACTATGCAAGGTCCACTGAAGGTCCACATATAGCTTTTTCAGAAGCGACCTGGTTATCACGAATGATTGGCCAACGAAATGGCTTATGATGCGGGAATTTATAGCACACTAAGTGCACGTTTCAACATGTGGAGGAAAAAAAACAGAGGATCAGGGAGAAAAATTCACACGCGACCATGGGGAAAGATAGAGAGACACCGCAAACTCCAAATATGCATGCAGGCGTCAGGGTTGGGATCGAAACCACGACCTCCTGTATACCTGGCGAGGTAGTTAACATCTCCTAGCCACCGTGATGATGATGAGACACGAAAACTCAAAATATACAGCAGCAGGCGTCAGGGTCAGGATCGAACCCACGACCTCCTGTATACCAGGCGAGGTAGTTAACATCGCATAGCCACCCGGCTGAAGGGGGGTGATGAGGAAGGAGATGGAGCGATGAAATCAGGATGGTGGTGGTGGCGTGGGGGGGGGGGAGAGCCTTCATCCAGCAGTGGATCGAGGCATGGCTGAAGATTATGATTCTATGTGAACACCGACAGTTTATACACGTACCTCTTTCATATACTTTGCACTCCGATCGGTCCATAATACAGGGTTGTTTGGGTTCGATCGCGTAAATATGTGTCGTTAAACTCGCCACCACCGGACACGGCCAATCAGTAACGTTTGTCACGTCAACAGAAACATTCCAATTCGTTACGAATACAGCGCAGTGGCACAGCGGCTTTAACGACACGTTTATGTTTACGAGATCTAACCCCAACAAAAACAACCTGTATTATGGATAATATTGATCGCGAAAGCCTTCGTGTTAAACTCATATCGGTTTTTGTATAATCGCTGCCCCCTACTGGACATCTGTGGGGGAAAAAGAGTTCTGTAGCTCATCGGATTCCCCCCCCCCCCCCCAATTCTGACATTGTATCTATAAGCGGGGGCTTACTAATCAAGAAACCCGCTACAAAATTGTCTCGGGGCAGGGCTCAGTTTGTCCAATAAGGCAACCGCAAATTGTCACTTTGACCTTCAAAACAATGCCTCGGTGAAGTGGGCATTGGTATCTGGCTACCATGAGAGATTCGTTCATGAGGCTATCCACATATACAAACACAGAGACAATTTCAACCGAGAAGATGGATTCTGGCTTAGCAATCATTGCAAGGATCTGATAAACCATTTCGGGTCTTAATTGATTGTTCACGCTTACGGTGGCTTTCAGACAGCATACATTAATTTTTCGTCTCCCCCCTCCTCTTTTCAGAACATAGATGGACTCGTCCATCTGAACAAACTGTAAAATCGCTGCCCGTGGTACTAACGTTAAATAAAAAAGCCACTTTTTTCAAATTTTCTTGCTGTGGTTTTCACACCCGATGACGATTGCTTGTGTTGCAGTCGAAACGTCGTGAGAATTTTATTGTTTTATATTTGTATTGTTTCCCTTCTACGTGACTTTACCTAAAGAACCAAGAATATACATTGGTAGTTTGTTTTACTTCACGTGCCGGCAATCGCCCACCCACCCCCTAAACAAAGTTAGGCATCGGCGTGCATTACAGCCAATCGACACAACTTTATTTTACTTTACGTGCCTATATCGTCCCTTAATAACGTAAGGCATTGGTAGTAATCGTTACAGACAATCGATAAAACTTTATTTTACTTTACGTGCCTATATCGTCCCTTAATAAAGTAGGCATTTGGTAGTTAATAATTGTAGCAAAACGGGTACGGTAAATAAGAGGGGATGGGGGAGACGAATTGCAGAGGGAAAAGAACGACCCGCAGCGGCTAACTAACCCGACTGAGATAAGCGGAAAACACAAGTAAATTGCAACCAATAATGATTATTATTATAACGGCACAACAACAACTATAATGGGTTTGGGGGGGGGGAGAAAAAATATAAGTCAAGAGAAGTCGGAATCGATAAGATTCGGACGTCCGATGGGTAGGGCGTTGTTATATTGTATACCTTTATACACCCGTGTATACATGTAACCCTGTGTTTGTAACAGTACACCCATGAAGTTGTTGTTATACATCAACCCTGCGTATATTATTGTGTTTTAACACGTAGGCTTTGTATTTTGCTCTCCAAACACACAACCGGTGTGCTGTATTAGTGACGAATTGGCACGTTCCGTTTACGTGACACTAACCTTTATTAATCGTCTGTGTCGGATGGTGGCGGGTTTAACAAACAACATTTATATTTACGCGATCGAAACGCAAAAAAACAAACTGTATTATGGATTAGTCTGTGTTGTTTCGGGGCTTTGTCAATGTACTTCTGCGGCCAAAGGCCTCCGTAGGCCTCGTCGTTCACGGGCCTTGTTTGACCACGGTGGCAATACATCCGTACGACGCACCGGTAAATATACACGAGCGTAACGTTACGGCTACATTAATAAATACACGCAACTATATACATACGACAGTCGTGTTAAGAGAGTATACGCAGTGTACAACGTCCCACAAGATATCCGTCCATTACAAGTTACCCAACACGCTTAAAAATGTACTTTTAAAAAGTTTGAAATCATCTTCAGAGACGTGAACATTCGCTCGAAAGATACACACGAACGACTTTTATACCACCCACACCCCCAAAAAAAACTAAAATGTAACAAGTTTCATTATTTACCTCAGTTGCTTTTCAAGGTCCGACAGCGGCGTTTTCTTCCAAAGTCGACCAACAAACCGATATATAAAATCGCCGTTAAAAGCGCGGAATGTCACACAGGAGATGTCTATAAAAAACGACAATCACGAAACTGAGGTAGGTAGGTGGGTAAGGGGTGAAAAGTTAAAACTGTTAACCCTCTCACAAATAACCGCGACGCCTCACGAGAGAGGTGGGCAAACAATTAAGGCCGGACCCTCTCAACGAAAACCGTAAGACGGATAAGCCGAGACACGCCCCTCGCCCCGCCCCTCGCCCCGCCCCTCGCCACCCCCATAGTGTTCCGCACGGGCGCACGTGACCGCGCGGGCAGCCAATGAGCGCGCGCGACCCGCCTTATGCTTATCCAGACTATGCAATAAAAACGAGCTGTGAGGGGGGGCGGTTAACTTGGCCATTTTTTTGGCGGGACGTTTCCTTGAGTGACGTCACCGTCGCGTCGCCGCCCCCCCCCTGGCGATGATCTCATCGGGTGACGTCACCACACGGATAGCGGGCGTTGGGCTATTTATAGACGGGTGTTACGTCATCATCGGAGCTCCACTGATGACTGTGGTGGTGGTCTCTGTCCACTGCTGGATGACTGTGGTGGTGTCTGTCCACTGCTGGATGACTGTGGTGGTGGTTAACCACTGCTGGATGACTGGTGGTGGTGTCTATCCACTGCTGGATGACTGTGGTGGTGTCTGTCCACTGCTGGATGACTGTGGTGGTGTCTGTCCACTGCTGGATGACTGTGGTGGTGGTGTCTGTCCACTGCTAGATGACTGTGGTGGTGGTGTCTGTCCACTGCTGGATGACTGTGGTGGTGGTGTCTGTCCACTGCTGGATGACTGTGGTGGTGGTCGTGTCTGTCCACTGCTGGATGACTGTGGTGGTGGTGTCTGTCCACTGCTGGATGACTGTGGTGGTGGTCTCTGTCCACTGCTGTGGTGGTGGTGTCTATCCACTGCTGGATGACTGTGGTGGTGGTGTCTATCCACTGCTGGATGACTTTGGTGGTGGTCTCTGTCCACTGCTGGATGACTGTGGTGGTGGTGGTGTCTATCCACTGCTGGATGAAGGGCCCCGTCAATTTCCATCCGACCATCACCACGAAAAAACAACAACGGCCAATCAGTTTCAAAGACAATGCCAATATATTATCAGAGTGTGTGTTTTTGTTTGCATTCTGACCACAAGTATTGTGGTTAATGCAGTAACATTATTCCTTGTAAAAAGGTTTCAGTTTGGTGTTTTCACAACTTAACACAGCTGTTTTGTTGCCAGAAAAAAGGGGAAACCCTATCCTCATATGACGCTCTTTTTTGTAACAGATGTCCAGCAGGGGCACGGGGTAAGAGAGAGCTTTGGGAAGCATTTAGATCGAGTCGCATGCTAATTAGCCACGGTTGGACTATGTACGGTGCGAAATAAGTTCAACGTGCATACATAGACTCACATAGAGACCCATATATTTAAAGAGAGACCCATAGACTCACACAGAGAATCATATACTCACAGAGATACCCATAGACTCACAGAGATACCCATAGACTAACACAGCGACCCATAGACTAACACAGAGACCCATAGACTCACACAGAGACCCATAGACTCACACAGAGACCCATAGACAAACACAGAGACCCATAGACTCACACAGAGACTCTTCATAATACCCTAGAGTCGTGTACATTAATCCTGTAATCATCTGTAAAATCAAGCATAAGCTTAAAAGTGAGCCGAAATTTCATCACGCTGAGTGAGATGTTAGCAGAAGGTAAGGCTGCTAATAGGAGAGGATGCATTTTTCGAATGTTTGGTTGGTGAGACATTAGTTTAAGAGAACGAAATGTTTTAAAAAATACACAATAGGCTAATGAACTAAAACACATTTGCATATTCTTGGCTCTTTCGGTAAAGTCACGTAGAAGGTAAACAATAAAATAAAAAATATAAAACAATTTGCATAGTAGCATTGTTTATTTAGACGGGGGGGAGGAATCCGATGGGCTATGGAGATCTTTTTCACTGATGTCCAGCGGATGATATATGTGCGGGCACAGACCGGATTCCAGTAAACATGTAAACGTTGGGCGAACGTTGGGCTGTGGTTGTAACTGTTCGTCCAACGTTCAGGAAACGTTGGGCTGTGGTTATAATGGTTGGACCAACGTTGAGGCAACGTTGGGCTGTGGTTAGAATGGTTGGGGCAACGTTGGGTTGTGGTGAGAAAGGTTGGACCAACGTTGAGGCAGCGTCGGGCTGTGGTTATAATGGTTGGACCAACGTTGAGGCAACGTTGGGCTGTGGTGAGAATGGTTGGCCCAACGTTGAGGCAACGTCGGGCTGTGGTGAGAATGGTTGGCCCAACGTTCCACACTTAATAATGATTGTGGAGTTCTGCCAACAAAAAACTGGGCCAAACATTTTTTTGTAAACAACGCAGGAAGTTATAGGATTGCGAAATATGTTAGCGTGTGACTAATGTGTTAAAAATAAACGGGAGTGATAACACTTTTTTTAATATCTCAAACACAACACATGAGCTCATTCGCTTGAGAGTGAGTCATCATTTCTAAATATAGATGTCTTCTTCCGCCACCGGAATCGGAAGAAAATCCAACCGAATTACCAGAAGACATCTTCCAAAAGTCATGAGATTCAACCCCGCCCACTTTCTCCGTCCAATTCCGGCAGTATCTTCCGGAAGAGTCTTCCGATATCAGAAGACGTTTGCACTGATGCGTAAAATCTTGACGGTAAGGGGCCGTCCATAAATGACGTCACGCACCTAGTGGGGGGAGGGGGGCAGACATTTGTGACGATGTGTGACGAGGGGGGGGGGGGTTGAGAAATGTGACGTCACATCAAAATGCGCAACTTTAAATAAATATAGATAACACGTTCTATTTAATTAAATATACTTTTTTTAATAAATGTTTTCTACCTACAACATCACAGTGCAGCGCCACATTAAATACGCACTACAATGACGATAATTTAAAGCGATTTGAAGCGTGTTTAATTTTCAAAATTGAAAAAAAAATTGGGGGGGGGCAGAGCTTTGTGACGTCATATTTGAGGAGGGGGGGGTCTGACTTTTTGTGACGTCGTGTGACGAGGGGGGTTGGGGTCCAAAATCGTCCAAAATCGCGTGACGTCATTTATGGGCGGCCCCTAACTGCAAATACAAGCACCGCAGAGACACACAAAACACACACGTCGGGGTGTTCTATTATCAAGGGAGCTCACGGAAGAGTCTGCGCGAATCGTGGTGCATTGCGAATTTTAAAGTGTTCTGCGTGTCAACTTTAATTTGCTGAGGTCTTCCAAACCTCGAAGTTTTTTTTTCTTACCAGATTCGGCAGATAGGGTCTAGAACCGGAAGATGTCTGCCAGATTCGGTAGATATCTTCCTAAACCAGAAGATCTCTTTCATACTCGTTAGACGTCTTCCCAAACTGGAAGAAGCTCTACTAGACTCCGTAGACGTCTTCCAAAACTGAAAGAAACCCTATTCGACTCGCTAGACATCTTCCAAAACGGGAAGAAGATTCTACCAGACTCGGTAGACATCTTCCTAAACTAGAAGAACTCTTTCATACTCGGTATACGGCTTACAAAACTGGAAGCGCTACTAGACTCGGTAGACGTCTTCCGAAACGGGAAGAAGGTTCTACCAGACTCGGTAGACATCTTCCTAAACTGTTTAACACGTAGGCTTTCGCGACCAATATTATTCATAATAAAGGTTTTTGGGTTAGATCGCGTTATTTATAAATGTGTCGTAACCCTCCACCACCCGACACGGCCAATCAGCAGAATGGCGAATTGCCCGATGATGCTGGATGTAATTACCAGCGAAACGTCGTACTCAAACTGTAAATGTTGTGGATTCACTCTTCAATACACCGGTGGGCTAAAGTAGTGAATTATTTGTCTTTTGTCAACGTGACACTTTTTTTGCTGATTGGCCGTGTCGGGTGGTGGAGGGTTACGACACATTTATAAATAACGCGATCTAACCCAAAAACCTTTATTATGAATCTTCCTAAACTAGAAGAGCTCTTTCATACTCCGTATACGGCTTACAAAACTGGAAGCGCAACTAGAATCGGTAGACGTCTTCCGAAACGGGAAGAACGTTCTACCAGACTCGGTAGACATCTTCCTAAACTAGCAGAGTTCGTTTATACTCGGTAGATATTCTTCCAACACTGGAAGAAGCTCTACTAGACTAGGTAGACATCTTCCAAAACGAGAAGAAGATTCTACCAGACTCGGTAGACATCTCTTTCAGACTCGGTAGACATCTCTTTCAGACTCAGTAAGATCTCGCCATAATAGAGGTTTTATGGGTTAGATCGCGTAAATATATAAATGTTGTGTCGTTAAAACCCGCCACCACCCGACACAGCCAACTAGTAAGGGGTTCATATTCTTGGTTCTTTCGGTAAAGTCACGTAGAAGGGAAACAATAAAATAATAAAAATATAAAGCAATACAATTCTCACGACGTTTCGACTGCAACACAAGCAATCATCATCAGGTGTGATGATTGCTTGTGTTGCAGTCACGAAAGCTTTAAATCAAAATTTTGTAAGGGGTTGTCACGTAAACAGAACCTGGCCAATTCGTCACTAGTACAGCCACACCGGTTGTGTGTTGGAGAGCCTAGCCACAACATTTACAGAAATCTGTCTGTCGCCTGATGAAGCTGGTTGTAATTACTGGCGAAACGTCGAACTCAGATTGTAAATGTTGTGGCTTGGCTCTCCAACACAACCGGTGTGGCTGTACTAGTATACTACACTATACACTGCACTATATACTACACTATTATACACTACACTATACATTATACTTTACACTACTATACACTACACTATTATACACTACACTATACACTACTATACACTACACTATACACTACACTATACACTACTATACACTACACTACACACTACACTATACACTACTATACACTACACTATACACTACACTACACACAACACACTAATGCTGTACTAGTGACGAATTGGCCACGAATTGACCCCTTACTAATTGGCTGTGTCGGGTGGCGGCGGGTTTTAACGACACAACATTTATACATTTACGCGATTTAACCCAAAAACTACTACGTTTTATGCGTACGCACCAAACACGAATAAGATTCATAACGCGTGACGTCATGTTCTTCGTGGGGCGTGACGTCATATCCCTCTATCCTCGCCGGTGACGTCACGGAGGCTCCAGCGGCATCTCTGCGGCTCTCGGGGCATCATGGCGGCGCCCAGTGGTGCGTTCCTCCACGTGGTTATTGGGGAGGGAGGGGGGGGAGGTGTTCACGCGAACAACACGGGCGCACGCGTGTGCGGATGAAGCCTCGCACAGCTCGTTAGCCGGCTAGTTGATTAATAGGTTGCTCCGTGTTTTTATTAACTAGCGCTGTTAACGAGATTCTCATCGTCGGCAGCAACCACCTCCACCTAGAGTTCCGCCGATTCGCGTTTTACGATCAACAAAAAAAAAACTTGCGAATGTTTTGAACCGGTCCGGGGTCTCCCATAGGTGTGCAGTGTGTACTGTGTGTGTATACTGTGTGTTGTGTGTATACTGTGTGTTGTGTATATTGTGAGTTGTATTGTGTTGTGTGCATACTGTGTGTATATTGTGTGCTTTGTGTGTGTGTTGTGTGTATACTGTGTTGTGTGTATACTGTGAGTTGTACTGTGTTGCGTGCATACTGTGTATATTTTGTGTTGTGTGCTTTGTGTTGTGTATACTGTTGTACTGTGTTGTGTGTATACTGTGTGTTGTGTGTATACCGTGTATACGGTGTGTTGTGTGTATACTGTGTGTTGTGTGTATACTGTGTTGTACTGTGTGTGTGTTGTGTGTATATACTGTGTTTGTATACTGTACTGTGTGTGTTGTGTGTATATACTATGTGTGTTGTGTGTATACTGTTGTACTGTGTGTGTTGTGTGTATACTGTGTATATAGGGAGTAGTGGTGCAACGGTTAGCGCGCTGCGCTACGTACCTGGCGAACCGGGTTCGATTTCCGATCACGACCAACATCAGTGACGTCTGAACCGCTCCTGGACTTCCCCTAGGTCGACTGAGCCTCAAATTAGTACCTGGTACGGTGTGTAAACACCGCCACTGGGGAGACAAAGACGGCCGAGCGTGGTGCTGGCCATCCACCGCCTCGTTTGCAGTGCCGGCCTTCATAGATTGTTCGCTCCTCACTATAACTGCACTTGCCCAAACGGTCTGTTAAGGCTATACCCGGGGGGGAGAGGGGGATCTTTATATGTACACGTACAGCCCCTGCCTTGGTCAATCCACTGCTGGTTGATGAGGCGTCCCCACGACTTACAGTCAAGTGAGTTGTTGTTTTGACCATACAGTACTTGAGTGTTGCAGGTCAATTGCCGATTTGGTGACGGGTGTTGCATGCTACCTGCTGCGATGTATCGATCAGAATAATCAGAATCTTTATACTGGAGGAATCCGATGAGCTATAAAGTTTTTTTTTTCAAAGTAGCGGGGAGTGGGGGGGCCGGGTTTCAGAACCATTACAAACAATTACAAAAAGACACAACAGGGAGTGCAAGGTGTAGGAAAGGTCCACAAATAAAGAATCTTAAATTTTGATTTAAAGCTTTCGTGACTGCAGTCATTCATATTCTTAGCTCTTTCGGTAAAGTCACGTTGAAGGGAAACAATAAAATAATGAAATATATGTAAGCCATCTGGCTACCATGAGATATTCGTTCATGAGGCTATCCACATATACAAGCACAGAGACAATTTCAACCGAGAAGATGGATTCTGGCTTAGCAATCATTGGAAGGATTTGATAAACCATTTCAGGTCTTAATTGATTGTTCACGCTTACGGTGGCTTTCAGACAGCATACATTAATTTTTCGTCTCCCCCCTCCTCTTTTCAGAACATAGATGGACTCGTCCTTCTAAATAAACTGCCAAATCGCTGCCCGTGGCGCTAACGCTTTTTAAATATAAATAAATGCACCGTTTAAAAATAAAATAATAAATGCGAACCGCCACTTCTTTCAAATGTTTCTTGCCGTTGGTTTTTCACACCTGATGATGACCGTTTGTGTTATGGTGGAAACGTGAGAATTTTTATTTTATATATATTTGATTGTTTCCCTTCAACGTGACTTTACCGAAAGAGCTAAGCGTATAATCTTAAATTTTCTTTAGGGCTGGAGGAATCCGATGAGCTATCAAGCTCTTTCTTTTTGTACGTGTCCAGTAAGAGGAGGGCAAGAGCTGGAGTAGTTTTTGCTGCAGAGATTCCGCTTGAATCTTACGAATGTGCATAAAGGCAATCATTACATACCAGTTCATGAAGGCCTGTCTTCTCCAGGCAAAAGTTTTCAAGAAATAAAAACATTTAACCTGATGCTATTTCTTTTTTTACAATTTTCCATCTACGATCAGGCCACTATCAATTTTACTCCCCAAATTTTTCATTTTTTATCCAAAAAGAAGCACACAAAAAGTGTGTTGATGGCTTCCTGATTCGACTACTTGTATTTAAAGACGCAGACATCGGAAACGGCTCGATTTAAATATCCCGTTCTTTTCTTTTAGAAAATATCATGAAATTAATCATCTATAAGGAGAAGTTCTATCTTTGAGCGTTTTCGAATTTTTTTAGATGTGAACATCATGAAATGCGGCATTGTTTCGTTCAAAACCGCTTAAATCCGAAATATCTCAAACAAAGACACAACAATGGTTCTCGCTTTAATTTAAAATTGCCGTCTGACGTTTTATCAAACAAAAAAACCCCGCAGTCTTATATTTTGAACGGTTTCTGAATGACACCACGCACAAACATACCCATGGGGCACTTAAACAATCTGGGATTTTCAGACCCAGCTATCTGTGTACCAAATTTGAGCTTTCTACCCTGTCGGGAAGTTTCCTGGAGGTTTTTGTGACCCACGGATAAATTAGATGTATTGTTGTACGTGTACAGCCACTAAGGGCAATCACTCCACTGCTAGATGAGGGTCCTCTGCTCACGCCGTGAAATATGTGGATGACACTTTGGTTGTCTGGCCCAAGGCCATAATTATATATTAAGGGGGACACATACATCCTCCTTAATATTAAAATATGCTCAAAATGTCCTCCCCCCCCCCCCCCAATATATCACTATAAAATAGATGTATGTTTACATGATTGTGGTTATGGTTGTACTTTATTAATCCCTAATTTCTGCCATTACATACAATGAAACAAGAAAATGTCAAAAAGAAAATACAGAGCAATGTAATACAATACCACGATTAGACTTTATTGTTAAAAATAACTAAAAGTCAATCCCACGTGTTAGTGATTTTTTTATATTTTCAGCAAGAAATCCGTTTTCAAATTTAGATTTTTTTATGGGGGGGGGGGGCCCGAGATACCCTGGAAGATTTGGGCCCCCCTCCCCCCCAATGTTGACTCTATGGCTACGGCCTTGGTCTGGCCACATGGTAAATATACACTTTATGAATTTCTAAATCATCTCAAATTCGCAAAACCTGGCCATCCAGTTCATGGAAATGGATGTGAATAACACACTCCTGAATATTTTGCTCGGAAGTGGCCTAAATGATAAAATAACACAGCGTTTACTGAAAGAAAATACACACTGATGCCTATCTGAATGCAGATTTGCATCATCACCCCCGCACAGACGCTCACACATCGGGCTAAAACAGCGTCTTGATGGTGAAAGTCTGAAGAGAGAGATTAAACATGTTAAAGAAGCGCTACAATTAAATGGCTACAATGCTCAAATTAACAGAGCATTGAATGCCAAACCAAGATCGAACAGCAATACTGCAGAAAGCGATCAGATTATTAAAACAATGAACAATTACAATTCCATGTATTGCGGGAGTAACTGACAAATTAGCTAGAGTTTTGGAAAAACAACATCACAGTATGATTTGGCACGGTACACAATTCAAAAACTAGTATGTTGTACTAAAGATGAATTGCCTAAATTATCAACAGAAGGTGTGTACCGGATTAATTGCTTCTGTGGCAGATGCTTTAATTGGACAGACGGGACGTAACAGCATAACGCTAAAATAATACCAAAGAAATATTGAATACTCTCAAACTCAACTGTTGGCAGTTGCAGAACATGATTGCCAACAAGGACACTCTATTTTAATATTGTTGAAGTGTTGTGTAAAACTAATTATTACTGTCCGACACTATATATTATTGGTTCTTTCGGTAAAGTCATGTAGAAGGGAAATAATACAAATTTAACAATAAAATTCTCACGACGTTTCGGCCACAATGCAAGCAGCCGTCCTCAGGTGAAGAAACAGAGCTGTCGGAAAGGCAGCGTCTTGCATTGTGGCCGAAACGTCGTGAGAATTTTATTTGATTACGTTTGATTTTTTATTACTTTATTATTTCCCTTCTACGTGACTTTACCGAAAGAACCAAGAATATGACTCCCTGCAGCCACGAAAGCTTTAAATCGAAATTGGCCGACACTAATTTGAGAATCCATTGAAATAGACAAAATACAAATCATTTTAACCGCTCTTGACAACTACAGGCTTAGTGCGGCCTGGAAGTAATTTATTAAATAATACATCTAACAATTAACAATTCCTCGTAGAGGAAACACATGCTAATTAACTGATTACTAATCTAATCTAGATTTGTTGTTCCACCTGATGATGGACGCTTATGTTGCGCCCGAAACGTCGTGATTTAATTTATTTCATTTTATACCTACGTGACTTTACCGAAATAACCAAAGAGTATGATTGCTGATCTATTATATAATTACAGCAACCCCCCTCCTCTGCCTCTGATCTCTGCACCTGATGGGTTCAGTGATGACGTCATCGCGCTCTATTTAAGACCGGAAGCAGATGGATTGCTTCACTATTCTGGCAAATCTCCCGATGGTGCTGGTTGATTTGATTACCAGCGAAACGTCCTACTACTCAAATTGTAAATGTTGTGGATTTACTCTCCAACACGCCGGCGGGCTGAAGTAGTACACTACACTATACACTGCACTATACTCTACACTATACCATACTACACACTACACTATACACTACACTATATACTACACTATACTTCACACTACACTAGTAACTAATTGGCGCGTTTTGTTTACGTGACAAACCTTACTGGCTGTGTCGGGTGGTGGAGGGTTACGACACAATTTTACTTACGCGATCTGAGCCCAAAAATCTTTTATTATGAACCTGCTGTTTTATTGCGAGAAAGGGTAAACGCGTCCTCTTATTTTTCACGCTTTGATAATGGCACAAAGAAAGGTATCCTACGATTAAGCTGCATCTAACAAACAAAAACAACCGATAAGGTTTTTTTAAGAAAGGCTCTTTGTGCGTGGTTTGTAAAATGGGTGAACCCCCCCCCCCTCCCTCCCTCGTTACAGATGACTGGGTCGAGTCTTCCGACTCTTCCGAAGGGGAGGAGCCAGCGACAAACTCTGGGACTGATGGGGACCAAGCCCCCAAGGTCACGTGTCTCTTCTGTGATCAGTAAGAACAAAAACATTTCTAATAACGATCATGCTTTTTTTTTTTTAGCACGTTTGCGAACGGGGCCTATCGTTCTTGCAGCGCGGGGCAGGAAGTCGCCGCTGTGTTTCACAGATGTACTACACTATACACTACACTACTATATACTACACTATACAATACTACACTACATTGTACACTACACTATACACTACACTACTATACACTACACTATACACTACACTATACACTACACACTACTCTACTATACACTACACTACTATACACTACACTATACACTACACTATACACTACTCTCTTATACACTACTCTCTTATACACTACACTATGCACTACTCTACACTATACACTATTATACACTACACTATACACTACACTACTATAGACTATACACTACACAATACACTACACTATACACTACTATACACTACACTATACACTACTCTACACTATACTCTACACTATACACTACACTATACACTACACTATACACTACACTGTACACTACACTACACTCTACATTACTATACACTACACTATACACTACACTACTGCAGACTATACACTACACTATATACTACACTATACACTACACACTACTCTACTATACACTACACTATACACTACTATACACTACACTATACACTCCACTACTATACACTCCACTACTATACACTACACTATACACTAAACTATACACTACACTATACACTACTACTATACACTCCACTGCTATACACTACACTATACACTACACTGGTTGTAGGGCATGAGTCAAATGTTGACTTTGGAGCACGGGAGCCGGCCAGTCGTCGTCACGGCTGGGTTTGCCGCTCGTCGTCGCCATGCAGACTGCGATGCTTTGCCGTTTCGTCCGCCCGTCGAACCGTCGGTCTTTCCCACCGCTTTGACGTCACGAAAGCACCGATTTTGACGCCGCCGCCGCTGCCGGCCGTGGTTGCGTCGATTTCCATCCGGGTCTCGTCGGTTTTCTCCCTCCGCATGTCGAGTCGACGTCAGGCGCTTCTCTCGGATAGTTGGCGCCCCGCCATCAGAGTCCACGCGGCGTGAGGGCCCGCTTGGTTGCTGAGGAGGCGATGACCCATGATGGCCAGGTCGCTTCGGCAAAAAAAAGCGCCTCGCAGCTCAGTCGCGTGGCCTTGCACGGGCGAAAGAAACAACACAGCAAAGCCTTGTTAATTTTTGGCACGCGGTGGCTCTGGCCTCGCCGACTTATCAAACATTCTGAATTGTGTACGATGGTACCCACCCCCCCCCCCTCCCCCCCCCCCAAACACCTTCACACACCATACGCATTGACGGCGGGCACCCTGCAACAGTCCGTGGCTTCGTCTCGCAGGCTCAAGGGATTTGTGCAGCCAGTCCCTTTTCCTGACTCCCTCGACGGTCGGCGTAGACGGCACCTGCGAGAGCGGGGGTATGGCTTGCACCGAGCGCGTAGGCAAGGTGAAGTCTAAAGCGACGGGTCTGCGCTAACACTCGCCACGCGCACCGCCACCAGACCGAGTCGTCGTTTTGGCCGCGCCAGCGCCGCGTCGCCCCACGCGCTCGGCGCCGAAAATTGGACCATTCGGCGCGCCAGTTCGTCCCGTGGCGAATTGCGAACGCACCGTGTACGTGTGCCGAAAGCACGCCCCGCGCCGAATTGTCCCCGATCACGAATGATCAAATACCGAATTGACGAGGACTTCCTGTCGCCCGGCTCCGATCGTTACGCTGGGAACTGTGGCTGCGGCGCGCGAGCGGCGAGTTCGGTCCCAGTTGTGGGTGCGCGACTCGTTCGTGAGTAGAACTTTTCAAAATATGCCACCTGGGGTCAGTGTTGGCCAAGGCTTCCCGCTCTCCCCACGGTGGCTGCGCGTCTCCCAGGACGTTAAACGAGCGTGCTTGCGGTTCAGTTCACCCGGTGTTTCGTGTCTCCGCCGTTGCCCGTCATTTTAGTTGGCGAGCGTTTCGAGCTCAACGTCTCGGTTTGCAAGTTGCGCGCCGATGTAACTCGGATGGATTTATTCAATCATCAAATTTTGTCGGGGTGTTTTTTCAGGGGTACGCGGTCAGCTGATAAGGCTGCTGTGGGGGTCACATGACGAGCAGGAGGTGGTGTACCGCTGAAATACTGATGGCTGTGTAGATGCGTGATGTATCGGTGATACAGGCGTATTGATGCGCATCGATACGCCTGTACCGATAGGCCTGTTCTAATACGCCTGTACTAATATGCCTGTACCGATAGGCCTGTACCGATACGCCTGTTCCGATAAGCCTGTACCGATAGGCCTCTACCGATATGCCTGTACTAATACGCCTGTACCGATAAGCCTGTACCGATAGGCCTCTGCCGATATGCCTGTACTAATACGCCTGTAGAGTTCTGAGACTCTTGCACTGATACGCCTGTACCGATACGCCTGCACTGTTACACCTGCACTGCTGGCTACGTATGGCGCCAAAGAAGTTCGACATGCAGCGTGATGATGATGGTGAAGAGTAAACATGAACGACAATGACGACGATGATGGCGGTGGTGTGCGCAGGACCTTTGGCTCGTCAGACGAGACGTTGCTCCACTGCAGCACGGCCCACGACTTCGATCTCCTGCACATCCTCAAGACCAACGGTAAACCTCCGATTGGCACGGTTGGCTGTGTACGGTGCGAAAGAAGTTCAATGGACATGCATATATAGGCTCATGCAGAGACCAATAGACTCACACAGAGACCCATAGACTCACACACAGACTCATAGACTCAGACAGAGACCCATAGACTCACACACAGACCCATAGACTCACACAGAGACCCATAGACTCACGTAGAGACCCATAGACTCACGTAGAGACACATAGACTGACACAGAGACCCATAGACTCACGTAGAGACCCATAGACTCACACACAGACTCATAGACTCAGACAGAGACACATAGACTCACACACAGACCCATAGACTCACACAGAGACCCATAGACTCACGTAGAGACACATAGACTCACGTAGAGACACATAGACTGACACAGAGACCCATAGACTCACGTAGAGACCCATAGACTCACGTAGAGACCCATAGACTGACACAGAGACCCATAGACTGACACAGAGACCCATAGACTCACGTAGAGACTCATAGACTCATGTAGAGACCCATAGACTCACGTAGAGACCCATAGACTCATGTAGAGACCCATAGACTCACGTAGAGACCCATAGACTGACACAGAGACCCATAGACTCACGTAGAGACCCATAGACTCACGTAGAGACCCATAGACTCACGTAGAGACCCATAGACTGACACAGAGACCCATAGACTCATGTAGAGACCCATAGACTGACACAGAGACCCATAGACTGACACAGAGACCCATAGACTCACGTAGAGACCCATAGACTCACACAGAGACCCATAGACTCACACAGAGACCCATAGACTCAAACAGAGATCCATAGACTCACACAGAGACCCATAGACTCGCACAGAGATCCATAGTTTGTTGTCCTTCCCCCGCACCTCCCGATTACCTACAGTTGGCTACGTACGGCGCGAAAGAAGTTCAGCGTACTCACAGGTCAAAGAACAGAACACACCCGTGGTGGTGGGGGGGGCGGGGTGGGGCGGGCGGGGGGCTTCGACCACAGCGGAGATGGAGCAATGGAATAATTTCACGTGGCGCGGCAGAATGGATTGTGCAACAGTGAGACACACGAAGGGTGGAGAGGACCTGGCTGTGTGTGCGTTATGTTGGAACTTCTTTCGCACCGTACGTAGCCGACCGTGCTGAATCGGAGGTGCAGCTGTTGATGATGATGCTGCTAAATCTGATGATGATGCCGCCGATTCAGATGATGATGATGCCCCGTGTGTCTCGTGTCCCATTGGGCCCTGCTTGGGTGTGACTGTAAATGATGAACACATTCTATTTTCCAGGCTTGGACTTCTACGACTATATCAGGATTGTCAACTTCATCAGAAACACCGTAAGTCCCCTTCCGCTCGCGTGATTTTGTAACGCACGTGTGCTGTGTGTACGCGGGCAAGCTCACACGTGTGACTGTGTGTGCGCTTCTGTTTGTGTCTTGTGTGGGGAGCGGTAGCGCAGCGGTTTAGCGCGCGCTGCGCTACGTAATAAGTCAACTGGTGATGACGACGATGTTGATGCTGCTGATCGTGACGACGACGAAGATAATGATGATGGTGGTGGTGATGACGACGGCGATGTTGATGCTTCTGCTGATCGCGAAGACTGCAACGACGGTGACGATGATTTTGATGCTGCTGCTCGTGACGACGACGACGATGACGATAATGGTGCTGCTACTGTTGTTGCTGCACGTGATGACAATGATCTTACCGATGATGATGATGGTGCTGATCTTGGTGATGTTGCTGATGATGATGATGATAATGCTGTCGCTGATCTTGCTGATGATGTTGCTGATGTTGCTGACGATGACGATGACGTTACCGTATTTCCAGGGCCCGTCACCCCGTGACCTCCTCTTCTCTCCCCGCGAGTCCCAACCCTGGGTGAGCGACCGGTTCCTGACGTCCACCCTGGAGGACGACCTTCTGCTCACCCACGGTGAGAAGAGGAGCCGCTCCACACTCAACCGCTCCACCGCCTCCCTCAAACGACTCCGCAGCAGCCCAGCGTGGCCGCTGCAAGGCAGGGGCGCCACGGTGGCTATGAGATGTTAACTACCTCGCCTGGTACACAGGAGGTCGTGGGTTCGATCCTGACCCTGACGCCTGCTGCTGCTGTATATTTGGGGTTTGCGTGTCTCTCTCATCATCATCATCATCACGGTGGCTAGGAGATGTTAACTACCTCGCCTGGTGTACAGGAGGTCGTGGGTTCGATCCCGACCCTGACGCCTGCTGCTGTATATTTGGGGTTTGCGTGTCTCTCTCATCATCATCATCATCACGGTGGCTAGGAGATGTTAACTACCTCGCCTGGTGTACAGGAGGTCGTGGGTTCGATCCCGAGCCTGACGCCTTCTGCTGCTGTATATTTGGAGTTTGCGGTGTCTCTCTCTCCCTCCGTGATCGCGTGGATTGTTTTCCTGGTCCTGTGGTTTTTCCCTCCACGTGTTGAATCAACGTCACCACGCGTTTTAGAATCAACGTCACCACGCGTTTTAGAATCAACGTCACCACGCGGTTTAGAATATTGGGCTGTACTCTTTGGTTCTTTCGGTAAAGTCACGTCGGTATGATCCGTTCATTTTTGTATTTTAATTTTATTTTCTACCTACGTAACTTCACCGAAAGAACCAAAGATCATGGATTACTGCGGTAACGAACACTTCATATCAGTATTTGACTGCTCTCAATTTCCACGTTTTGGTGATGGTGATGATGATATGCCACTTCGTGGAGCCATCATTTGTGATAGCCAGGTAGCTTCTGGTAAAATGAAATAAAAATAACGGACCTGCTGCGCCCTCCGGCCAACCCGGCGCCAGGCCTCTCAACGTGACACTTGACGCTCGCTCCCTTGACGGTCCCTGTGCCCCTGTGACTCTTAGAGTTTGCGTACCTTTGAAGCGCCTATAAATGAGCTCTGTCCGTCTCTTTCTCCGTCCTCCTCTTTCCGTATGTCCGCCGCGTGTCCAGCTGTCTGTCTGTCTGTCGGTCTCTCCGGCTGTCTCTTCCTCTGTCCGTCTGTTCATTTTTTTTTACATCTGTCTTTCTCCATCTGTCCCACCTCTCTGTCCACCTCCCTGTCCACCTGTCTCGCCATCTGTCCCACCTCTCTGTCCATCTGCATGTCCACCTGCCTTTCCTTCTGTCTCTCCATCTGTCCGTCTGTCCATCTGCATGTCCACCAGTCTGTCCACCTGTCTGTCCATCTATCTCCCTGTCTATCTGTCCACCAGTCTGTCCGTCTGTCCATCTATCTCTCTGTCCATCTGTCCACCTGTCCTTCTGCGGTGTGTTGAATCGGCCCATCATCCCTCTAGGGTCGATACAACGAGTACAACTTTGCCGTGGGGGTGGTGGGGGGGGGGGTGGGGGAGGCAGAATTCACCAATGGTCGTTTTATCGATAGACTCGCCTCCCTGCCATAGTAATGCGGAATTTCCACCACCGCCAACGCGCGTCCCGCTCATGGACGACGCGGCTCGTTTGGTGCGGGAGGGCTCGCGTTGGCTTGACGATGGACAGTCCTGACTCCCGCTGCTGCGTGTGATGTGTGTGATGCGTGTGATGTGTGTGATGCGTGTGCTGTGTGTGATGCGTGTGCTGTGTGTGATGCGTGTGATGCGTGTGATGTGTGTGATGCGTGTGATGCGTGCGATGCGTGCGATGCGTGCGATGCGTGTGATGTGTGTGATGCGTGTGCTGTGTGTGATGCGTGTGCTGTGTGTGATGTGTGTGATGCGTGTGCTGTGTGTGATGCGTGTGCTGTGTGTGATGCGTGCGATGCGTGTGATGTGTGTGATGCGTGCGATGCGTGCGATGCGTGCGATGCGTGCGATGCGTGTGATGTGTGTGATGCGTGTGCTGTGTGTGCTGCGTGTGATGCGTGTGATGCGTGTGATGCGTGTGATGCGTGTGCTGCGTGTGATGCGTGTGCTGCGTGTGCTGCGTGCGATGCGTGCGATGCGTGTGATGCGTGTGATGCGTGTGCTGTGTGTGCTGCGTGTGATGTGTGTGATGTGTGTGATGCGTGTGATGCGTGTGATGCGTGTGCTGCGTGTGATGTGTGTGCTACGTGTGATGCGTGTGATGTGTGTGATGCGTGTGATGTGTGTGATGTGTGTGATGCGTGTGCTGTGTGTGATGTGTGTGCTACGTGTGATGCGTGTGATGCGTGTGATGTGTGTGCTACGTGTGATGTGTGTGATGTGTGTGATGCGTGTGATGTGTGTGATGCGTGTGATGCGTGTGATGTGTGTGATGTGTGTGATGTGTGTGATGCGTGTGCTGTGTGTGATGCGTGTGATGCGTGTGATGCGTGTGCTGTGTGTGATGCGTGTGATGTGTGTGATGTGTGTGATGCGTGTGATGCGTGTGATGCGTGTGATGCGTGTGCTGCGTGTGATGTGTGTGATGTGTGTGCTGCGTGTGATGTGTGTGATGTGTGTGATGCGTGTGATGCGTGTGATGCGTGTGCTGCGTGTGATGTGTGTGATGCGTGTGATGCGTGTGCTGCGTGTGATGTGTGTGATGTGTGTGCTGCGTGTGATGTGTGTGATGCGTGTGATGTGTGTGCTGCGTGTGATGTGTGTGATGTGTGTGCTGCGTGTGATGTGTGTGATGTGTGTGCTGCGTGTGATGCGTGTGCTACGTGTGATGCGTGTGATGTGTGTGATGTGTGTGCTGTGTGTGATGCGTGTGATGCGTGTGCTGCGTGTGATGCGTGTGATGCGTGTGATGCGTGTGATGCGTGTGATGCGTGTGCTGCGTGTGATGTGTGTGATGTGTGTGATGCGTGTGATGTGTGTGATGTGTGTGATGCGTGTGCTGTGTGTGATGTGTGTGATGTGTGTGATGTGTGTGATGCGTGTGCTGTGTGTGATGCGTGTGATGCGTGTGATGCGTGTGCTGTGTGTGATGTGTGTGATGCGTGTGCTGTGTGTGATGTGTGTGATGCGTGTGATGCGTGTGATGTGTGTGATGCGTGTGATGTGTGTGATGTGTGTGATGCGTGTGATGCGTGTGATGTGTGTGATGCGTGTGATGTGTGTGATGTGTGTGATGCGTGTGCTGTGTGTGATGTGTGTGATGCGTGTGATGTGTGTGATGCGTGTGCTGTGTGTGATGCGTGTGATGTGTGTGATGCGTGTGATGCGTGTGATGTGTGTGATGCGCGTGATGCGTGTGATGTGTGTGATGCGTGTGATGCGTGTGATGCGTGTGATGCGTGTGATGCGTGTGATGTGTGTGATGCGTGTGATGCGTGTGATGCGTGTGATGCGTGTGATGCGTGTGATGTGTGTGATGCGTGTGATGTGTGTGCTGTGTGTGATGCGTGTGATGCGTGTGATGCGTGTGATGTGTGTGATGCGTGTGATGTGTGTGATGCGCGTGATGCGTGTGATGTGTGTGCTGCGTGTGATGCGTGTGATGCGTGTGCTGCGTGTGATGTGTGTGATGCGTGTGATGCGTGTGATGCGTGTGATGTGTGTGATGTGTGTGATGCGTGTGATGCGTGTGATGCGTGTGATGCGTGTGATGTGTGTGATGCGTGTGATGTGTGTGATGCGTGTGATGTGTGTGATGCGTGTGATGTGTGTGATGTGTGTGATGCGTGTGATGTGTGTGATGCGTGTGATGTGTGTGATGCGTGTGATGCGTGTGATGCGCGTGATGCGTGTGATGCGTGTGATGTGTGTGATGCGTGTGATGCGTGTGATGCGTGTGATGTGTGCGATGTGTGTGATGCGTCCTTTCCCTTCCTTGTTTCCCCGGCTTAGACGTGGACGGGGCCTTGGAGGAGGAGGAGGAGGATGAAGCGGAGGAGGGAATCCGCCACGCGGGGATCCGCGACGAGGGTCTCCGTGCCCGGTTGGCGGAGAGGCGGGCGGAGAGGGCCGAGCAGGAGCTTGCCCGCGCGATGGAGGACATGCACAAAATGCGGTGCGCCACGGAATCTTTCACCCGTCCGTCTGTCCCTCCGTCTGACTGCCAGTCCGACTGTCTGTCCGTCCGTCCGTCTGCCTGTGTGTCTGTCCGTCCTTGAGCTGGCTTGCCCTCCCCCGCCCACCACTGCGTGTAGCGAGGTGATGGGAGCGATCGTGAACGGCGCGGCCGCCCCGTCGCGCTCGGCCCCGCGCGGCAGCGACGAGGAGCGGCAGCAGGAGGACGAGGCCTACTTCGGCTCCTACGCCCACTTCTCCATCCACGAGGAGATGCTCAAGGTGCGCTCGCGAACTGCGCGGTCACCGGGGGGGGCAGGGGGGGGGGGGTGGGGGGGTGGAGCGGGGGGGGGGGGGCAGGTTTCACTCCAATTGGTGTGTTTGGTATCGTGTGTTTTGTGTGTGTGTTTTGTGTGTGTTGTTGTAAAGTTATGACTCGCCGTGCCTCTACTGGACCATCTGTAAGTGGGGGAAAAAAACGAAGAGCTTTACAGCTCATCAGATTCCTTCTAAAGTCTAAATAAATATTCTGGTTCGTGTAGAGAGAGGTGAACCGCATCGCGAGACCCTGTGTGGAAACAGAGACCCATAGACTCACATAGAGACCCTAGACTCACAAAGAGATCCATAGACTCACATAGAGACCCATAGACTCACACAGACATCCATAGACTCACACAGAGACCCATAGACTCACACAGATGCATTGACTCACACAGAGACTCATAGACTCGCACAGAAACCCATAGACTCACACAGAGACCCGTAGACTCACACAGAGACCCGTAGACTCACACAGAGGCTCGTAGACTCACATAGAGACCCATAGACTCACATAGAGACCCAGAGACTCACACAGAGATCCATAGACTCACACAGAGACCCGTACACTCACACAGAGACCCATAGACTCACACAGAGACACATAGACTCACACAGAGACTCATAGACTCACACAGAGATCCATAGACTCACACAGAGATCCATAGACTCACACAGAAACCCATAGACTCACACAGAGACCCATAGACTCACACAGAGACCCATAGACTCACACAGAGACCCACAGACTCACACAGAGACCCATAGACTCACACAGAGACCCATAGACTCACACAGAGACCCATAGGCCCACACAGAGACCCATCGACTCACACAGAGACCCATAGACTCACACAGAGACCCATAGACTCACACAGAGACCCGTACACTCACACAGAGACCCATAGACTCACACAGAGACCCATAGGCCCACACAGAGACCCATAGACTCACACAGAGACCCACAGACTCACACAGAGACCCATAGACTCACACAGAGACCCACAGACTCACACAGAGACCCATAGACTCACACAGAGACCCATAGGCCCACACAGAGACCCATAGACTCACACAGAGATCCATAGACTCACACAGAGACCCATAGACTCACACAGAGACACATAGACTCACACAGAGACTCATAGACTCACACAGAGACCCATAGACTCACACAGAGACTCATAGACTCACACAGAGATCCATAGACTCACACAGAGACTCATAGACTCACATAGAGACCCAGAGACTCACACAGAGATCCATAGACTCACACAGAGACCCATACACTCACACAGAGACCCATAGACTCACACAGAGACACATAGACTCACACAGAGACTCATAGACTCACACAGAGATCCATAGACTCACACAGAAACCCATAGACTCACACAGAGACCCATAGACTCACACAGAGACCCATAGACTCACACAGAGACCCACAGACTCACACAGAGACCCATAGACTCACACAGAGACACATAGACTCACACAGAGACTCATAGACTCACACAGAGATCCATAGACTCACACAGAAACCCATAGACTCACACAGAGACCCATAGACTCACACAGAGACCCATAGACTCACACAGAGACCCACAGACTCACACAGAGACCCATAGACTCACACAGAGACCCATAGACTCACACAGAGACCCATAGGCCCACACAGAGACCCATAGACTCACACAGAGACCCACAGACTCACACAGAGACCCATAGACTCACACAGAGACCCATAGACTCACACAGAGACCCATAGACTCACACAGAGACCCATAGGCCCACACAGAGACCCATAGACTCACACAGAGATCCATAGACTCACGCAGAGACCCATAGACTCACACAGAGACACATAGACTCACACAGAGACTCATAGACTCACACAGAGACCCATAGACTCACACAGAGACCCATAGACTCACACAGAGACTCATAGACTCACATAGAGACCCATAGACTCACACAGAGACCCATAGACTCACACAGAGACCCATAGACTCACACATAGACCCATAGACTCACACAGAGACCCATAGACTCACGCAGAGACCCATAGACTCACGCAGAGATCCATAGACTCACATAGAGACCCATAGACTCACATAGAGACCCGTAGACTCACATAGAGACCCATAGACTCACATAGAGACCCATATCCTCACACAGAAACCCATAGACTCACACAGAGATCCATAGACTCACACAGAGATCCATAGACTCACACAGAGACCCATAGACTCGCACAGAGACCCATAGACTCACACAGAGACCCATAGACTCACACAGAGATCCATAGACTCACACATAGACCCATAGACTCATACAGAGATCCATAGACTCACACAGAGGTCCATAGACTCACACAGAGACCCATAGACTCACACAGAGATCCATAGACTCACACAGAGATCCATAGACTCACACAGAGACCCATAGACTCACACATAGACCCATAGACTCACACAGAGACCCATAGACTCACACAGAGACACATAGACTCACACAGAGACCCATAGACTCACACAGAGACACATAGACTCACACAGAGACACATAGACTCACACAGAGATCCATAGACTCACACAGAAACCCATAGACTCACACAGAGACCCATAGACTCACACAGAGACCCATAGACTCACACAGAGACCCACAGACTCACACAGAGACCCATAGACTCACACAGAGACACATAGACTCACACAGAGACTCATAGACTCACACAGAGATCCATAGACTCACACAGAAACCCATAGACTCACACAGAGACCCATAGACTCACACAGAGACCCATAGACTCACACAGAGACCCACAGACTCACACAGAGACCCATAGACTCACACAGAGACCCATAGACTCACACAGAGACCCATAGGCCCACACAGAGACCCATAGACTCACACAGAGACCCACAGACTCACACAGAGACCCATAGACTCACACAGAGACCCATAGACTCACACAGAGACCCATAGACTCACACAGAGACCCATAGGCCCACACAGAGACCCATAGACTCACACAGAGATCCATAGACTCACGCAGAGACCCATAGACTCACACAGAGACACATAGACTCACACAGAGACTCATAGACTCACACAGAGACCCATAGACTCACACAGAGATCCATAGACTCACACAGAGACTCATAGACTCACATAGAGACCCATAGACTCACACAGAGACCCATAGACTCACACAGAGACCCATAGACTCACACATAGACCCATAGACTCACACAGAGACCCATAGACTTACGCAGAGACCCATAGACTCACGCAGAGATCCATAGACTCACATAGAGACCCATAGACTCACATAGAGACCCGTAGACTCACATAGAGACCCATAGACTCACATAGAGACCCATATCCTCACACAGAAACCCATAGACTCACACAGAGATCCATAGACTCACACTGAGATCCATAGACTCACACAGAGACCCATAGACTCGCACAGAGACCCATAGACTCACACAGAGACCCATAGACTCACACAGAGATCCATAGACTCACACATAGACCCATAGACTCATACAGAGATCCATAGACTCACACAGAGGTCCATAGACTCACACAGAGACCCATAGACTCACACAGAGATCCATAGACTCACACAGAGATCCATAGACTCACACAGAGACCCATAGACTCACACATAGACCCATAGACTCACACAGAGACCCATAGACTCACACAGAGACACATAGACTCACACAGAGACCCATAGACTCACACAGAGACACATAGACTCACACAGAGATCTGCCCTAGGCCTCAGCACGTGGAATGTTTCACCGCTGGCTGTGAGGGGCTCTCCCCACCAACGTTGCCAACCTCCCTGCGCTGTCACCAACAGGACACGGTGAGGACGGGGGCCTACCGAGACTTCATCTACGCCAACCCTCACCTCTTCAGAGACAAGGTCAGAGAGGGCCACGGCCGGCCGGACCCACCTCCTCACCCCTCGTCACCGTGTCTCACCGCGATCTCCTTTCTTGCTCGTCGTCGCTCGAGTCGGAGTGCCCTCACCTCGTCCTGCTCGCCCCCGGCTCTCTCTCGCTGCGAACTCCACCTCCTCCTCCACCACCTCCTCCACCTCCTCCACCTCCTTCATCTCCCACACCTCTTGCTCGTCGTCGCTCGAGTCGGAGTGCCCTCACCTCGTCCTGCTCTCCCCCGGCTCTCTCTCGTTGCGAACTCCACCTCCTCCACCACCTCCACCTCCACCACCTCCTCCTCCTTCACCTCCCATACCTCCCACACCTCTTCCTCATCGTCGCTCGAGTTAGAGTGCCCGCACCTCGTCTTAGTGGCCCCCGGCTCTCTGCTCTGTTTCTTGCCGTCCCTCATCGACGCCAACCCTCACCTCTTCAGAGACAAGGCCAGAGGGCAGGCCCGGCTGAGCCCGTGTCTCAGTCTCACGTCACCTCTTCCACCTCCTCCTGTTCCACCTCCTCCTGCTCCACCTCTTCCTGCTCCTCCTCCTGCTCCACCTCCTGCTCCACCTACTCCTCCTGCTCCACCTACTCCTCCTGCTCCACCTCCTCCTGTTCCACCTCCTCCTGCTCCACCTCCTCCTCCTGCTCCACCTCCTCCTCCTCCTGCTCCTCCTGCTCCACCTCCTCCTCCTGCTCCACCTACTCCTCCTGCTCCTCCTCCTCCTCCTGCTCCACCTCCTGCTCCACCTACTCCTGTTCTACCTCCTCCACCTCTTCCTCATCGTCGCTCGAGTGAGAGTGCCCTCACCTCGTCCTACTCCCCCCCCCGGCACTCGGCGTGTCGCTGTTTCTCGCCGTCACCTCCTCCGGCTCCTCCTCATCTGGCACGGCCGAGCCTGCGCCTCCCCCACGGTGTCTCACGTGAGCCTCGCCGTGACCTCCTGTTGTCGCTTACAACTATTTAAACTAAACTGTGAGCTATTTTTTTTGTTTTATTTCACCAGGTGTAAGGCCCCCCTCCCCCCCCCCCCCCCCCCACTGAGCTGCTGCGTTAGCGCTCTTTTTTCAGAAGCGACCCCGGCCATCATGAATGATAGCCTCAACGACGAAGTGGCTTATCGTCATCGTCGTCGTCATCGTCGTCGTTGCTGTCGTCGCCTTGCGGATATTTAGCGTGGCAGCCAAATGCTCCAAACGCCACGTCGATTTCTAAATGTGCAGGAGGGCCCGGAGAAAAATCCCTCAACCCCCTTCGCCTGGTCTCACCGTGACCTCCTCCTCCTCCTCCTCCTCCTCCACCTCCTCCTCCTCCCCACCTCGTCTCGCCCCACCCCCGCAGGTGGTGCTGGACGTGGGCTGCGGCACGGGGATCCTGTCGCTGTTTGCGGCGCGGAGTGGGGCGCGGAGAGTCTTTGCCGTGGAGCAGTCGGACATCGCCTACCAGGCCATGGACATCGTGAGGTCAGAGGTCGCCGGAGGTGCTCCCTCCCCTTCCCTCCCTCCCTCCCTCCCTCCCTCCCTCCCTCCCCTCCCTCCCTCCCTCCCTCCCTCCCTCCCTCCCCTCCCTCCCTCCCTCCCTCCCCTCCCTCCCTCCCTCCCTCCCTCCCTCCCTCCCTCCCCTCCCTCCCTCCCTCCCTCCCTCCCCTCCCCTCCCTCCCTCCCTCCCTCCCTCTCTCCATCCATCGGTTTGTCGCTCCGTCCGTCCCTCCGTCTGTCCGCGGCGTTCCCGTCGCCGACGTTGCGATCGTAGTCAAGGTCCTAGTTCGCCGTCGTCATCGGTGGCGCTGGCATTGTCGTCGTTGCGGCCGTCATTGTGATCGCGATTGTCGTCACGATCGTCAGAGCGATCGTCGCCACCGCGGTGACCGTCATGATTATCGTCGCATCACGATCGTCGTCGTCGTCGTCGTCGTGATCGTCGTCATCTTCACGGCGATCATGGTCGCGATTGCCGTCGCGATCGCTCGTTATCGCAGTCATGATTGTGATCATCATCATCATCATCACGATTGGCACGGTTGGCTACGCACGGTGCGAAAGAGGTTCAACATACATCATCGCGAGCATCGTCGCCGCCGTAATAATCATTCGCATCTCCACGGGCACCAAGATCGCGACCTTCGCCACGATCATCATCACGAACATCGTCGCCGTTATCATCGTCGCGATCGTCATCAGCATCGCGGTCACCATCCTCGTCATCGTCAGCACCGTCGCCGTCGTCATCACAATCGGCGTCATCGCCGTCGTCATCACAATCGCCGAGGGAAGCGTGGCCATGAGCGTCTTTGTCATCGGGAGCGGCGTTACCACCGGCAGAATCATGATTTACATCGTCGTCGTCGTCATCGTGAGCAGTAATAGCGGGAACCCCTCGGCGCATGGCGTACAGTTCGGCCTCCTGCGAGCTGCATTTTAATTAAGTGCAGAAATTACCTCGTTAACCGTTAACGAGGAGGTGGGGCTTGATAGCATCGGATCGTTAGGCTGAGTGCACGTGTCCGTGCGCCCGCCCGCCCGCCCGCCCGCCCGCCCGCGCGTCTGCGCGTGGGGGAGCGGTGGCGGTGCGGTTAGCACGCCGCGCTCGCCGACCCGGCAACCCAGGTCAAGAAAAAAAAATAAAAATGTTTCTCTCTTTCTCTCTCCACGGTTAACGTTCGGTGACGAGTGACAAAAAAAAGTGGTCCTGGGTCTCCCACCCCCTAGGTCGACCCGGCCTCAAATGAGTACCCGGCGCCACTGGGGAGACAAAGGTTCGTGGCGCTGGCCACCCCGCCCGCAACGTGCGCCGGGCCGGCCATGCGTGGGCGCCGCTCGCCAACGGCGCTTGCCCCAGCGGTCCGTCGAGGCTATGCGGGGAACCTTTGCCTTTTGCCCTTTCGGGCGGTGACGCTGCGTGTCGCGGAGATCCGTGGTTCTCCTCCCAGTGATTAACTCCAAAAGCAGCCATCGGCTCACTCCCAGTAACCAATTCGTTTCACACACGCAGGCGAAGGCGGTCCCCCGCCACCGTGTTAGCCTCTAGCGGCCCGCCGGGGCAAGTGCTGTTCGCGAGCAGCACCTAGGAAGGGCGGGGACGGCGCACGAGAGGGCGGTGTCGGGGTGGCCGGCACCACAACCCCAGGGCTGATGATAGCACACGGCACGGGCTACAATACTCGTTTAACGCCGCGTCAACCTCGGGGGACGCCCACAACCGGCTCAAATAATATGAGCGGTCGCCGCACAGTGCCCCTCACTGCTGCGCCACCGCTCCCAATGACGCGCGCCCGCCAGTAGCAATCTCCATCGCGTCCGGGGCGCGTTGCCCCCCCCCGCCACCCCCCACCCCACCCCCCCCCCCCACCCCTAGGTCAACTCGGCCTGAAGACCACACAACTACTATCCCCCCCCCCCCTCACCCACACCTGTCAAATTAAAGACAAAGGCGGCTGGGCCGCAAACACAGTGGCCTCGCACTCACTCACTCACCCAACCACTCACCCACCCACCCAACCACACACCCACACATCCACTCACCCACCCAACCACTCACCCACCCACCCAACCACTCACCCACCCAACCACTCAACACACCCGTACATCCATTCACCCACCCACCAACCCAACCACTCGCCCACCCTCTCACCCACCCAACCACCCACCCACCCAACCACTTAACACACCCACACATCCACTCACCCACCCACCAACCCAACCACTCACCCACCCACTCACCCACTCACCCAACCACCCACCCACCCAACCATTCAACACACCCACACATCCACTCACTCATCCACCCACCCAACCACTCCCCCACACATCCACTCACCCACCCACCCACCCAACCACTCAACACACCCAACCACTCACCCACACATCCACCCACCCACCCAACCACACACCCACACATCCACTCACCCACCCACCAACCCAACCACTCACCCACCCACCCAACCACTCACCCACCCAATCACTCACCCACCCACCCAACCACTCACCCACCCACCCAACCACTCACCCACCCAACCACACACCCACACATCCACTCACTCATCCACCCACCAACCACACACCCACCCAACCACTCACCCACCCAACCACTCACCCACACATCCACCCAACCACACACCCACCCAACCACACACCCACACATCCACTCACCCACCCACCAACCCAACCACTCACCCACCCACCCAACCACACACCCACCCAATCACTCACCCACCCACCCAACCACTCACCCACCCAACCACCCACCCAACCACTCAACACACCCACACATCCACTCACTCATCCACCCACACAACCACTCCCCCACACATCCACTCACCCACCCACCCAACCACTCAACACACCCACACATCCACAAAACAAAGATAAAGAGCCCCCGTGTAGCCTGTAACAGGCTGTTGGGGCAAGTGCTGTTAGCGAACAGCACCTATGAAGGCCGGCACTGTGGCACACGTGGGGGTGGGTGGCCAGCACCACGCCCGGCCGCCTTTGTCTCCCCAGTGGCGATGTTTACACTCTAGCAGGTACTCATTTGAGGCTGAGTCGAGCTAGGGGAGGCCCAGGACCGATTAGGATAAACGTTACTCGTGTTGTCCATGAGCGGGAATCGAACTCGGGTGGCCAGGTCTGTGGGTGGTGCAGTGCGCTAACTGCTACGCCACCGCTCCCCAAGACCAAGACCCCCCGTGTGGCCTTAACAGACTGTAGGGGCAAGTGCTGTTAGCGAGCACCTATGAAGGCCGGAACGGTACACGAGGGGGGTAGGTGGCCAGCACCACGCCCGACCGCCTTTGTCTCCCCAGTGGCGATGTTTACTACACACCACACCGGGTACTCATTTGAGGCTGAGTCGACCTAGGGGAGACCCAGGATCGGTTCAAATAAGTGGCGCTGGCGCTGGCCGTGAGCGGGAATGGAACCCGGGTCGCCGGGTTCATAGCGCAGCGCGCTAACCGCTGCACCGCCGCTCCCCACACACCCACCCACCCCCACCCACTCACCCACCCACACATCCATCTATCAAGTGGCTGTGGCAGCCTAAATAGGCGCTCGCTAACTGCTCATCAAATTTGGAGCAGAAATTTGTAGTGGGAGGAGCGGCTGCGGGCTCCTGATAAGAGACCGATCGTGAGGTCGATAGCGTTCCTCGTGCCGCGTTCGGGGGGGGGGAGAGAGCGAGGGGGAGGGAGAGAGGGGGAGGGAGAGAGGGGGAGTGAGCGTGTGAGAGAGGGCGGGGGGAGAGAGCGTGTGAGAGAGGGGGGGGGGAGTGAGAGAGGGGACAAGAGCGAGTGAGAGAGGGGGGGGGGGAGCGTGAGAGAGGGGGGGGCGTGAGAGAGAGTGAGAGGGAGGGAGAGAGAGTGTATGAGAGGGAGAAGGAGAGTGAGAGAGAGGGGGAGAGTGAGAGAGAGGGGGAGAGTGAGAGGGAGAGACAGCGTATGAGAGGGAGAGTGAGAGAGAGGGGGAGAGTGAGAGAGAGGGGCAGAGTGAGAGGGAGAGTGAGAGAGAGTGCGAGAGTGAGAGAGTGTGAGAGAGAGGGAGAGAGAGGGGGAGAGGGAGAGTGAGAGAGAGTGCGAGAGAGGGAGAGAGCGTGAGAGTGTGTGAGAGAGAGAGAGCGTGAGAGAGAGTGTGAGAGAGAGTGAGAGAGTGTGAGAGTGAGAGAGAGAGAGCGCGAGAGGGAGAGTGAGAGAGAGGGAGAGATTGTGAGAGTGAGGGAGAGTGAGAGTGAGGGAGAGAGAGTTTGGAGGGAGAATTTGGAGGGAGGGAGCGAGAGAGAGTTAGAGCGAGAGAGAGTTAGAGAGAGTTAGAGAGAGCGAGGGAGCGAGGGAGAGTTTGGAGGGAGAGGGCGAGGGAGAGTTTGGAGGGAGGGAGCGAGAGAGAGTTAGAGAGAGCGAGAGAGAGTTAGAGAGAGCGAGAGTGAGTTAGAGAGAGGGAGAGAGAGTTATAGAGAGAGAGTTAGAGAGAGAGAGCGAGAGAGAGTTAGAGAGAGCGAGAGAGAGTTAGCGAGAGAGAGTTAGAGAGAGCGAGAGAGAGTTAGAGAGAGCGAGAGAGAGTTAGAGAGAGCGAGAGAGAGAGCGAGAGAGAGTGAGCGAGAGAGAGTTAGAGAGAGCGAGGGAGCGAGAAAACGAGTTAAGAAGAGGAGAGAGTCGGAGAGAGTTGGAGAGAGCGAGGAATCGTTTTATTTAAAATTTTTCCACGTGCTCTCTGTGACCCCGTTATTTATTTCTTTGTCCTATTACAAGAGGTTTTTTTTTTGTGTGTGTGTGTCTCTCGTTTTAAAGCCGAGCCCGGGGGTTATGGGGTGGATAGGGGGGAAGGGTGTGTGTGTGTGTGTGAAGGTGGGCGGATGAAGGGTGGGGGGTGTGGGGGCGAGGAGGGTTGGGGGGGGGGGCCAGGCCATTTGTCACCGAGACACTGCGAGCCGTGTCTCGTATCGGCGACGACAACGCGTTAACGCCGCTCGCACGCACGGACGCGCGGACGCGCGGAGGGACGGACGCGCGGACACACACACGCACGCACGCACACACGCACACACACACACACGCACACACACACACACGCACACACGCACACACGCACACACGCACGCACGCACACACAACAACAACAACAACCGCCATTCGCCACTAAGTGGCGGTGACGTCACCACGACGCTTGTGCCAGGCTATGTGCACCCTGAGGCCACGTGAAGTGTCGAACGCCCGCTGGCAGGAGGTCACGGGGCAGACCCAGGTGCCACGGGTCGACTGACTGAGATGACTGGCTGATGCACCACCTGTGCCCCCTACTGTGCCAACCTGCTGTGCTTTAGCCACCCGACGCTCCGCTCGCTGTTGTGAGCGTCGCTCCTCCGCCCTCCGTTGTTGTTGGAGGGCGACTGCCTCCAACTGCCCAGTAGCATCCTTCACGAGCCTCCTCCACAGAGGCCGATCTTGACACCGCTGGTACCAGTCATCGGCAAGTCCACTCAGCTCCACGTCCTCCTGTACCACATCACTCCATCTCTTCTCTAGCCCGTGCCGCGCCCGCTTAGCCCCCTCAATCCGGCCAAACAAAAGCTGTTTCGGCATGCGGTGGCTGGGCATGCGGGCTACATGACCCAGCCATCGCAGCCTTGCCTGCCGGAGGAGCTCACCGATGGGACCCTGCCCAGATCTTTCAAGGATTTGTGAGCTCCTCACACAATCCAGTCTGGTTAAACCCAGGATGGATCGTAGGCAGGTCAGCCTAAATGTTTCTAACCGGCGAAGATGTTCCATTAGGGGGGTCCACGTTTCGCAAGCGTAGAGAAGGGAGGGAATGACCGTGGCCGAGAAGACCTGAAGCTTAGTGCGGAGCGACAGACCAGGTAGCTTCCACACAGCGTTACGCAACCGATGAAAAGATATTGCCGCTCGACTGATTCGGAGTGAGACCTCTGCTGTTAAACGCACACACACACGCACGCACGCGCGGACGGACGCGCGGACACGCATGCACGTGTAGACGCAGACGCAACGGACGCATGCGGCTCCACTCGTCGGCGAGCCTGCCTTTCTACGCAACAAAGACAAAAGATCCCCCGTGTAGCCTGTGACAGACTGTAGGGGCAAGTGCTGGTTAGCGAGCAGCGCCTGTGAAGGCCGGAACGGCACACGGAGGGGGGTGGGTGGCCGGCACCACGCCCCGACCGCCTTTGTCTCCCCCCAGTGACGGTGTTTTACTACACACCGTACTAGGTGCACATTTGAGGCTGAGTCGACCTAGGAGAGGCCCAGGACCGATTTGGATAATCGTCCCTGCTGGTGTTGGCCGTGAGCGGGAATCGAAACCGGGTCGCCGGGTTCATAGCGCAGCGTAGCGCTAACCGCTGCACCACCGCTCCCCACACTATGTACACTAAGATAAAAGACAAAGATCCCCCGTGTAGCCTTAACAGACTGTAGGGGCAAGTGCTGTTAGCGAGCGCCTATGAAGGCCGGAACGGTACACGAGGGGGTGGGTGGCCGGCACCACGCCCCGACCGCCTTTGTCTCCCCAGTGGCGATGTTTACACACCGCACCAGGTACTCATTTAAGGTTGAGTCGACCTAGGGGGAGGCCCAGAACCGGTTCATATAATCGTCCCTGCTGGTGTTGGCCGTGAGCGGGAATCGAACCCGGGTCGCCGGGTTCGTAGCGCAGCGCGCTAACCGCTACACTATGTACACACGCACAGTCATACACACACACACACAGTCTCTCATGAGCGTACACGTAGACACTTTCGCGATCACACACTTGCACGATCACACAATAGCCGTTAGCGAGCACCTGTGAAGGCCAGCACGGTGCACGAGGGAGTTGGGTGCCCAACGCCACGAGCGACCGACCGCATCCTTTGCACGAAATAGTGACTTTACCGAAAGAACCAAGAATATGAATCACTGCAGTCCAACGAAAGCTTTAAATCACAATTTAGTGCTCTAGAGGTAAAGACGCGATTGATTGCTTGACCGATGTTATTACGCACACACCACACCAGGTACTCGTTTTGTGGCTGAGTCGACCTAGGGGGAGGCCCACGGTGGGTTCGGATGCAACCCCGTCACTGATGATGGCCGTGAGCCGGAATCCACAGCGGTCTCCCCACGTTCAGAGCGCAGTGCGTGAACCACTACGCTTACACATTGGGTAGTTTATAATGTGCAAAGGTGTGCGCTGTGTGTTGGTGTGCGCTGTGTTTGCGAGCCCAGGTTGTGTCCTGCGTGTGTACTGTGTGTGTACTGTGTGCGTGGACCGTGTGTACTGTGTGTTTATTGTGTGTGTACTGTGTGTGTATTGTGTGTGTGTGTGTGTACTGTGTGTGTATTGTGTGTGTACTGTGTGTTTACTGTATGTGTGTACTGTGTGTGTATATACTGTGTGTATACTGTGTGTGTGTACTGTGTTTATTGTGTGTGTACTGTGTGCGTATTGTGTGTGTGTGTACTGTGTGTGTATTGTGTGTGTACTGTGTGTTTATTGTGTGTGGGTGTATTGTGTATGTGTACTGTGTGTATACTGTGTGTGTGTGTACTGTGTGTGTACTGTGTGTATACTGTGTTTATTTGTGTGTACTGTGTGTGTGTACTGTGTGTTTATTGTGTGTGTGTACTGTGTGTATTGTGTGTGTGTTCTGTGTGTGTGTATATACTGTGTGTACTATGTGTGTATACTGTGTGTATTGTGTGTTTACTGTATGTGTGTACTGTGTGTGTATTGTGTGTGTACTGTGTGTTTATTGTGTGTGTGTACTGTGTGTATACTGTGTGTGTGTGTACTGTGAGTATACTGTGTGTTTATTTGTGTGTACTGTGTTTATTGTGTGTATACTGTGTGTTTATTGTGTGTGTGTACTGTGTGTGTATACTGTGTGTACTGTGTGTGTACTGTGTGTGTGTGTACTGTGTGTTTATTGTGTGTATGCTGTGTGTGTACTGTGTGTGTACTGTGTGTTTATTGTGTGTGTGTACTGTATGTGTGTATACTGTGTGTACTGTGTATACTGTGTGTTTACTGTATGTGTGTACTGTGTGTGTATTGTGTGTGTATTGTGTGTGTACTGTGTGTGTGTATACTGTGTGTACTGTGTATGTATACTGTGTGTACTGTGTGTTTACTGTATGTGTGTTCTGTATGTGTGTACTGTATGTGTGTACTGTATGTGTGTACTGTGTGTATACTGTGTGTATACTGTGTGTGTACTGTGTGTGTACTGTGTGTGAGCACAGACAGAATGGGCTGCAGGACGTCGTGACGGTTCTGCACGGGCGAGTGGAGGACATCTCTCTCCCCGTGAAGGAGGTGGATCTCATCGTGTCTGAGTGGATGGTGAGGAAGGACGGGCGTGCACACACTTACACGTGCACACACAACAACAACAACAACCGCCATTCGCCACTAAGTGGCGGTGACGTCACCACGACGCTTGTGCCAGGCTATGTGCACCTTGAGGCCACGTGAAGTGTTGAACACCCGCTGGCAGGAGGTCACGGGGCAGACCCAGGTGCCACGGGTCGACTGACTGAGATGACTGGCTGATGCACCACCTGTGCCCCCTACTGTGCCAACCTGCTGTGCTTTAGCCACCCGGCGCTCCGCTCGTTCTGAGCGTCGCTCCTCCGCCCTCCGTTGTTGTTGGAGGGCGACTGCCTCCAACTGCCCAGTAGCATCCTTCACGAGCCTCCTCCACAGAGGCCGATCTTGACACCACTGGTACCAGTCATCGGCAAGTCCACACACACACACACTCACACGTACACCCGTATGCACGCTCGCGTATACACACACGTACAGTGAGGGAAAAAAGTATTTGATCCCCTGCTGATTGTGTACGTTTTCCCACTGACAAAGAAATGATCAGTCTATAATTTTAATGGTAGGTTTATTTGAACAGTGACAGACAGAATAACAACAACAAAAAATCCAGAAAAACGCATGTCAAAAATGTTATGAGTTGATTTGTATTTTAATGAGGGAAATAAGTATTTGACCCCTCTGCAAAACATGACTTAGTACTTGGTGGCAAAACCCTTTTTGGCAATCACAGAGGTCAGACGTTTCTTGTAGTTGGCCACCAGGTTTGCAGACATCTCAGGAGGGATTTCGTCCCATTCCTCTTTGCAGATCTTCTCCAAGTCATTAAGTTTTCGAGGCTGACGTTTGGCAACTCGAACCTTCAGCTCCCTGCAGATTTTCTATGGGATTAAGGTCTGGAGACTGGCTAGGCCACTCCAGGGCCTTAATGTGCTTCTTCTTGAGCCACTCCTTTGTTGCCTTGGCCGTGTGTTTTGGGTCATTGTCATGCTGGAATACCCATCCACGACCCATTTTCAATGCCCTGGTTGAGGGAAGGAGGTTCTCACCCAAGATTTGACGGTACATGGCCCCGTCCATCGTCCCTTTGATGCGGTGAAGTTGTCCTGTCCCCTTAGCAGAAAAACACCCCCAAGCATAATGTTTCCACCTCCATGTTTGACGGTGTATATATATACACACACACACACTCACACGTACACACACAAAGATCCCCCATATAGCCTTAACAGACTGTTGGGGCAAGTGCTGTTAGCGAGCACCTATGAAGGCCGGCACGGTACACGAGGGGGTGGGTGGCCAGCACCACCCCCGACCGCCTTTGTCTCCCCAGTGGCGATGTTAACACACCGCACCAGGTGCTCATTTGAAGCCGAGCCGACCTAGGGGAGGCCCGGGACCGGTTCAGATAATCGTCACCGGTGTTGGCCGTGAGCGGGAATCGAACCCGGATCGCCGGGTTCATAGCGCTAACCGCTGCACCACCGCTCCCCCCTATACAGACACACACACATACACACAGACGTGTAGACACACACGGTCACGTCCACCAAACCGCTATGCGGCCGCGCGAGGTTTTCGTCGATATTCTCCCTCCGCCACCGCCGCAGCAGCAGCAGCAGCAGCGGACACAGGCGGAGAACTCGCGGGCATCTACACGGGACCGGCCGCCCCCCCCACCCCCCCTTGGCACCAAACCAAATTGGGGCAGCCGCGAGCCTCTCCTCGCCGTGCCCGCCTGTCCTGGCAAGGATGGGGGGGCGGGGGGGGGGAAATACGATTGGCGAGAATAAACCCCCCCCCCCCCCCCCGTCATCCCCCACCCTCCTCGCCAGGACTTTACCGGGACGAGCGCCGAGGGGGCAGAAATGTTCCAGCCGCCCCGTTCGTCGTTGTTACAATCGGCGCGTTCTCCACCCCCCCCCCCCCCCCACTTGCCCCCCTCGGGGGGGACGGGGGGGGGGTACTGCCCAGGGCATCCTCTAAATGCTGAGGAAGCCTGGTCCTGTAGGCCAGGCCGTTGTCACGTTGATTCGTACTGGAGGAATCCGATGAGCTGTAAAGCTCTTTTTTTTAAATACGATAACGCAGCCTGCACGCAGCAGCCACTCGCACGTCTCTGGGTTTGTGTGTGAGTCTGTGGGTCTCTGCATGAGTCTGTGGGTCTCTATGTGAGTGTGGGTCTGTGTGTGAGTCTGTGGGTCTCTGCGTGAGTCTGTGGGTCTCTACATGAGTCTCTGAGTCTGTGCGTAAGTCTGTGGGTCTCTGCGTGAGTCTGTGGGTCTCTGTGTGAGTCTGTGGATCTCTGTGTGAGTCTGTGGGTCTCTGCGTGAGTCTGTGGGTCTCTGTGTGAATCTGTGGGTCTCTGTGTTAGTCTGTGGGTCTCTGTGTGAGTCTGTGAGTCTCTGCGTGAGTCTATGGGTCTCTGTGTTAGTCTGTGGGTCTCTGTATGAGTCTGTGAGTCTCTGCGTGAGTCTGTGGGTCTCTGTATGAGTCTGTGGGTCTAGTGGGTCTGTGTGTGAGTCTGTGGGTCTCTGCGTGAGTCTGTGGGTCTCTGTCTTGAGTCTGTGGGTCTCCGTGAGTCGTGACAGCCTTCATAGGTGCTACTGACGAACAGCACCTGCCCCAACAGTCTGATGAGACTATCCGGGGAGTCCTTTCTCTGTCTGTGTGTGCAGCTGGGGGAGCGGTGGTGTCGCGGTTAGCGCTATGCCGCGCTACGAACCCGGCGACCCGAGTTCGATTCCCCCTCATGGCCAACACCGGTGACGATTATCTGAACGGGTCCTGGGCCTCCCCTAGGTCGACTCAGCCTCAAATGAGTACCTGATGCGGTGTGTAAACATCGCCACCGGGGAGACAAAGGCGGCCGGGCGTGGTGCTGGCCGACCCACCCCCTCGTGTGGCCGTGCCGGCCTTCATAGGTGCTCGCTAACAGCACTTGCCCCTACAGTCTGTTCACGCTGTACGGGGGATCTTTGTCTTTGTGTGTGTGGCAGGGGTACTTCCTGCTCTTTGAGTCCATGTTGGACTCGGTGTTGGTGGCGCGCGACCGCTGGCTGTCGCCTCGAGGAGCAGGTGAGACGTCGGGGGGGTGGACGCTCGTGCATGTGTACCTGTGTGTGTGTGTACTGTGTGTGTGTTTGTACTGTGTGTGTGTATATATACTGTGTGTATACTGTGTGTGTGTGTATACTGTGTGTGTGTACTGTGTGTGTACTATGTGTACTGTGTGTGTGTACTGTGTGTGTACTGTGTGTGTGTACTGTGTGTGTGTACTGTGTGTGTGTGTGTACTGTGTGTGTGTACTGTGTACTGTGTGTGTACTGTGTGTGTGTATCTCTGTGTGTGACATCATAACAACAATCTGGACCACTGGACGGGTTCCGCAGGATTGGAAGGATGCCGTGGTGGTCCCCCTTTTTAAGAAGGGGGACCGCACAGACTGTAACAACTACAGGGGCATCTCACTCCTCAGTGTGCCGGGAAAGGTCCTGGCAAGGATTATTCAGCATCGCCTTGCCAGGCACACTGAGGAGAGGCTTGCGGAGCCCCAATGCGGTTTCAGGAAAGGACGTTCCTGCACAGATGCCATATTTTCTGTCCGTCTGCTACAGCAGAGGTGTAGGGAATTCCAGCAAGACCTACATCTCTGCTTTATTGACCTGGTCAAGGCCTATGATACCATCAGTAGGCCTGGGCTCTGGGTCGTTCTTCGTGCTTTTGGAGTACCTGACCCTCTGCTCACGATCATTAAGGACCTTCATGATGATGAGCGGGCCCGGGTAAAACTACGTGGCCGGGAGTCAGAGCCATTCCCTGTACACCTTGGGGTGCGACAGGGATGTCCTCTGGCTCCCACATTTTTTAACATCTATTTTGACCACGTAGTTCGTGAAGCCTTCAATAGCTGTACCGGGGGAATCTCCATATGGTACATATATAATGGGAGGCTGATCGATGCCCGGGTGCGGTCAAGGGATGGCTCCCTATTGCTCAACCACGTTATGTATGCTGATGATTTGGTAAGAGCTGCTCAGTCGGAGGAGGAGTTGGAGACGCTGCTGCTGAGACTGGAGCGTGCCACTAAGAGGTGGGGCCTTAACCATCAGCCCCACCAAAACTAAGCACCTGCCTGGGTATTTTGTACCATCGGACTCTCCACCCCCACAACTCCGATCGGTGATGGGGCAGTTGTGGAGAGAGTGGAGAGTTTCCCATACCTGGGCAGTGTGCTTATGACTGGCTCCAGTTTAACAGCAGAGGTCTCACTCCGAATCAGTCGAGCGGCAATATCTTTTCATCGGTTGCGTAACGCTGTGTGGAAGCTACCTGGTCTGTCGCTCCGCACTAAGCTTCAGGTCTTCTCGGCCACGGTCATTCCCTCCCTTCTCTACGCTTGCGAAACGTGGACCCCCCTAATGGAACATCTTCGCCGGTTAGAAACATTTAGGCTGGCCTGCCTACGATCCATCCTGGGTTTAACCAGACTGGATTGTGTGAGGAGCTCACAAATCCTTGAAAGATCTGGGCAAGGTCCCATCGGTGAGCTCCTCCGGCGGGCAAGGCTGCGATGGCTGGGTCATGTAGCCCGCATGCCCAGCCACCGCATGCCGAAACAGCTTTTGTTCGGCCGGATTGCGGGGGCAAAGCGGGCGCGGCACGGGCTAGAGAAGAGATGGAGTGATGTGGTACTGGAGGACGTGGAGCTGAGTGGACTTGCCGATGACTGGTACCAGCGGTGTCAAGATCAGCCTCTGTGGAGGAGGCTCGTGAAGGATGCTACTGGGCAGTTGGAGGCAGTCGCCCTCCAACAACAACGGAGGGCGGAGGAGCGACGCTCAGAACAACGAGCGGAGCGCTGGGTGGCTAAAGCACAGCAGGTTGGCACAGTAGGGGGCACAGGTGGTGCATCAGCCAGTCATCTCTGTCAGTCGACCCGTGGCACCTGGGTCTGCCCCGTGACCTCCTGCCAGCGGGCGTTCGACACTTCACATGGCCTCAGGGTGCACATAGCCTGGCACAAGCGCCATGGTGACGTCACCGCCACTTAGTGGCGAATGGCGGTTGTTGTTGTGTGTGTGTCTCAGTGTGTGTGTATGTCTCAGTGTGTGTATCTCAGTGTGTGTGTGTGTGCGTGTATCTCAGTGTGTGCGTGTGTGTATGTCTCTGTATATCTCAGTGTGTGTGTGTATGTCTCAGTGTGTGTATCTCAGTGTGTGTGTGTATGTCTCAGTGTGTGTATCTCAGTGTGTGTGTGTGTGTGTATGTCTCAGTGTGTGTGTGCGTATGTCTCAGTGTGTGTATCTCAGTGTGTGTGTGTGTGTTTATGTCTCAGTGTGTGTATCTCAGTGTGTGTGTGTATCTCAGTGTGTGCGTGTGTGTATGTCTCTGTGTGTATCTCAGTGTGTGTGTATCTCAGTGTGTGTGTGTGTATGTCTCTGTGTGTATCTCAGTGTGTGTATCTCAGTGTGTGTGTATGTCTCTGTGTGTATCTCAGTGTGTGTATGTCTCTGTGTGTAACTCAGTGTGTGTATGTCTCTGTGTGTATCTCAGTGTGTGTGTATCTGAGTGTGTGTGTGTATCTCAGTGTGTATCTCAGTGTGTGTGTATGTCTCTGTGTGTATCTCAGTGTGTGTGTATCTCAGTGTGTGTGTGTATCTCAGTGTGTGTGTATCTCAGTGTGTGTATGTCTCTGTGTGTATCTCAGTGTGTGTGTATGTCTCTGTGTGTATCTCAGTGTGTGTGTATCTCAGTGTGTGTGTATGTCTCTGTGTGTATCTCAGTGTGTGTGTATGTCTCTGTGTGTATCTCACTGTGTGTGTATGTCTCTGTGTGTATCTCAGTGTGTGTGTATGTCTCTGTGTGTATGTCTCTGTGTGTATCTCAGTGTGTGTATGTCTCTGTGTGTATCTCAGTGTGTGTGTATGTCTCTGTGTGTATCTCAGTGTGTGTATGTCTCTGTGTGTATCTCAGTGTGTGTGTATCTGTGTGTGTATCTCAGTGTGTGTGTATGTCTCTGTGTGTATCTCAGTGTGTGTGTGTATCTCAGTGTGTGTGTATCTCAGTGTGTGTGTATCTCAGTGTGTGTGTGTATGTCTCTGTGTGTATCTCAGTGTGTGTGTATGTCTCTGTGTGTATGTCTCTGTGTGTATCTCTCTGTGTGTATCTCAGTGTGTGTGTATGTCTCTGTGTGTATCTCAGTGTGTGTGTATCTCAGTGTGTGTGTGTATGTCTCTGTGTGTATCTCAGTGTGTGTGTATCTCAGTGTGTGTGTATGTCTCTGTGTGTATCTCAGTGTGTGTGTATGTCTCTGTGTGTATCTCACTGTGTGTGTATGTCTCTGTGTGTATCTCAGTGTGTGTGTATGTCTCTGTGTGTATGTCTCTGTGTGTATCTCAGTGTGTGTATGTCTCTGTGTGTATCTCAGTGTGTGTGTATGTCTCTGTGTGTATCTCAGTGTGTGTATGTCTCTGTGTGTATCTCAGTGTGTGTGTATCTGTGTGTGTATCTCAGTGTGTGTGTATGTCTCTGTGTGTATCTAAGTGTGTGTGTGTATCTCAGTGTGTGTGTATCTCAGTGTGTGTGTATCTCAGTGTGTGTGTGTATGTCTCTGTGTGTATCTCAGTGTGTGTGTATGTCTCTGTGTGTATGTCTCTGTGTGTATCTCTCTGTGTGTATCTCAGTGTGTGTGTATGTCTCTGTGTGTATCTCAGTGTGTGTGTATCTCAGTGTGTGTGTGTATGTCTCTGTGTGTATCTCAGTGTGTGTGTATCTCAGTGTGTGTGTGTATGTCTCTGTGTGTATCTCAGTGTGTGTGTATGTCTCTGTGTGTATCTCAGTGTGTGTGTATGTCTCTGTGTGTATCTCAGTGTGTGTATCTCAGTGTGTGTGTATGTCTCTGTGTGTATCTCAGTGTGTGTGTATCTCAGTGTGTGTGTGTATGTCTCTGTGTGTATCTCAGTGTGTGTGTATCTCAGTGTGTGTGTATGTCTCTGTGTGTATCTCAGTGTGTGTGTATGTCTCTGTGTGTATCTCACTGTGTGTGTATGTCTCTGTGTGTATCTCAGTGTGTGTGTATGTCTCTGTGTGTATGTCTCTGTGTGTATCTCAGTGTGTGTATGTCTCTGTGTGAATCTCAGTGTGTGTGTATGTCTCTGTGTGTATCTCAGTGTGTGTATGTCTCTGTGTGTATCTCAGTGTGTGTGTATCTGTGTGTGTATCTCAGTGTGTGTGTATGTCTCTGTGTGTATCTCAGTGTGTGTGTGTATCTCAGTGTGTGTGTATCTCAGTGTGTGTGTATCTCAGTGTGTGTGTGTATGTCTCTGTGTGTATCTCAGTGTGTGTGTATGTCTCTGTGTGTATGTCTCTGTGTGTATCTCTCTGTGTGTATCTTAGTGTGTGTGTATGTCTCTGTGTGTATCTCAGTGTGTGTGTATCTCAGTGTGTGTGTGTATGTCTCTGTGTGTATCTCAGTGTGTGTGTATCTCAGTGTGTGTGTGTATGTCTCTGTGTGTATCTCAGTGTGTGTGTATGTCTCTGTGTGTATCTCAGTGTGTGTGTATGTCTCTGTGTGTATCTCAGTGTGTGTATGTCTCTGTGTGTATCTCAGTGTGTGTATGTCTCTGTGTGTATCTCAGTGTGTGTGTATCTCAGTGTGTGTGTATGTCTCTGTGTGTATCTCAGTGTGTGTGTATGTCTCTGTGTGTATCTCAGTGTGTGTATGTCTCTGTGTGTATCTCAGTGTGTGTGTATCTCAGTGTGTGTGTGTATGTCTCTGTGTGTATCTCAGTGTGTGTGTGTATGTCTCTGTGTGTATCTCAGTGTGTGTGTGTATGTCTCTGTGTGTATCTCAGTGTGTGTGTGTATGTCTCTGTGTGTATCTCAGTGTGTGTGTGTATGTCTCTGTGTGTATCTCAGTGTGTGTGTATCTCAGTGTGTGTGTATGTCTCTGTGTGTATCTCAGTGTGTGTGTATGTCTCTGTGTGTATCTCACTGTGTGTGTATGTCTCTGTGTGTATCTCAGTGTGTGTGTATGTCTCTGTGTGTATGTCTCTGTGTGTATCTCAGTGTGTGTATGTCTCTGTGTGTATCTCAGTGTGTGTGTATGTCTCTGTGTGTATCTCAGTGTGTGTATGTCTCTGTGTGTATCTCAGTGTGTGTGTATCTGTGTGTGTATCTCAGTGTGTGTGTATGTCTCTGTGTGTATCTCAGTGTGTGTGTGTATCTCAGTGTGTGTGTATCTCAGTGTGTGTGTATCTCAGTGTGTGTGTGTATGTCTCTGTGTGTATCTCAGTGTGTGTGTATGTCTCTGTGTGTATGTCTCTGTGTGTATCTATCTGTGTGTATCTCAGTGTGTGTGTATGTCTCTGTGTGTATCTCAGTGTGTGTGTATCTCAGTGTGTGTGTGTATGTCTCTGTGTGTATCTCAGTGTGTGTGTATCGCAGTGTGTGTGTGTATGTCTCTGTGTGTATCTCAGTGTGTGTGTATGTCTCTGTGTGTATCTCAGTGTGTGTGTATGTCTCTGTGTGTATCTCAGTGTGTGTATGTCTCTGTGTGTATCTCAGTGTGTGTATGTCTCTGTGTGTATCTCAGTGTGTGTGTATCTCAGTGTGTGTGTATGTCTCTGTGTGTATCTCAGTGTGTGTGTATGTCTCTGTGTGTATCTCAGTGTGTGTATGTCTCTGTGTGTATCTCAGTGTGTGTGTATCTCAGTGTGTGTGTGTATGTCTCTGTGTGTATCTCAGTGTGTGTGTGTATGTCTCTGTGTGTATCTCAGTGTGTGTGTGTATGTCTCTGTGTGTATCTCAGTGTGTGTGTGTATGTCTCTGTGTGTATCTCAGTGTGTGTGTGTATGTCTCTGTGTGTATCTCAGTGTGTGTGTGTATGTCTCTGTGTGTATCTCAGTGTGTGTGTATCTCAGTGTGTGTGTATGTCTCTGTGTGTATCTCAGTGTGTGTGTGTATGTCTCTGTGTGTATCTCAGTGTGTGTGTGTATGTCTCTGTGTGTATCTCAGTGTGTGTATGTCTCTGTGTGTATCTCAGTGTGTGTGTGTATGTCTCTGTGTGTATCTCAGTGTGTGTGTATCTCAGTGTGTGTATGTCTCTGTGTGTATCTCAGTGTGTGTGTATCTCAGTGTGTATCTCAGTGTGTGTGTGTATGTCTCTGTGTGTATCTCAGTGTGTGTGTGTGTATCTCAGTGTGTGTGTATCTCAGTGTGTGTGTATCTCAGTGTGTGTGTGTATGTCTCTGTGTGTATCTCAGTGTGTGTGTATCTCAGTGTGTGTGTGTGTATCTCAGTGTGTGTGTATCTCAGTGTGTGTGTGTATGTCTCTGTGTGTGTATGTCTCTGTGTGTATCTCAGTGTGTGTGTATGTCTCAGTGTGTGTATGTCTCTGTGTGTATCTCAGTGTGTGTGTATCTCAGTGTGTGTGTATCTCAGTGTGTGTGTATCTCAGTGTGTGTGTGTATGTCTCTGTGTGTATCTCAGTGTGTGTGTATCTCAGTGTGTGTGTGTGTATGTCTCTGTGTGTGTCTCAGTGTGTGTGTGTGTATCTCAGTGTGTGTGTGTGTATCTCAGTGTGTGTATGTCTCTGTGTGTATCTCAGTGTGTGTGTATCTCAGTGTGTGTGTCTCTGTGTGTATGTCTCTGTGTGTATCTCAGTGTGTGTGTAACTCAGTGTGTGTGTGTATGTCTCTGTGTGTGTATGTCTCTGTGTGTATCTCAGTGTGTGTGTATCTCAGTGTGTGTGTGTATGTCTCTGTGTGTATCTCAGTGTGTGTGTGTGTATCTCAGTGTGTGTGTGTGTATCTCAGTGTGTATGTCTCTGTGTGTATCTCAGTGTGTGTATGTCAGTGTGTGTGTGTATGTCTCTGTGTGTATGTCAGTGTGTGTGTGTGTGTGTAACTCAGTGTGTGTGTCTCTGTGTGTCTCTCAGTGTACCCGGACGTGTGCGCGCTGCGCCTGGCGGCGCTCTGCGACAAGGCGTCCCACGCCTCGCGCGTCGCCTACTGGGGCGACGTCTATGGCTTCCGCATGGCCTCCATGCTCGCTCCGCTGCTGGCTGAGCCCTCGGTGGAGCGCGTGGCTCCAGAGAGCCTCGTCTCCGAGCCTCACGACGTCAAGGTACGCGCACGTGTGTGTGTGTGTGTTTCACGTGTGTGTGTGTGTGTGTGTTTCACGTGTGTGTGTGTGTGTTTCACGTGTGTGTGTTTCACGTGTGTGTGTGTGTTTCACGTGTGTGTGTGTGTGTGTTTCACGTGTGTGTTTCACGTGTGTGTGTGTGTGTGTTTCACGTGTGTGTGTGTGTGTGTGTGTTTCACGTGTGTGTGTGTGTGTGTGTGTTTCACGTGTGTGTGTGTGTTTCACGTGTGTGTGTTTCACGTGTGTGTGTTTCACGTGTGTGTGTGTGTGTGTTTCACGTGTGTGTGTGTGTGTGTTTCACGTGTGTGTTTCACGTGTGTGTGTGTGTGTGTTTCACGTGTGTGTGTGTGTGTGTGTTTCACGTGTGTGTGTGTGTGTGTGTTTCACGTGTGTGTGTGTGTGTTTCACGTGTGTGTGTGTGTTTCACGTGTGTGTGTTTCACGTGTGTGTGTTTCACGTGTGTGTGTGTGTGTGTTTCACGTGTGTGTGTGTGTGTGTGTTTCACGTGTGTGTTTCACGTGTGTGTGTGTGTGTGTTTCACGTGTGTGTGTGTGTGTTTCACGTGTGTGTGTGTGTGTGTGTGTTTCACGTGTGTGTGTGTGTTTCACGTGTGTGTGTTTCACGTGTGTGTGTTTCACGTGTGTGTGTGTGTGTGTTTCACGTGTGTGTGTGTGTGTGTGTGTTTCACGTGTGTGTTTCACGTGTGTGTGTGTGTGTGTGTTTCACGTGTGTGTGTGTGTGTGTGTTTCACGTTTGTGTGTGTGTGTTTCACGTGTGTGTGTGTGTTTCACGTGTGTGTGTTTCACGTGTGTGTGTTTCACGTGTGTGTGTGTGTGTGTGTTTCACGTGTGTGTGTGTGTGTTTCACGTGTGTGTTTCACGTGTGTGTGTGTGTGTGTTTCACGTGTGTGTGTGTGTGTGTGTTTCACGTGTGTGTGTGTGTGTGTGTTTCACGTGTGTGTGTGTGTTTCACGTGTGTGTGTTTCACGTGTGTGTGTTTCACGTGTGTGTGTGTGTGTGTTTCACGTGTGTGTGTGTGTTTCACGTGTGTGTGTGTGTGTTTCACGTGTGTGTGTGTGTGTGTTTCACGTGTGTGTGTTTCAGGTGTGTGTGTTTCACGTGTGTGTGTGTGTGTGTTTCACGTGTGTGTGTGTTTCACGTGTGTGTGTGTGTGTGTGTTTCACGTGTGTGTGTTTCACGTGTGTGTGTTTCACGTGTGTGTGTGTTTCACGTGTGTGTGTGTGTGTGTTTCACGTGTGTGTGTTTCACGTGTGTGTGTTTCACGTGTGTGTGTGTGTGTTTCACGTGTGTGTGTGTGTGTGTGTGTTTCACGTGTGTGTGTGTGTGTTTCACGTGTGTGTTTCACGTGTGTGTGTGTTTCACGTGTGTGTGTGTTTCACGTGTGTGTGTGTTTCACGTGTGTGTGTGTTTCACGTGTGTGTGTGTTTCACGTGTGTGTGTGTGTTTCACGTGTGTGTGTGTGTTTCACGTGTGTGTTTCACGTGTGTGTGTGTGTTTCACGTGTGTGTTTCACGTGTGTGTGTGTTTCACGTGTGTGTGTGTTTCACGTGTGTGTGTTTCACGTGTGTGTGTGTGTGTTTCACGTGTGTGTGTGTGTTTCATGTATTTGTCTGTGTTTCACGTGTGTGTGTGTTTCACGTGTGTGTGTATGTTTCACGTGTGTGTGTTTCACGTGTGTGTGTGTGTTTCACGTGTGTGTGTATGTTTCACGTGTGTGTGTGTTTCACGTGTGTGTTTGTTTCACGTGTGTGTTTCATGTGTGCGTATTTTCACGTGTGCCTGCATGTACATACACGTGTGTATGTGTGTGCTTGCGTGTGTGCGTGTGTGTATACCTTCCTTTGCACACCACCATTCACCAGACCCTGAGGTTAACTTTCACTCTGTGTCCCCGTGTCTCCCTGTCCCCCATGTCCCCGTGTCTCCGTATCCCCCGTGTTTCCTTGTCCCCATGTTCCCGTGTCCCTATTTGTCCGTGTCCCCCGTGTCTCCGTGTCCCCCGTGTCTCCAGACGATCGACTGCTGTCGAGACAAAGTTGAGAGCTTGGAATTCACGTCAAACTTCTCGCTGAAAATCACACAGACGGGCTCCTGCACGGTACGCACGCGTCTGTCTGTCTGTGTGTGTGTGTGGGGAGTTGAGTGGACTTGCCGATAACCGGTACCAGCGGTGTCAAGATCGGCCTCTGTGGAGGAGGAGGCTCGTGAAGGACGCTGCTGCTGCTGCTACTGGGCAGTTGGAGGCAGTCGCCCTCCAGCAACAACGGAGGGCGGAGGGAGCGACGCTCAGAACAACGAGCAGAGCACTGGGCGGCTAAAACGCAGCAGGTTGGCACAGTAAGGGGGGCACGGTTGGTGCATCAGCCAGTCGTCTCAGTCAGTCGACCCGTGGCACCTGCTGGGTCTGCCCCGTGTGTGTTTCACGTGTGTGTGTGTGTGTGTTTCACGTGTGTGTGTGTGTGTGTTTCACGTGTGTGTTTCACGTGTGTGTGTGTGTGTGTTTCACGTGTGTGTGTGTGTGTGTGTTTCACGTGTGTGTGTGTGTGTTTCACGTGTGTGTGTGTGTTTCACGTGTGTGTGTTTCACGTGTGTGTGTTTCACGTGTGTGTGTGTGTGTGTTTCACGTGTGTGTGTGTGTGTGTGTTTCACGTGTGTGTTTCACGTGTGTGTGTGTGTGTGTTTCACGTGTGTGTGTGTGTGTGTGTTTCACGTGTGTGTGTGTGTGTGTTTCACGTGTGTGTGTGTGTTTCACGTGTGTGTGTTTCACGTGTGTGTGTTTCACGTGTGTGTGTGTGTGTGTTTCACGTGTGTGTGTGTGTGTGTGTTTCACGTGTGTGTTTCACGTGTGTGTGTGTGTGTGTTTCACGTGTGTGTGTGTGTGTTTCACGTGTGTGTGTGTGTGTGTGTGTTTCACGTGTGTGTGTGTGTTTCACGTGTGTGTGTTTCACGTGTGTGTGTTTCACGTGTGTGTGTGTGTGTGTTTCACGTGTGTGTGTGTGTGTTTCACGTGTGTGTTTCACGTGTGTGTGTGTGTGTGTGTGTTTCACGTGTGTGTGTGTGTGTGTGTTTCACGTGTGTGTGTGTGTGTTTCACGTGTGTGTGTGTGTTTCACGTGTGTGTGTTTCACGTGTGTGTGTTTCACGTGTGTGTGTGTGTGTGTTTCACGTGTGTGTGTGTGTGTTTCACGTGTGTGTTTCACGTGTGTGTGTGTGTGTGTTTCACGTGTGTGTGTGTGTGTGTGTTTCACGTGTGTGTGTGTGTGTGTGTTTCACGTGTGTGTGTGTGTTTCACGTGTGTGTGTTTCACGTGTGTGTGTTTCACGTGTGTGTGTGTGTGTGTTTCACGTGTGTGTGTGTGTTTCACGTGTGTGTGTGTGTGTTTCACGTGTGTGTGTGTGTGTGTTTCACGTGTGTGTGTTTCACGTGTGTGTGTTTCACCTCCTGCCAGCGGACGTTCGACACGTCACGTGGCCTTAACGTGCACCTAGCCTGGCACAGGCGTCGTGGTGACATCACCGCCACTTAGTGGCAAATGGCGGTTGTTGTTGTGTGGAGTGATGTCGCAGCGGCTAGCGCTAACCACTGCGCTACGAACCCCGGCGACCCGAGTTGGATTCCCGCTCGCGGCCAACACCGGTGACGATTATCTGAACCGGTCCTGGGCCTCCTCCTAGGTCGACTCAGCCTCAAATGAGTACCTGGTGCGGTGTGTAGTAAACATCGCCCACTGGGCAGACAAGAGTGGCCGGGCGTGGCGCTGGCCACACCCAACCCCCTCCTCGTGTCCAGTAGCGGCCTTCAAAGCTGCTGCACGCTGCCAGCACTTGCCCCAACAGTCTTTCGTGCGTGTGTGCGCGTGTGCGTGTGTGCGCGCGTGTGCGTGTGTGCGTGCGTCCGTGCGTGTGTGCGTGTGTGCGCGTGTGCGTGCGTGTGCGCGTGTGCGTGCGTGCGTGTGTGCGTGTGTGTGCGTGGTGCTCGCTAACAGCACTTGCCCCTACAGTCTGTTAAGGCTATACGGGGTATCTTTGTCTTTGTGTGCGTGTGTGTGTGCGTGTATGTGTTTTGGAGACACTGCTGCTGAGACTGGAGCGTGCCACTTTACCATCAGCCCCACCAAAACTAAGCACCTGCCTGGGTATTTTGTACCATCGGACACTCAACCTCCCACTACTCCCAATCGGTGATGGGGAGTTGTGAAGAGAGTGGAGAGTTTCTCATACCTGGGCAGTGTGCTCATGACCGGCTCCAGTTTAACAGCAGAGGTCTCACTCCGAATCAGTCGAGCGGCAATATCTTTTCATCGGTTGCGTAACGCTGTGTGGAAGCTACCTGGTCTGTCACTCCGCACTAAGCTTCATGTCTTCTCGGCCACGGTCATTCCCTCCCTTTTCTACGCTTGCGAAACGTGGACCCCCCTAATGGAACATCTTCGCCGGTTAGAAACATTTAGGCTAGCCTGCCTACGATCCATCCTGAGTTTAACCAGACTGGATTGTGTGAGGAGCTCACAAATCCTTGAAAGATCTGGACAAGGTCCCATCGGTGAGCTCCTCTGGCAGGCAAGGCTGCATTGGCTGGGTCATGTAGCCCGCATGCCCAGCCAGATCGAGGGGGCTAAACGGGCGCGGCACGGGCTGGAGAAGAGATGGAGTGATGTGGTACAGGAGGATGTGGAGCTGCGTGGACTTGCCGATGACTGGTACCAGCGGTGTCAAGATCGGCCTCTGTGTAGGAGGCTCGTGAAGGATGCTACTGGGCAGTTGGAGGCAGTCGCCCTCCAACAACAACGGAGGGCGGAGGAGCGACGCTCACAACAACGAGCGGAGCACCGGGTGGCTAAAGCACAGCAGGTTGGCACAGTAGGGGGCACAGGTGGTGCATCAGCCAGTCATCTCAGTCATCTCAGTCAGTCGACCCGTGGCACCTGCTGGGTCTGCCCCGTGACCTCCTGCCCGCGGGCGTTCGACACTTCACGTGGCCTCAAGGTGCACATGGCCTGGCACAAGCGTCGTGGTGACGTCACCGCCACTTAGTGGCGAATGGCGGTTGTTGTGCTGCTGGAGGGATGATATCATGGCTGCTTGCCAGGAGAAGGCGGTACAGCAAATGTGAACTCCCAAACTGTTCCATCTTTCTGGAACATGGTGTTGCCCCAGTGCGGGATTAAGCTTAGTGCGGGGCCTGTAGCATGATGTTATTGCGGGGCCCTAAATAAATAATTATTTTTCATTTGCTATACAGCCCAGATAATACGACAAATCGCTAACCTTAAACACTCAATTTGTAAGGTGGTATTGTACTATAGTAATAGAGCAAGTGCAGAATCTCTGAACCGGAATTGATAGCTTGATCGCGTTTAGCGCAGGGCCCTTGAAAGTGCGGGGCACCGTAGCACATGTAGCTACTACATATGTAGTAGTAGCTACATGTGTAGTAGCTACTACATGTGTAGCTACTACACGTGTAGTTACTACACGTGTAGTAGCTGCACTAGCTACTACACGTGTAGCTACTACACGTGTAGTAGTAGCTACACGTGTAGTAGCTACTACACGTGTAGTAGCTACACGTGTAGCTAGTAGTAGCTAGTAGTAGCTACATGTGTAGTAGCTACTACATGTGTAGTAGCTACTTATGTAGCTACTTGTGTGCCGCGAAAACAATTATACACTTTTGTATATTTTGCAACTGTGTTCCCCCGGTTTCAATTATAACAGTCGTCACAATTCAACTCGCAAATCGCTACTACACGTGTTGTAGCTACTACACGTGTAGTAGCTACTACACGTGTAGTAGCTACAACACGTGTAGTAGCTACTACACGTGTAGTAGCTACTACACGTGTAGTAACTACTTATGTAGCTACTACACATGTAGTAGCTACTACACGTGTAGTAGCTACTACTAGCTACTACTAGCTACACGTGTAGCTACTACACGTGTAGTAGCTACATGTGTAGTAGCTACTACACATGTAGTAGCTACTACACGTGTAGTAGCTACTACACATGTAGCAGCTACTACACGTGTAGTAGCTACTACACGTGTAGTAGCTACTACACGTGTAGTAACTACTTATGTAGCTACTACACATGTAGCTACTACACATGTAGCAGCTACTACACGTGTAGTAGCTACACGTGTAGCTACTACACGTGTAGTAGCTACACGTGTAGCTACTACACGTGTAGCTACTTTTGCTACTCGGTTCATCCGGCACTGTGTTGCCCCCCCCCCCCACACACGCGTGGATTTGGCCGTGAACACCTTCGTACGTAAAGGACGGCAGGGCTTGGACAATTGTTGGCAGCGCCGGCTCCTGGTTTGCGTGGCTGCTTCCGCTGCCGCCGCCTTGCCGCTCCTCATCTGTGGTTCCTCCTCCTGGCGCCTCTGAGTCGTCCTCTCTGAGTCGTCCTCTCTCTCTGAGTCGTCCTCTCTCTCTCTCTGAGTCGTCCTCTCTCTCTCTGAGTCGTCCTCTCTCTCTCTGAGTCCTCTCTCTCTCTGAGTCGTCCTCTCTCTCTCTCTGAGTCGTCCTCTCTCTCTCTCTGAGTCGTCCTCTCTCTCTGAGTCGTCCTCTCTCTCTGGGTCGTCCCCTTTCTCTCTCTGAGTCGTCCCCCCTCTCTAGGAGAGCGATGGGCAGATACGAGTCAGCGTTTTGAGTTGACATTGTGACTCTACTCTTGTTTATGATGATGGGCAGTGTTGAGTCTATGGACAGTGTTGAGTCTATGGGTAATGTTGAGTCTATGGTGCAGTTTTGAGTCTATGGTGCAGTGTTGAGTCTATAGTGCAGTTTTGAGTCTATGGGTAGTGTTGAGTCTATGGTGCAGTTTTGAGTCTATGGGTAGTGTTGAGTCTATGGGTAGTGTTGAGTCTATGGTGCAGCGTTTGGTCTATGGGTAGTGTTGAGTCTATGGTGCAGTTTTGAGTCTATGGTGCAGTTTTGAGTCTATGGTGCAGTGTTGAGTCTATAGTGCAGTTTTGAGTCTATGGGTAGTGTTGAGTCTATGGTGCAGTTTTGAGTCTATGGGTAGTGTTGAGTCTATGGGTAGTGTTGAGTCTATGGTGCAGCGTTTGGTCTATGGGTAGTGTTGAGTCT